AGTTTTGAATTCTTTGAGAAAGTGAACAGTTATAATTTTAAAGCTATTGCAATAATTCTTTTTTTTTCTAAAACTATAATAAAAGCCACAATTGAAACCTGCGTACAATTTAAGATGAAAAATGTTGGTCAGTTTCCAAATGGTTATTATCTTAAATTATTAGATAGGTAAGAATCTACACTAGTGTAGAAAAAGTAGCATAAATATTAAAAATACAATTAAACGAAACATTAAGTATTGTACATGTATATACACAAGAAATAAGATATGAAATTATCAATTAACCGAGATGTGTCTACATTTATCTTACACCGTTTTACACTTGTGTATCATTACGAAATCAATTGTATTAAAAGAAAATTGTTCTATTGTTAAAGTAATTAATAAAGAATCTGAGTAAAAAAATTATGCTGACTAATTTGAACGGAATTTTACACCCCGAAGGAAAGGCAGTTTCTATCTTCCTTTTCACAGAGTAATTCGACTAGATTTTAATAATAATAAAAAAAAGAAATCGTGTGAAGGAAACATCTTCTCTAGCTTCAATGACGCGTTATAATAGAGACAAAGGTTATTAGGTTTATTCTATAGTGGGTTAAAGGAGTTATACCGTTATTACAATTACAATCTCAAATTTTCTTATTTAATTAACCTTCGTTTGGTTTTAATTGAAATTTTTTGCAATATCTTCTTTTGCAAACGTCGTCTTTTAATAAAAACAATATTTTTTGCGTAATAAATAATTATATGATGAAGGCTTGATATTTAACACGAAATACTTATCTACGTATCCTTCATCATTAGTGGTTAAATAAATGTTGCATTATCAACAGTTTTTTAGACACACATATTTAAATGTATTTATCTTCTCAATATCAGCCTTATCTCTTTTTTATAAAATGCGCTTTTTATTTCTTATCACATACCTGTAAGATTAACATCACTATAGAGGGAGATAAAACATGTATGATTTTTGAATGAGTTAATATTTTTCCACAATATCTTCACATAAATATTACCAACATACGAAGAACGTGAAATTTTGACATTCAGCGATCGTGTATTCATTCGCAGAATTTTATATTTGTTGATATTTTCTGTCATGTAACTAAAATTCGTGTGGTTTCGTATCATCGTATCGCACACAACCGACACGAATTAGAGCAGGGAAAGGTCTATTGGTATAAAGTAATCGATCATTTGGTGTCCTATTTCAAGAACATGCTGCAGCATTATGCAGTGTCCACATTATCCTTAAAATTCTTGAAACAATATTACTTTTTGCATTTTTCTTTGATTAGGAAATAAATGCACGAGTTGATAGTGATAACATCTTTTAAAATTTATATCTTGTAATACCATCCTCTATTTTCTTTTAAAATATTCACGTTAAGTGCTTGGTAACTATTACATAATCTTGCATCTGCTCTGACTAGTTCTTACAAAATATGAAAGAAAAAAAAATTAGAAATTAAATCGATGTACGCATGACTGATTCGAATTAAGCAATTTACATAGATAAAGTTTACCTACGTTGTACCAGCTACCATATTTTGTAAGTTTCTTATGACGTGTCGTGCGAATGGGAAGTAATTAACAATTAGAAAGTAATAATTAAATCATGTAAAGAATCGTATCTTACCTTTAAAACATGAATTTGGAATAATAACAGATTCCTTCGCTTATACAAGTCTTCAGAAAGTCTTAACATGTATTATAGACGCCTATGTGCAATTACTATGATTATGAGCTTAGAAACGAAGATAAAACACAGACAAATTATGGATAAGGAACATTTGGTTTCACTGTTAATTCGTGCCACGCGGGCTTATCGTGTGTAGGAATTGAATATAGCTGCGAGTATTAATTCAGCGATTCTAAATCTGTTATACAACGTAAATTATAAGAATGCGTTTATGCTAACAAACCAATGTTTATGGATTATGTAAGGAATATTCGACGAATAAGCCACTGAACACCACTCTCATCGTCGTACTTTTAGCACTTTTAGAATAGGATTAAATAACATGCTCACTACCCGAACATTATCCACCCACGATCCTAACACGACTCGTGCAAGCAGTGTTGCATTAGAGCAATCGCGAGATGTCGTATTATGGGCACCGATCATTGACAATGTCGTGGTTTTGGTGTATTAGCGCCATCTAACAATGTTTCATATACAATAACGATTAACTGATTATAGGTAAGTCAGGTTATTTTAATATACTAAAGTCGTTGTTTTCTCTCCTGTAGAAGAGAGTTTTTCCAATAAGCGGTTACTTATCCGACGATCAATACGTGGCGTTTTCCTTTCTCTACGTTTATTCGGTTCTTCGTTGCGTTCATGGATAACATGACTCATTGATTTTGATCTCCTTAACTACGATATAAAAACAAATGAGAAATTGTAATGTGGGCGAGGGGCGTTTCTAACGGCTACTTATTGATAGTTAGCAGGCGATTTTTTAACGGATAGAGATGTATGTATGTACAGGATAGATCTAACTCTATATGGATATTCGTCTGTCATGGTAGTATCGACGAAGGACTTTGTGTCTCACGTTCTGCAATACCGACCTCGAAAAAGATCAGAATGTTTCTTACGCTCTCTATTTGCTATGGCGAATATAAAAATTTGTAATTCAATTGAATCGTCGAACACGATAAAAATGAACTTGTTACATCTTACGGGTCATGGCATCATATGCAGTATCAGGTAATATATACTGTTATATCTTTAACTAAAGACAGAATAGACGTGAAATTAAATGGGACCTCATCTGAAATACCGACCGCTAAAGTCAATGTTTCTCACGCCCTCTATAACGCCCTCTATATAACGTCACCGCGACGATTGTAAATAATCAGAATGCGCTCCGTTTATTTAAACAAAACTTTAGGTAGTGCTCGATTAAATAAATTTTTGGTCATTGAATTCATTTATCATTTATCTGAGCGAGAAATTGTAAATGCTTAGATGTTAGGTATTTGTCGCACGACAAGTTCAATTGAACGGAATTCTATCGTAAGAAACATGAAAACAATATTTCAACATAATCTTATATTAGACAGTAGAACAGAATTGTGTGTGTGTGAAAACATGATATTTATATATTTAATAATTAATTAAAATATTATGATGGTTGTAAAAATTAAAAATCTTGTAAAAGAGTTTCGAAAAATCTGTTATTATTACAAACTGAAATATTATATAAATTCTTTTCCCTTTGGTCAATTTCATGTTTAACCACTATAATACAATTATTTTTGCCATAAACTAGCGCTTTAACTTACTTATTAACAATTTAATTATTATGTTATGACATTTAGATCTGATTGTGTTACATTGGAAAAATCGTTAACTTTCGACTAATCTTGACAAGGTTAAGTCACTTCGTATGTGTGTCATAACAAGTATATATAAGTATACAAGTATATAAGTGTTGAACTCGCACGCAACTCATACAGACATGAAACCGTGTACACTGCGGTTTGGAAGAAAATATACCATTTATAAAACAATTCTGCTATTAATTTATAACAATATACCATCGATTTATAATAATTATGTTATTAATTTATAACAATTCTACAGTAAATTTAGAACAGTTACACCATCAATTCGTAATAATTAAATTAATTTATTTCTTTTTATCTGATATTAACTAAATCCTTGAAATCTCTCAAACGGTATCTTATTTACATTTAATATCATATTTTAAGTTTTAATGTAGTACTTCAATTTTCATTTAGCTATTCACTTATCTATTTCAAATACAATCGGTTACAACGCGAAGTATTAATAACATATATCTATGGATAGAGCATATCCGAACAAAGCCATAAAATCAAATTCTGTTCATGGATTTGAGGAAGCAAATAACATGGCAATGAAAACAAAGGCAGTGAAATTTCGTCATCCAATCATGCATGCTATGATTGGTAAGTTACATGGTTTGGTTCTTTTGGTAAACATGATTATTTAAGTTTATATACGAGTTAAACTTCCACGACTTCTACTCATGCACGATTCAATAATTTTCTAACGACAATTAATAACATTTTTATTGACAAATATTTGAAAGATACCTCTATCATCGTGCATAAGACTAACAGAGTCATTTTTAAATTTTATTTCTGTCTTAATGAACTTAAATTTCTTGTCATAATTTGTGGTACTCTGGTTTTGAAAACATATTTAATGAAATTATTTAAGAGTCAAATATAACGTGATTTGGTGTCCATAATAATTTCCTACATGGGAATAGATAATATTAACTTGCACACGATATGTGTGCTTATAAGTCTTCTAGATACATTCAGATCCTTATTAATAAACTTCAATACTCAGTACTCCTTTATTATCAAAAAGATTTCCATATTCTGTTCCTGCTAACATAATATCAATTACTCCTGTATCAAATATAATACAAGCATATTTAAGAATCTTTTACACAATTTATCCAGTTTCTTCTGCCAATTATGCATTAAATTAAAACAAACGAAACGTATAACGTAGAATAGATATTTTATTGATAAGTAGAATTAATTTATGATGTATGCATGCTTTTTGTACAAAGATACATTGTTTAACTTAGAACGAAAAGTTAAAAATTTCTTTATTATTATTTTTAACAGACTGTTATAATTTCATTTTTTTTTAATTTTGCTTCAAGTTAAATCTTTTGATACGAAAGGCTGCCGACAGGATCTAATGTACTTTAGATTTATATGGACGTATTTATTGCACCATCCGTACATTTTAATATTCTTGGATATAATATATGGTATAAGTCTAATAATATTCCAACGGACCATAAATACCTCAGATTAGTATTATCTATTATCTCTAGTTTAGTTTTACTTTTAAATAGGTTCTAGTTCTAAGATTTCGATTAAATTAATACTAAGCAACTTTGTTAGACGGTGGAGGTCAACGAAGGACTCATTGTTTGTTTTTCGTTTTAAGTTGTAGTTTTAAACCTTAGTTTTAACTCTGAATTTTAAGTCCCAGCTTTAAGTTGTATCGTTAATTTTAAGCATTACTTTTAATACATTTGTAAAGATCGATGGAGTTGATCGATATATTTGTTCGCAGAAATAAGACTTTAGACATCTGTTTGCTCTTTTCGTACATTTTCTTGTTTTTCTTTTTCGTTGTTCGTTTACTCTATTCATCGGACGTAATTCGTTTGTTTGTACAAAAAGATTGTATTCTACATTACTGACTCATTTTTTACACATAGAATCACCATCATAGAACTGTAGTTCCATAGTACGTTATAAGCGATATCCTATATCTTCTATTTGTATTAGTAGATGAAGTAATTAGAATTCTTTTTGAAATAAGATAAGTAAAATATAATGTACATATATACATATTGAATATCTCATGATATATAACATTCTTGTATCTATATCGTATCTATGTCAAAACTTTATATTATTCTCATCTAAAACTTAGATACATGTTCAAACGAGTATCATGGTGAATTATTCAATACGTTTTTACATTTCAGAAAATTTTTTGTTTCACAATATTTAATCTCACATATACATACGATAGTTTTATTATCTATGATGTAACTTTAATGAGAACATAGTCGAACAATATATTGAAAATATCTTTAAGAGATTTATAATCTATTTCAAGAAAATTTATTTAGATTATACACAAGGTGGACATGTCTTAGGATCTGGACAAGGTAATACACATTTTTGCGTTACACGGTTAAATTGTAAACCGTTTGGGCACTTAAGATCATATTTGATGATCGTTGCACCATTCACGTAACAGAAATAATATTGCTGACAATCTGCTTTTGGAAATCTACCACTTGTAACGCATTTAGGAACTGGCGTCGTACTTGGCGTCGTACTTGGCGTCGTACTTGATGTCGAACTTGACGTGGAACTTGACGTGGAACTTGACGTCAATGGTGCAATTTGCTTACAGACATAATTCGTAGACGATGTGCAATATTTTAGCGAGGGATCAAATAGCATCGTAGGTGCGCACGACATATCGTATGATATGAATTCAACTCCGTTAAAAACACATATATAATAATTAGCACACGTTCCATCCACGATTTCAAATGTTCCTTGCATTACACATGTTCGCTTAGATGGAATTATTTGAAGCGTCCCAATGGGAATCGAATTAAAGATGAAAAGAATTTCAAACGCAACGAGGAGTACGTTCATTTTGCGTATTTTACTGGTTTACAGAAAACGATGCTCATTTGCCGAAAATCAAAGAGAATATGTTTCTTAGTTTCATCACTGCAGCGAATATATTATCATCGTTGAATTTATTGTTTTATTATCGCGTATTACGAATATCTGTTAAATTCTGAGAAAATACGAGCTGAAAATAAATATCTTATGATGCTTGGTTTATGAGTAAAAGAGATATGCGGACTATTATTGCTTCCTTGTGTACGACATATGAACGTACTATTAACAGCCTTCCTAGAGCTATTTTCTTCTGAAAGAATTTATGAAAAACAACCAAAAAATAGCGTAGGAAGTAGAAGAGATTAAATTTTTTATTTCACATGATATACGTTTTAAACATTTTGTTCGATAGTAAATTAGCTAAATTTGTTAAAATCAAACTGTTTCTTAAATGTAATATTGGAATATCATTAATCCGTCCAACTGATGAAAATTCGTTTGTCTGAAATAGGAGATATCTATGCAAGCTTTATTGAGTAATTTGTAAAACGCAAAAGATTGTTTATTTGAGTTTAATGAAACGATCCTGATTACTTAATCGATTAACAAGAATAAATATGTATAATAAAATATTATATAACAATAAGCAAGTATAGTGAGTAAACACAGTATTAGATATTGTAAAGAATGTATTTTTATTTGAAATAGGTTACTCGGTAAATAGAGTATATTATAGTTAATCGGTTCACCAGTTGTACAGTTTGTAACATTTGTTTCGAACAACCCCAACAGATACGCAAGTTTCCCTCGAAGTTAGATCGTTCTCCAACAGGGGGTTCGCAGGTGAGAAAACTTTCGTAGAGGTATACATTGTAGGAGAGAGATTGGTAGGTAGAAAAGGAGTTCGATTCTTCGAGAGTAAGAGAAAGGATGAAGGAATGGAGAAAGAAAGAAAGAGAAGAGGAAGGAAAGAAGGAGCAAATGTATATAAGCGACTTACATGGAAGACGCGCCAATGGACTCTCTCTTTGACCTTACTGAAGCGTGCACCTTTCTTCCTGTTTTTTCTTCGTTCTCCAATCTCCTTACTCTTCGAAGTTTTCTATAAGATCCTTCTATTTGACGTCCTTGCTCTTCAATCTTGATCTTGCCGTGAGGAAGTTCAGTAACTCTTTCGCATCGTGCACTTTCTGATTATGTGTTACCAAAAATAATATATCGAGTTTGCATCTCGTTCTTCGTTGTAATCTTCAAACAGTATTTGCAGTGATTTCAATAAATTCTTTTTTATCGAATCAAAATGTGTGACCATTGAATTAAAAAGTTTCACCTTGTTTCTTGTGATATGTTCCTGACGAAATGGACCTACATAACAGTATGCGAAACATGAATCTGCTTCGAGTGAGTATAAATAACATTTTAAAACATTACGAAAGTTTATTAAATAACAGAGTTATATTTCCTGACATAGTGATCTTAATTATTAAAACTTACTATATTAAACATGTAACAATAGTCCATTGATTAAACAATGTATCTCATATCGAGCAAACTTTTTCTGTACCTTGACACAGGATAAGTAGCAAAAATTGACTTTAGAAATTTATTTCTTTAATATTATATTACACATTGTACATATTATACAAATATTATATTACTCTATTTACTCTGTATTGAATTTTACATTTATATTTAACAATTTCTATGTAATGTATGTGTAATAATGTAAGGAAAATTATAAAATTTATGTTATTAAAATTATAGCTTGCCATATATGTACACACCTATACACTGTGAAAGTTTAAAAAGAATAGAGAGGGAGTAGGTTAATTTGTATGAAACAAATCTGACAGTTTCAACCTAGTGTTAGCATTAGTAAAGCTTGTTAATTAAGCTTTCCCATAGTTTTTTTCATAAAACTCCAACAAAGCTTTTTCATAGTTCTTTTCACAGAACTTTTCACAAGGTTTTTCCATAATTCGTCTGCAAAAATGTACTAACAATGAAACTATTTCTTTTCTGTTTTATTGTCGAAATGTTGATTACAGTATCGATCTAAGTACATACCTATTACTTTAGGTACAAGAACAAAATGAAATGAATTTAGTAGTCGTATAAAATATTAATTACTATTTTATTTGACTTTACCTACTTACAGTTTTGTCGATAAAAATTTACTTTTGTAATTAATTATTCTACGATGTTTAAAATTTAATTTCAAAAGATGAATATGCAAATAGCTGTTAACCGTTAGAAATATCCTCCAAATTTTTCCTATACCTTTTTACGTTTCTTCAATTTTACATTTATAAATTAATCTATTTTATAACAGCATCAATTAATCATTTAGTATGAAATAAGTGTTTGTTTAATTGAAACTTTTGTTTGTAAGGATACACTCTTAGTTACAAATTAATGGTTAGAAACTCTATACATATGTATTTCATTGATTTTGCATTGTACTTGTGAGAGTAGATGTTCGACTTTTTAACCATAGATTTTATGAGGCGAAAGCTATACTGACAGAGATAAATTACTATTTTTTACAATAAATTTATTTATACCATATAGATACATTTTAATGTCTTATTAGCGAATATAATATATAATAAATATTAATTATGTTGCATTGATTTTGTTTTCGATAAGAGTTTTTCTAAATCTTTTTTTTTTTTGTTTATAACTTAATACAAAAGGCAAAAAGGTGGGAAAATAGAACAGTGTTATTAATTAAAATAATTTATTTCTTATCAGAAAGTATACTTTTATTTTCCTTCTCCAATTTTTTCTTCTTCAACTTTTTAAAGAAGAATTTCTACAAATATTCCATGACATAAATAATAGCACCTTTCAAAAATATAATGAAATTAAATTTGTTTTACTCTAAATATAATTTCTTTTAAATTATTACGTTATATATTACAAAACATGTTAAAAATATAATGTTTATTGGAACGAAACATCGTATAGTGTCTATATCCTTGTACATAGAATTCTGTAGAGGATCATGTGCTTGATTTATCATGCAACGCGTACAAGGCGAAAGTTAAAAATCACCAATTCAAAGTCTGGTAAAACGACGCTCCAGCGACATGACCAAATTTAACTACTATTTTAAGAAATATACCTACGACTAGTCTACTTTCGCTTTGCGAATTTTCAATTAGCTGAGATTGTGAATTTTCAAGTAAGATAATACGAGTATACATTTCCTTTATTTTATGAAATAGGAGTTTAACTTATTTGTAATAATCTATCACTCACAAGTGTTCGTAAAGAAATTTAGAACTAGCTTAGTATCCGAGTATATTGATTTCAAGATTATAAGAAAATTTCTTACATTTATGACAAAACCACTTTCAATAACATTAACGTCACCTATTTTTATTATATTATTATTTCAGAAGCAGGAATTCTCGTTACCTCAAAAATTCAATAAAATCAAAATAGAAATAAGATGTTAATTGGAATAAAAATAAAAGCAAAAATACTAGGGAAAGATAAAAAAAATAAATGCTTTATAATGTTCTCAAATTTTTAGAAAAAATTCTAACAAACGTTATCGATAGATACAGTTCGTAATAGAACAATTTTGAAACAATTTTTTTAATAGGATAATTTCTATAAACAATGCATATTAGTATAATTACAAATATGTATACCTTTAATAGTTAAACAAAGAAACAAGTAGCAAATGTTTATTTATTATTAGCAACTACATGTCCGGTGTTATTTTTTGGTAATACCTCCCATGAATTCTTATAGTGTAGCATTCGAATTCTGACTACTGACAATTTGAATCACTAACAAACTTTTTGGCAGATTTTCAAGAAACAAGAAATTAACCTGTAGACATGTCCGGTTACAAAAGCTTCTGAAAGTTAGGTCTGATTTGTATACGTCGTGAATCGCCAATCGTTCACGATCCAACAAAGACGTCGTGAACGATGTGAGGGAAACATATGCTCGACGCTTTCGAGTGATCCTTGTCGTTTGGCATAGTGCCAACGTAGGAGCGAAACTCTTTCGTCTACGACCTAAATCTGTCGCTTTCCGTTTGCACGTTTCTTCCTCTTATCAGTGTCAATACCAATCATCTTTGAATAAGCTTTATGGCCTTATTAAACATTGACGTGACTCATAAAAACTTTCGTCTTCTGATAAATATTTGTACATTATATAGATGTCATATGATTTATGTAGCATTTAACCTTACCAATTTTTTCTTTTCTATAACATTTTCAACAACAAGATACTCTCACAACTAATGTTATTAGCGAAGTTTGATAAGACTGGAGTATCAAATTATCAGTGTCGATAGATCTTCTTGTTTTTTATGACAGTAACAAGATCGATGATAAAATAAGTAGAGTTCTACAAGTGCATTTTATAAATTACAAGCTGATTATCCTCATTCATGTAAACTTATAAAATTATAGAAACTAATTAAGGAAGAATAGTCGTAATAGTATGGGATGTATGTATGTAAAGTTCTAACATTCTAATCATAGTATTGAGTATTTAGCATTTAAGAGAAAGATCTCTGCTTTGACAAAAACATAGAAAAAACAAAATTTATGGATAGTCTTGTTTAGATCGAAAAAACAAGAAAAGTTCAGAAAGTTAATTTTTATATTTATTTATTATATATTTTATATTATATATTCTATATTTACTCATCTTTTTTTATCATTATATTATAATGTTCGCGCTGCTGAACTAAATAGAATTTATTTCACAAAATTAAGGAAGATATTAAATATATTTTATATCTATTGTTTCCCGACATTCGTTTAAAAAATCTAATGCACGTGATAATTACACCTCTCATTATCAAGGTATTTCCACAACTGTCCTTCCTATGTAAACTACTTCGTTAAAACCGTTAGAGCTTGTTCGTTGCGAGGAATAAGACTTCAAGATTTTCACTTTATCTCTTCCCATCAAGTTCTCAAGGAATGGAGCCTTCCTGTTTGAAAGTTTATTTCTTACTATAGTTACATCACAAAAACGATTAGAATTTCTTTCTTTAATACATTATATTATATACATAAGATGGCGTGTAGAGTAATTAAATCATACATTTATATAAAACACACACGACGAGATATAAAATGACCAAATTTTGCCCGCTATTAAAATAAATTTTACTTTCTTTGTATCAATATCGCAAACATTCATTTCGATTTCAATTGACCTATATATTTCTATTTTCATTTAATTATAATTCTGAAACATTTAAGTTCATTTAATTATACGTACGATCGATTATTATAACTAAAATTAATAGAACTGAAGAACTTGCAATATTAATTGCTTTTTATTATATTTTTCTAAAAACTAAATATCTTAATATTAGAAGAATATTCATATGAATAATTAATTAATAATATTAGAATATTCATCGATATATTAACTTCCTCAAAATATTATTATTATAATTATTATAACGATTGTTATAACTAAAATTAATAGGACTGAAAAACTTGCAATATTAATTGCTTTTTATTATATTTTTCCAAAAACTAAATGTCTTCATACTAGAAGATCCTATTCATCGATATATTAACTTCCTCAAAATATTATTATTATAATTATTATAACGATTATTATAACTAAAATTAATAGACCTGAAAAACTTGCAATATCAATTGCTTTTTATTATATTTTTCCAAAAACTAAATGTCTTAATATTACAAGATCCTATTCATCGATATAACTTCCTTAAAATATTATTATTATAATTATTATAACGATTATTATAACTAAAATTAATAGACCTGAAAAACTTGCAATATTAATTGCTTTTTATTATATTTTTCCAAAAACTAAATGTCTTAATACTAGAAGATCCTATTCATCGATATATTAACTTTCTTAAAATATCAATGAAGAACTATAACAACGAAGAAATATACAGACAGACATACATTTGTTTGTTACTGTACAATTATCCTCCCTACGATTAGAAGATTCAAGGACAACAGAAATTATTCTCAGAGACAACAGATATTATTTCGATTTAAGATAGACAGCCAGAAGAAAATTGCACACTCGTTATTGGCATTGGTTAGTCTCGATTAGCGTCGGCATTTATTCTAGCACACGTGTTGCTCACACGAGCACACCAACACTTTGTTAAATACGCATTATACTGATTACATGCAACCACATATTACATCTTCTCACTATAGGTCGACTCTCGTAATACCCACAGCCCACTTACCTACATTACCCCTGCTACACAAGTGTCTCTTATATACTTCGACTATTACAGTGTGTGAACTACCTATTCTTCAATGAAGAATAGTTTATCTCACGATCAAACACAACCGATTATATGTATACTACTTTTCGATAGCCAAAATTAGACGACAATGTAATTTTAATGACCTTCGTTCATTCATTTCATTTTAATGAAATCTTTATTAGTCAAATTGTATTAGCTGAATAATAATTGAAGACTTTCTTTTACTATAATATTTCCTTCCTTCTCGACGAATGTGCTTTAAATAATAAATTTAACGCGAACGTACTTTATGTAAAATAAAAAGTGGGAAAATACAATTTTCGCCTTGAAATGCTTCGAAGTGAAAAGCGTGTCAATTCTATGAAAATGCAAAAACGCGTTAATATTTAAGTGATAGCACATCGACAATAATACAAATATTTCTATACATTTAATGATACAAATAAACAAACAACAGCTACAATTATAATTGTTTCCTTGTAACTTCTACATTGCAATTATTTATTTTCTCTATAAAACTTATTCTATCTGTATATATTGTAATTTCTAGAATACACGTTTTGAATATTATAACTTTATAAAATACTAATTTACTTCCTTACACGTGCAGATAAATGTTAAGTTTTGATTTTAAATGCAATTCAAAATTAGCTATGAAATAATTTTCAACGCGTAAAATTATCGAAATTAGAATTAAATATATTTGTACAATACGTAATTTAAAGTTTATAAAATATAATTGCGACTTCGGAGATTTTATTACTAACTTTATTACTAAAAAATATTTCATGGTTTTGTTAAGGGTTCCCTTTTCGATACATATTATTGTTTTATATACCGTTATAACGATAGAATGACTTGTTTATAGCTGGCTTGAAGTTCACTATGCAATTAGAACGTTACTATACATATTATCTATTTTAAATTAATTTGAAAACGTAATAACAGGTCAAGTAACTCTGCCTACTGGCACTTGTCTCAAAGCGATAATACAAAATGATATTGTTTGCTACTTTCGCTTGAGCAACTACTTCTTATCCGCTGCTAAGAATATAAAGCACACCGAGTTTCATGTTAATAGGTTTAAAAGTGATATGAGGGATCTCTTCCATCCTTTTTTTTCATTTGTTCACTTTCTTATGCAGTTCCGGTTCTCGCTGTAAGTACGGTGATCCGCGAGTACTCTCGTTCTCTCTCACACGTCCGCGTATTTCACGGTAAACGTAAAATAGCACGTGGAATTCCACGGGAACACCATTGAATTTACGTCTCGTGAGAAACTCGTAAGCAATAGCTGGCCGCTCAAATCTGTTCTGCGCTCGATTTTATGCTATCCTTGCTCCCCTTTCACTCCTCACCCTTTGTTTTCGATAATTTAGTTGAATATTAGAACTTACAAACACAGTAACGAACATGAAGGCTACTAATTATTCCTTACACTTTATCATGATGCAGAGACGTTTCTGCTTGATTCCTTGTTGCAACTTTTACAAAATTCATTGAATTTCTATCAAAGATCTTATTTCTAGATTAAATTAAACAAAGATCTTCATATTAGGAAGTTATCACCTACGTCCATGAGTTTTACCTTCTGCCGGAGATTATGGTAAAGTTTGATTATTTTTTCAAATGTTTCTGTCTCATCGAAACAATAATGGACATAATTAATTACGTATGAGACGATAGAAGAAGAATATTTATATATATAATTACTAATATAAGTAGGAGAATACGAAAAATTAGTGTAATTGTCTAATCTAAGTGAAACTACATAGTTCTGGCATAATTCAGAGCGGTAATGAACGTTCCTCAGGAAGTGACCCACTTTAGTTTACCCTGTGTTTATTTTCCATGGTTATTGACCATTGTGAGAAGTGCACGAGCTTTTCTAAGCGTATTCGTTCATGAATTTTCATCTGCTGTTAGGAATGCGATATATTTATTTTAACTATCATTGAATAAAATATATCTTATTTCTCACGAAACGTATCAAATTGTTTCGATAAATTCAACGTATTTATCGAATATTCTAAAACATGAAATTATCTATATCGCGTATAGTTTCGTACTAGAAACTATCTGTATGTAAAATATATAAATATAATAATAAAAACGGTTTAAGTTCGGTGTTCATCTTTAATCCAATTAACAACTTATATGCTTTTAGGTTACGTTAACGCTATCACTGCTCGTTTTTGCATGCAGTACGTCATCATGCTTGAAAAATGATCCAAGTGAACCATCCTTCGATAATGGTCCAAATATTATTCGGCGCAGTAGAAGGGCCGGATTAAATGAATATTTAGTCCCACCTCCAATACCGAAACCTTATCCGGTGAGGTCTGGAAGAGTAGCAAATCCTTCGGCAGCGGAATCTCCAGGATACTTTACACAATTGATGAGCTGGTTGAACCCTTTTAATTATGTCTCTTCAACTTCTACTCCTCTAAAGACATCACACCTCGAACCACCGCCTCTTTATTCACCACTAACTCAATCTTACGGCCCTCCACCATATAATTTGCATCCTGCTTTGCAACCTGGACCGTCTCTTCATCCTCCACTTGCACCTCAAATTGATCCATCTTTGCACTCTTCTATCGGTCCATTTCCTCCTGTTCAACATACCGGTCCACCTGTGGCAGCTCCTTCTAGTGGACATCAGGATGCATCTTTTAATCTTCCTGCTCGCCCATCCTTACAATTGTACAACCCTCCAACGATCTTTCACGGTATGCAACGCGCTTTCCCAACTGCGAAAGACAATCGCGGTAGTTACGTAGCGGCGAATAAAGGGAAACATTGTAATCCTTGTAACAAAGTTCCTTGGATTCCGATGCAAGATAGCGGACTTCATTCGGACAAGTATCCGCTTCCTACGCAACTTTCAAACGGTTATCTTCCTCCTAGCAATCAAGGAAATCACGACGTCCAATACGCCGCTTCGCATGAGATCAGAATACCAGAACTTTCTCAAATACCTGTTGAACAAACACCTTTCAACAGCGCATTACCGCACCCACTGTTGTACCATGACACGATACCTCCCCTTTACAAAGCAGAACCCTTTGTTCGGCCGTTTCAAAATCCTCCTGCAATCGAAAATGTGGAACATTTCAAATCGCCAGCTTTGCCCGTGACACCGTTAACTGATCAAGTACACAAAAGCCCTGATGTTAAGGACGAGCGTTATAATATTTATGGTAACGACGATCAAAGATCCATTGGAACAGAGATTAATCAAGGACATGTAAGTGCCATATCTAAAAGCCACGAGATCGAGATCAACAAAGTGCCTGTAGACCACAAAGAATCATTTGATAGTTCGATTCTCGATGCTCAGTCTCCGGGATCGTCGAATCTCGAAAATCACGAATTTCCTAGTCAAAGTGGTAACGAATACCATGAACTCTTTCATCCAAATCCAACTCCTATCAGCGATTTCAATTACGTACCGCCGGATCTGAAACCTTCGGCTAGCTTCGCAACTTCTACCTTTCACAATCAAGAAAGCGATAGTTTGAATTATCAATATTCCGGTGATTTGTCGCCTAGCGGCAGTGTCGTTAAAGATTCTCATGTAACGACGCAACCGTCTCTTGCGAGTTCTTTCGTGTCGAAAGAAAGGCCGATACATTTTGAGGAATCGCCGCTGCTAGATCTGACGAAAAAAGACGAAAGTCGCATCGATATACAATGGCCAACTTCCACTATTGGCTATACCGATATCGACAATGTATCCGACAATACAGCGAAGACAACTACGGATTATAATTTAGAAACCGAAAATGTATTTTTCGACGATTCATCCGATTCTGTCAAGTCGACTGAATCGTATTCTCTTCCGGATATTCAAAATATTAATAGTGTTTTTGGACCTTCAACAATCGCAACCGTGGATTTCTCAAATAGTAATATTAATGAACACGTGGAGACGTCAACAGGTAGTAGAGAATATACAAATCAACAAGACGTTTCGTATATTCCACCATCCGGACAAGCAGGATATTTGTGGCCAAGTTTGCTAATAAATACACCAAACTTGAGAAATCATTCATCGAAGAATCACGGTTCCTTGAATCATCTTGCTCGATGGAATAATTCTTTGTCAGGAAATAAGAATTCTGAAAAGCAAGACAGTATAGATACGAAGGATACGCGAGATACGCTTCAAAAGCCACAAAATATGAAGCGAAATAAACAAGTGAGCAAAATTATTCGTACAAATGTAGTTAGGATTTTACGAAACTTAGATATAACGGTGGAATATGTAAAATTCGAAGTTTTAATTATTTACAAGTAACATAAGATATTTATTTGCCTATTCAGCAATTTTCATTGAGACTTTATTTACACGGTAACTAATAAATTGTATGAAAATAAAGTAAAATTCGATTATCGATGACAAAGATCACGAATTTATGAAAATAACGTAATGTTTTAGGTACAAGTTATTATACCATACACGTCGGAATATACACCGATTCCGTTCCAACAATCTTACGGAGATTGGAGTATCAAAACTAATTTTGAACGTACGCAGCCAAGAAAAGTTCCTTCTCGAACCGGATTGAACGCTGATAATTATCTTCAACAAGAATCTAAGAATGATATTCGAGTAGTTAATCAATTTCAACCACAATTTAATGTCAATAACTCAAAGAAATCGAACGTGCAATCGATAAGACCATCTTCAACTACTGTAGAAGATTCAAAAAGCACTACAACAAGAGCAAACACTTCCATCGATGTGCGAAGGTTGCAAAAGAATATCGATAACTGGACAATACAAGTGAGCTTATAGAAATATAGTTAATCAATTAATTATCATTAATATAAGTGAGATATATCTCGACACTTCTTATTATTTATTACTTATAATTATCATATTGTTTCTTTCTCTCGAAATCAAAATTTTCTTTATTCTCCTTATTTTTGGAAAATAAAGAATCGTCGCATGTGGTAATCATGATTTTATAAAATTTTCCCATCAAATTAGTCTTGCCTCTTTGATTTTGCATCATTTGCATTAATTGGTAAATTCAGCATTATTAAAGATGATACTGATGATATGTTGATGCTTTTTACAATGAATATGCTTTTTATGGAGGCATACAGAGGAAAATAACTAATATAAGATTTTCACCCGTAGGAATATTCAAGACCTACAACGTCTAGTACAATTTTACCTAGTTCCTTGCACCCTTATCTCTCGCCATCGAAGAAAATTCCAACGGAGTACTTAACAACAACAGAACCAGCCGATCGTACAAACGAGTCGAAAGATCACAATGAAATTGTGAAAACTTATTCTTTGGCTGGCTTCAGTTTCAACGAGATAGAACATGAAGGCTCTGCGAGTAATCGTATCGAGGAGACCCAATCGGTAATTTGATGCGATTCGATGTGCACTCCACATTTTGCCTATTTGTTACGATCACTAGATCATTATTTAATCTATTAGTAGCATTGCTTGGTGATATCAATTAGCACATTAGTAATTTTTACTAATACTACTACGTTAATAATAATAATACAGTACTAGTAATAATAATTCTACGTATCTACATATAATAATCGGTAAATCGTTATTTTATTATCGTCTAACTTATAGGTGACATCATACAACGATATTAACTGATATTAACAGTAAATTACAATATTAATAGCAAAGGCACATTAGTACTTTTTAGCACATTAGTAATTTTTACTAATACTACTACGTTAATAATAACAATGCAGTACTAGTAATAATAATTCAATGTATCTACATATAATAATCGGTAAATCGTTATTTTATTATCGTCTAACTTATAGGTGACATCATACAACGATATTAACTGATATTAACAGTAAATTACAATATTAATAGCAAAGGCACATTAGTACTTTTTAGCACATTAGTAATTTTTACTAATACTACTACGTTAATAATAATAATACAGTACTAGTAATAATAATTCTACGTATCTACATATAATAATAGGTAAATCGTTATTTTATTATCGTCTAACTTATAGGTGACATCATACAACGATATTAACTGATATTAACAGTAAATTACAATATTAATAGCAAAGGCACATTAGTACTTTTTAGCACATTAGTAATTTTTACTAATACTACTACGTTAATAATAACAATGCAGTACTAGTAATAATAATTCAATGTATCTACATATAATAATCGGTAAATCGTTATTTTATTATCGTCTAACTTATAGGTGACATCATACAACGATATTAACTGATATTAACAGTAAATTACAATATTAATAGCAAAGGCACATTAGTACTTTTTAGCACATTAGTAATTTTTACTAATACTACTACGTTAATAATAATAATACAGTATTAGTAATAATAATTCTACGTATCTACATATAATAATAGGTAAATCGTTATTTTATTATCGTCTAACTTATAGGTGACATCATACAACGATATTAACTGATATTAACAGTAGATTACAATATTAATAGCAAAATAATATTATTCGTATTGATTGTTTTGAATATTGATTTCCAGGCCGTGAAGGTGCTACGAATAGATAAACCGAAAGTGACAATTAACGACTTGCACAGCGTAGATAAGCCCACGATAGAAGAAAAGTCAACGTGGAAATCAGACTCTGTATCGATCTCATCTATTAATAAAGAACGAGTTTACGTGGTAACGCCACAACCGATATCACAAATACCCTCGAAAAATGACATGGAAAATCGTAAGGAGCAAGGCGAGACAGAACAACCGGAGCGAACAAGTGAATCGACCGTCAGTGACATAAGCAACAGCAAGAATAATTTCAGTGACTTCGAAGCGATCGAAAAAGCCTATCAAGTGCTTCCGCAAGCGGTAAATAATCTTGCTGTTGCATCCACCGGGAAGGAAAACATTCCTTTATGGGGAATTATGGAACACGAAGAGTTTGCTTCTTTGAATTTGAACGAAAATGACGAAGAAGCAGCAGAAGATATCGTGGATGGACCGATACTTTATTCTGGACACTCGAAGGTGATAAATTATTGAAAATATTGAACATATTCTGTCAATTATTATCCTTAGAAATGGTAGAAATATTGCTATTTGTTAACTGTCTCTCTTTCTCTCTCTCTCTCTTGTTATTTATAGATAATTTATAGACAATAACAATGATATTGTTTACAGGTGTCACGAGCTAAACGATGACAAGCAAGAATTTGTTAAATATGGAGGCTGAAAAGCACAATTTTTAATTGTGAATAGTTAACTGTTCGGTCGTTTTAATCTTAAAGACTTTCTATTACTTGATTTGCGTGTAACAGGACACGAATAAAATTGTTTTAGCTTTTTAAGTGTACAACCTGAACTTTATTACGGCCAGTGTAGACTCATACGTATTATTATATAGAAACAATAAGATGATTATTTGTAACATAAGCAAATACGTCTGTAAAAAGTAACGTGTTACGAGCGTTGCGAATTGAGGCTTTCGAATTTCCCCTTTTTGCTATATACGAAGGATCGCTATAAAAATACAATTTCATCGACGTAACTGTTATTTGATCGTGTAATTACTTTGTAAATACGTAAAAGTAAACATACTATAAGTTTGATAAATAGGATTAAATTAATTGTAAGTACGTACTGACAAGATTGTATCCACAAAAATCCATAATTATTTTTGTAAAATAGTGGAAAATTCAACAGTTACAGGTTGCTATAGACTGTCGAATAAATTAGATCATAATAACGTTAATCATTACTCTGATGTTGTTAAAAATCTCTTTCAATTTTGAATTTGAAGTTTGCCTTTACGACATTAAAGAGTAGAACACAGAGCGCACAACGTATATGTACGCGTGAAATGTGTAAAAATAAACATTCTTCGACTCGACGAAGTATAGTTATAAAATTAAAGGGACCATTATCTATTTTTTGGCTATTTTTAAGAGGGGCAGAATCAACTTTGTAATGTACTAAACCCTACTGTACTAATGTAAATGTAAATGTAATGTAACTGAATTCAAAGTACATTTAAAAGTTAGAAACTCAACTTCATTTTTAATTATCTCAATAAGTTTTTCTCCGGATATATAACTAAATATACGTTCTCTTATACCGTCACTTTCGATTATTTTGCACATTTGGAAGCCACCCAAAAAGAGCTATTTGTATTCAGATACCACAGCGATGCACACTCATACGTATTCCGCGTACTGCGTGTTTGACAATGTTTAAGACTTTCTCGATTATATGGTGAAAGGAGACCGTATTCCGGTTCACGTTGTTTCATCAATTGAAAAGTGCGACCATTTTACCATGATTTCGTGACTGAAATTTACGATGATACTCTCTAATTTTATTGTGCTTTAAACTTTTACGGAACGATACGAGAATTATATCAGAAATTGGTTTAAAGCAGACTAGAAAGTTCTAATTCAGACTAGAAAGAATGAATACTTGGAAAAAAAGACACACATTCGTATAAAATTTATCTTGAATTCGTAAATGCATATTGAGATTATCGGAATTATTAATTTCATTCTTCTTATATATATTGACTGAATATATACGTTCAAAGAAGAATTTGACTTTTTATTAACTTACTTCTATCCATTGCAATAATCTTAAAGGAAAATTTCCGTAATGTGGAACATTAATAAACAAACGAATTCTTCTGCTAAATATAATAAATAAGATATATAAAATGCTTTTTTCAAAGTACCAAATTATTTCTAAATTATAGATCTAAATTGTATATAAGTTATAGATGTGTATATACATTATATATACGTGCAAATATTATTTACACACGTGTAGAAAAATATAAAATGACGAGACGTATGTATATTTTCCTACGATGGAAATTAATTATTTCAAAATAGGCTTTTTAAAAAAATATATTTATTCATTTAACTTACTCAAGCATACATATATACATATGTACAATTACATTCGTCCCGAACCAGTTAGAAATTCTTGGTATTATCATGCTTATTTTTGAATATTTACATTAATCCGTGTAATTAAAACCCTTTTTAAAATATGTAAAACGTTTAATCCTTTGTGTTATGCCTTTAACAGCGTGTGAGAACTTTTACCGGAAGATTCTGAGAAAAAAGAATCTATTGTCGTTGTGCGGAAGATCGTGATTGTTAAAAGACCCGAGTTGCGGTAACGAAACACTTCACATCATTAAGTCTGTTCTGTGGCAAACAACATTGAATAAGCACACGACCTTAATTAAACTTGAGATGATATAGCAGTTGCTGTGATCCGTATAGAAAGTGCTGTACAAACTTTTCTTTAATAAACACCATATGTAAGTATAATCGTTAATACTTTAAACGTCGCATCAAGTATTATTTTTAAATACATATAGTAATTTTTAAAATTAGTTAACAAATTTTAATTATTCTACTGGATAGTTCGAAAAATTCCTAACAAATTTTTAAGAAATTACCTATTAATTTATTGAATAATTTCGTGATCGTCTTATTAAAATATTCTTTTACCTTTTTCAGCGATAAATTGTTCAAAGCCGTTTTGCAGGCACGTAAGGCGTGTTATAATGTATTTTTGTCAATCAGAATGTTTTATAAAGATTTAATTAAAACGAAGAATGGATGATTAAGTGCATATCCAATGTACAGATGTATGTACGTCCAGTACCAGTTCGGAAAAATGAAATCTCTTTTGTCGATTATTTCTGTATATACGGCGCGCGAAAAGTAACGAAACCGAATTTCTGTCGATATATGTGAATAACATTTCACGAGTTATCTTAACGAATACATTAAATTATAGCCTCATGTCTTCGTTAGTAAAGTTTAGTAAATATTTAATCTTCTTATCATATGGAAATATCTTATCGACTTCGTTTTTTCAGTAGAGAAACGTTACACGTAATATCGAACGTTGCTCAAAATTTGGAAAAAACACAACTACGATGCACGTTATACGTACCAATGGAAGTTCGTGATAAAAATGCTCTGTCTCGTGTACAGTGATATACATTGATTGAAGTTTAGTAAAAAAATTATTTTTAGTTACGAATAAGTGTATAGGGTATAGAGTATTCAACAATTCAAGGAGAGTCTCGCTGTTCTTTTCGTTTCTGCATTTTTTTCTTTCGGATGATTAACATTTCCACTGTCCATAATGTGACTGTTAGACCCGTAACACAATTTATCACAATTATGCAAGATGTAAAATTTCCAAAACTATCACGCATTATACCTGCAATAATTACAGACAGAAAAAATGAAATATGTATCGTTTTGGCATAATTCCTGAAAATTATTAAATGTATCGCGTATTCCTTGTTTTTCGTATATAACACGTTTAAAAAATACATTTCTTTAAGGAAAATTTCATTCTCCGATGATAATTCTTGCCTCTACTAATTCCATGTGTAAGATTCCTAAAAACTATTTGCAAGAATTATTGAAACTCAATGGATTAACAATTATGTGTTAGATACCACAATGGGCACTTTATAATACATGGAAGAAGTTCACATTAAACTATATAGGAAATTTCAAGCAGTCTACTCAAAGTATGAATCTGACTTGTGGAATCATTCAGTTAAAACATGAATGTAATTGTGGCAAGAAATAATACTACTAATACTACTATGTAATAATACTACTAATACTATACATAATAATAATACATATAAATATACAAACATACTTGATGTATTTTAGTTTTGTACATACCAAGCATAGGACCAGCACACAAAAGAATTACTCCATTTACAATCATTTGGATTCCCGATGCATTAGGTAATTTATCTATTGGCACGTAACAAGGTATTACTAAGCTCATGTATATTGAACGTATCCCTTTAGCAGCTCCCAATCCAACAGCGACGATTATCAGCGAAATAAATCCATTGACGAATAATAAAGCTGTAATGAGATTAAACAGATTCATGTTACGAAGAGATATTCTATGCTAAAATAGTAAATTTGAACATATGTTTTAAATCTTAAATAATTCATCGTAGCCAAAAGTGTCCTTTCACGTGATTCACAAGCAAACTAGCTCGTTTCTATTCAAATTTATCTTTCTTACTCTACTAGGTTCGAAAAATTTGAAAGATTACTGTTAAGGTAAATTTTAAATTAAATAAAAAATTTGTCTATAAAAGTCGGTCTACTTCCAATAGAAGTAAAAGATTGGGAGGAAAAAATTCAAGCTTGAAGCACTTAGATCATCAACGACCCAGTTTACCTATGTAGACTTAATCCTCCGTGAGGATTTTATTGCTTTTTATTGCTCTTGGTTTTCAAAAAATCTGGAAATATTCTGAAATATTTTTATCAAAGGATCCTCATCAACACCTCTATGTATATTTATGAAAAATCGGTGAATACGTTTTTTTGACGAGGCAAGTGCTTATGAAACATTATTTTATTTTTAGTTGGTTAATTCAGAAATTAATGTTCTTTTATTAAATATGTGATAAACTATACTTACCTGATCGACTGATAATTAAGAGGCATAAGCTTCCTAGATACATTACTCTTGGTGGTTGCTGAAGCCACTCGCCGATAAAAGGAGCAAGAATTCTGAACAGCAAATCTACACTGGCAATAACACTCATTACAGTCGCTATTTGATTATTTGATATCTTCATATCCGACAGGAAAAAGGGTGTTAATTGAGAGAAATTTATTTCAGCAAAAATAGCTATGGACATTCCCAACATCATATTTACATAGATTGGATCTCGCAGTAAATCCAAATCAAAATACTCTGATATCGTCTTGAATATTCGTGTCATTGTCGATTCCTTTTCAGACCTAAAATTGATTAAATCTGATATTAAATACAGCTAAGATATAATATTTTTATTTTTCTTCCTCATTCTTTGAATTCAGTATATCACTGTCTGTTATCATCCTTCAGTATTCGAGGGATTAAGATTTATTAAAGCTGTTTAGAGCAATCGGTTTGAACAGTCATCCACGAGACTTCTTAAGATCCACAAAGTGAGAAATTCGTACCAAATATTCTTTGCAATTCTTTTGAAAAGAATACGTATGTCCTTGAAAAAATCAAGTATTTAAAACAAATATTTATTTTCCAAAGTACACTTCTTTGTATTTCGAATCGACATTTGTTATCATACTAAGAGTCATACCAAGAGAAAATATCTTTAACGAGTGATTGTACATAACAAAGTAAACCAAAAGGCAATAATGATCAAATTATAATTAAGGTTCTCTTTTTTCAATTATATATATATTTAAAAACTTCGTCAAGAACTACCATATAATCAATAATTTAGGGGTCAAGCGTTAAAGAAGCATTTTTAGGCTAACATAATATCCGATATATGCTTAGTTTCAACAAGAAGACAGTAACATATTATTCGTGGTATTACAAGTTTTCTGAGATTCACATTAGAACATGCACACGAACAGACATAAATATATTTTATATTATTAATTTCAGTAAAATATTTGTATCCAAACAAATTTCATTCCCTTTAAATTTCACGTTAATCCGATATACATACTTTCCATTGCTGTCAATATTTGCATTTGACACTGTGTTTGCATGAGTTTTTGTTAATAATGTATCGTTTTCCATCGTACTTTGATAATTATCCGTTTCAAGTTCATCTATGCTACTGCACCTAGTTAAAGGTTTCTCTTCAAAAATTTTTATACTGCTGCCGAGATTGATTGTCTCAATGCTTTTTACTAAAATAAGAACATATGTATTTCCAATTATTTATTTCATTATATTTTAACTAGTCTTATTTAAAAAAAATTCATATACTTACACCGACGATTACAAGGCTGAACTTTTCGACGTTCCTTTCCCGTTTGACCATTTTCGGTAATTATGTACATGTCAACTTCCTTTTCTCCTAACGAAGCTGCGTTAACATTTCTTTTAATAATCATCGTTCGTATAATCAAGGTGCACTAGCATGAATATATGATAAATCTATCGCTTACAACTTAATGTTTCAGACATCTGTCGAGCATAGGGTATATCAATTCCATATATACTTCCAATCTCTGCATCGTGATCGATACTTGAAACAGTCGTTTTTCTTGGTACATTAATTAAGTCTAATATTGAACTTTTAAAACTTTCTTCGTCTTGGAAAACACTGCGCTTCCGTGCTAAAATAAATTTCATTTTAATCTAGAATTTTTCCAAATTTTGTTAATCTTGACGACTTTGAAAATAATTATAAATGAAAAGCTAATTAACAGTCCATTATTGTTTTCATCATTAACCGTATAATTAATTTTGAAATAATTAGAAAAGATGAATTTAAAATAATTATAATATAAATTAGAATATAAATTTTGAATAATAATTGCAATTAAATAAATATCGAATGACAGTAAAAATTAAATAAAAAAAAAAGTTTGTCTCTGTTCCTACTCCTTGAACAAATGTTTACCCCTGATTGTATTTTCATTCTCATTCTTCGATGATTCATCGTTGACACTTTCCGATTTAGTAGCATTTTTCGTATGCCATTTGAGTGGATGAAGTAACAAGCTACCTACTAATGAGTGCAAAGTGAACGCTCCATACAACAATATCGTACCCTAGTAATATAAAATTGAAAAATGTAAAAATTCTAAACATAGGATTAATTAAACGTTTCTATCTCACATTATTTTTATTCAGTTAAATAAATAGTTAATAATAAATTAAATAGCAGAATATATATAGTAGAATTAAAATATAATTTCCTTTAGTACTATACAATGTGTTTAAAAATACCTGAGATCCATAATATGAACTTAATAAAGTGGTCACTTGAGGTACAATTATGGGGCCAACTCCAATAAGTGTCATTGCTAAGGATATTGCACGTCCCCTTTTTGTCGTGAAGTATAAGTTTAACGCATACGAGAAAGCAGATAATGTCATCGACGTACCCAATGCTGTGTAGAAAAGACACTGTTTAGAATTAAAACACAGGTAACGTTTATGTTTAAATATAATATTTCCCATTTGACATGAGCATAAATAATTAATGATTGCTTATGTAGATAGCAAGAGCGTCGTAAGACAAAGAGTTGGCATATTCATAAGATTATGTAATGATCGATACTCATACTTTCTTGGTAAACAATGGAACAAACTGTTGTTAATTAATTTAAAAATAGGAAGCGAGTCCTTCCTCTTTGCAGAAAGGCAGCAACCTTTATTACATGAAGAAAGCCCAATACGCTACATTAAACGAAACGATAGAAAAGAATTTCATAGCTAGTTTTTTTAAAATTCATTTTTACATTATTTTCCAAAAGTAACGAAGATATTCAAGTACACAAGATAGAGAAAACACCCTGTGTATATGGTAATCTTCTTATTATTTATTTATATTATTTAGATATCCAAATAATTGGCTTTTATAATAGTATACAATGGAAATTTCACTTACATGCGACTATACCATAGAAGATCATTAAACAGGTAAAAGATTTGGCAAATGCTGTTATGATTACTCCACTGCTGAATACTATACTACCGATCATAGCCATTTTCCTATATCCGAAAAGTCGTAGAAGCGGACCGTTTATCAATCCAAGGAGCATGCCGGAAGCTAAGTTTGTATTAATAATGATTGTTCCCTCCGTCGCAGTGAACCCAAAACGAGGGAAAATATCTTTAAATATTAATCCAAAACCTTGCATAATCGATACGGTACATATCTATATATAAGAAAAATTCAATAATATTAATAATCGCAAAAAAATTCATCGATATAGATAAAAGTAAATCTTCAAGTATAAATTTAACTAAATGATAAAGCCCTTATTTCGATTAATAAAAAGATAGAAATTACTCTGATATAAAAATTATTATTATTTTGCAAACAATAGAGCACAGGAGCCACTTGAAAGAAATCATAAATTCTTTCCTATGATAAAGTAACGATATAAAATTATCATGCTACGGGTGAGGAGATATTTCAATTCTAAGTAATACCGATAGTGTATCGATGGAAATTTATTTTAATTAAGAAAGTGACATGAAAACGTTTCATTAGAAAAAACTGATACTTAGGCTCAATAACGACGTGCTGACGATCATTTTGTTAACTGTGCTATTTGAACGATGTAAAAATATAACAGTTGCTATAAATTTATTATTACATCTAACGTACCCCGTTCAATGAATATGCCAGGACGATCATCCAACCCCAGCTTCCATCTGGAGGTAATTTAGCAGTGTTTGATACGCTCATTTTCTTCTTTTTCTTTTTCTTTATTCTTGTTCAGATTGTATCACACCATAATAAAATATGATTGCATTGGCTTCTTTATTTATATCATCTTCGTTCACAGAACATTAACAATAAAAATATATTAGCTTTTAAGTAATCTTCTTTACAATTGTTCGGTTAACATCTTACGTATGTTTCAAAGTTATATTACCTAATGTTGCGTTTCATGTGGTTATATCATTTACATTTAAACGGGATTAATTTCTAATAACAATGATAGTAATAACGGCTTAAAAAGTTAACACAACAGATTAATTCCTAATAACAAATAACAGTATTATAACGTAAAAGGTTTCACTTATTTTTTAGTGAACACATTTTGCCATTCTTTTCAACATAAAAGACATGAGTTATGCTCACACAATTTCATAACAATGTACTTAAACGAAATTAAGACAATTTTACAGCATAATAGAGTAATTACAATAAACGACGTTGATATCAGTCTTACGTTTCTAACATGGCAGGTACTGAGAGAAGTTTTCCGCACAAAGTGAATTCTACCTTGTAAACGATAAAGTCAAGTACGTACCGCTGATTAATCTAATCTTTATCTTTATAATGCTTTGTCATTGCATATCGCGTAAACTGAAAATATTTCGTTATTAATGTAAAATCATATAGCATCGTGTTGTCCTAATTTTTATGTTTACATCATTTAACACTTCAAGTGTATAAAAATATCATCCGCCTGCATTTTACAATTCACGTTACAACAATGAATTAAAATTGCTCGTAATAATACGAAAGGATAGATAATCAGCAGTATTCATATCTTCTTCTTATCTCAGAAAAGCTCATATCTAAAATTCAATGTTAACATTTACATAATTTAAATACATTGTTAATTACTTGTTATTTGTTTATACATATGTATATGATCGTACAGCATTTTTTGTTATAAATCAATACGAAATACGTGCTCGTTTATTTGTCGTTGTAGAAATTCCATATCATGGAAAAACACGTTGATTGCCGAGGAAATTTAATTCCAGTGATCTGGAATCGAGACTGAACTAACGAACAGATTATTTTCTGCTAATTCATAAGTTTGTTTTAAATAATGAAAATTTCCATATTCAAAAATGAGGGAAACAAGACGTTCTATTCATTCTACGTCAACGAAAAAGAAGAAGAACAATGTTAGAGTTGCATGAATCGTCAGCGTGTTAAATGTTTAATTTATTTGATGTCTTTTTCTTCTTCTGCTGTCGTTGACTTTCGTTTCGTAAAGTAGGTTTCTAACCACCACGAAATTACAGTCAAGTAGGTGAAAATGTTCAAAAAATGAAGCATAATTGCGTAATTTGAAGTTACGTCTCTAATCCAACCAACTATTGGTCCTAAGGTCAACGAAACAATACCACAAGTTAAAAGTTGTATACCAGTCGCAGCCGGAAGCTTCGACAGAGGAACATGACTAGGGATTGCAAGGGCCATAAAGATTGTTTTCAAAGCTTTCCCAGTACCAATTAGAACCGCAACTGCCAAGGTAACTCCAAAATTTTGAACGTGCGCTAAAACTGAAAAAAGTTGACAGACATATACAAATTATATGTTCTTTATATGATGCTTTATATGATGCATATACGTATAATAGTATATAGTATATAGTATAGTATAATAGTAAAGAAATGAACTAAAGAACATCATAGAAATAGGATAAATATTGTCATTCTATTTCTATAGTTTGACCCGATAAAAATGAGAAATTTAATTGATTCTTTTTAAGTACGTATTACGCAATTCCGATGGGAATTATGTAAGTAAGCAGAAAAATAGTCCGTAATGTCTTAGTATTATACAAAACGGTAAATGATTTTCATATACAAGAATTCATCAATTAACGAGATAGTACTAATTATGTATAAAATACTATTAATTAAAATAATCGAAAGACGAGAGACGTTGTTTTATATACCATATTGATAAACTGAAGGTCAAAGTGAATAGACATTCTCAATTTTATCATTTCCATGTTATTAGTTCTATCATATACTGAAAGAAATCACTAAATTTCAAGCAAATGACTGTATTGATTCCTTACCAATACGACCTGCTGCCATTCCACAAACACCAACTAGAAAGAAAGTCCTATTTTGCCATCCGATAAAGTCGGCAATAAAAGGAATTGTCAATCTAGTGGCCACGTCGAAACTAGCAAGAATTGACATCACAGTCGCAATCTCAATTTTTGATAATCCACGTTCGCTCAATATGAACGGCGTTAAGAGCGAAAAATTTAACTCTGCGAAATTGGCGAAGGTAATACCCAACATTATATTTACGTAAACAAAATCGCGAAGAAGATCTAGGTCGAAAAAGATTATCAATGCTTCCAAGAACGTTTTCTTTGTCGTCTCCTCCACACATTCCTAAAATTAATATATTTTTCTATGTTAGTAGTTTTCTATTTTTCTAATTTTCAATTTTCTTATCTCTTCATTTTTTCTTTTTCTTTGCTTCTCTTTTACACTTTTAAAACTTTAATCAAATTTACCTTCTTCAAGAGTTGATTATTTTCAAATTCTTCGAGCATTATTGAATTTTGTTGCGATTTATGCTGACAATTTGGATCTTTGCAATCTTCAAGATACGCAGCATGTTCGCAAGATTCGCTAGCGATAATCAATGGAGCGGTGGATGGTTGATAACTCAAACGTCTTCTTCGACTTTTTTCTGTCTCACTGTTTGGTCTGTAAACAGTTCTAACGTAATATTATATTTCATGTACGTATGTACATATATATACTCAAGCTTATATTTGTATTAACTAAGTGTTACGTAATATTAATTACAAAATAAATAATTTAGATTTAGCAATAGCAAAAAGCTATTGCTATTTATTTACCATCGAAGATTAAAGTATTGCAGGATCAAAATATTTAATATCAATGTCAAATTTGGCAGCGAAATACCTATATTGTATATATTTACCTATGAAGATTTTTAACCGACGACCTTTTATTAAGGCTGGCTTGTCTACTTAAATTTATTGATGGTGTTGGGCTTGGAGTCCATGAAAAGCTTTCCTTTCTCGATGATTTAGACGTCATCGACGTAGTTGAAGTGTTTCTTCTAGAGAACCTGTGTATATTTCATTTCTTATCTTTTAAGTTGCTACACATAAAGAAAGCGTTTAGATCTTAAATTTATTGCACGTAAAAACGACGTGCATGAAAATCATGTTATTTAAGAAATATTACTTAGTGGAGTAGATTAGCTAGTTTCCAATCTGCGCATAATGCGTTTTACTTAATAACTGAAATACAAATTTATGAAGTTCGAACTGTTATTTATAAAGAATCATTATCGTTGAACTAGTTTGTCATTTTTTCTATTGTTATTTTTCTATTGTTTCTTATCACTTTCTACATTGTACACTTCTAATGACAAAACGAACCACTATGAATCTCAGTTTTTACTGTTATTCCATACATTTTCACACCTACCATCCATCATTAGATCGGGACATCATTGGTGTTCCAGGACTCATTACATCTATACCGGAAGCACCATATTCTTCATCGTCATAATACAAATATTGGCTTCCAAACTTCCTTTTCACAAGATTCGAAATACTATAATTACTTTGCGTATTCTTGGCAACATTTTCCAACGATGTACTTTGACAAGTAACATTCGTCGTTATCTACAAAAAATATAACTACTTTTTACTACAAGCTTTAAACGTTGATAAAAACCATTTCTTAACATTGTAGTTGTTTCTTATATTGTTTATATATGTTATTAAATGATCCTTATGATAGTTATCTTTACGCTGTACCTTATCAGTCATTGGCAATTCTTCGGCATTCACGTTTTTGATATTCGGAGATTTTTCTATATCTCGTCCTTTTTTTACATGCCAAGAAGCAGGTTGCAACAGAAGAGCACAAACTACGGCGTTAAATGCAAAACCGCCAAAAATAAGTATAGTACCTTCCATACCATATATTGGCGTCAGCAATGTAATTATCTAGAAATTAATATAATTAATACTATATTATTATAATATATTACTATAATTATAATATAGTTATTACTATATTGTATCGACTATAACTTAGCTCTTGTATTAAGAAAGAGCCAAGTAATATAATACAACACAATGAAATAGAAATATAATATAGTAACTAAGAGTTCAACGTAGGAATATAACTAGGAATAAGAGTGCAGCAACTGTTTTGCCAAAATATGTCTTTGGCATATTTTCATTTTCATTAAATAACACTTCCTCTTTTTCAATAGACATGATTACATGACTGAATTCCACAAGATTTGTACGGAAATTTGTACATCTATTAGTTTTATCTATATTAATCTCTTAAAAATAATCTGCAGCAACTCTTTGTAACTGGCTATGGGCCTATTGTACGAATAAATTATTATATTATTGTGTTTTTATTATAACTTAACTTTCGGAGCTAAAAGAGATAAGCGACATTTAATATAAATTCATCTTTTCTGTGGAAAAATCCGCTAGAATTAAAACAGTATGTACAGGTGTCCATATTTTCTATTTAAAGGTAATTTCATGATAAACTTTTTTATTTCGTTAATACAACATAGCGCTATTTAAATATTTGTTATATCATTGTACTCGTATATCGAAATTTTTTACAACTATATTTTTCCTCATAGATTACTTTTATAGATTTATAGATCATACTTGCAGGTATGATATCTCAAGTTCTTAAAATGCTTTCTCAAACTTCAATGTAACCATAAGAAAACAATGTTTTCGCAATGTTTAATCTCGCTATCTTGTTAGCCAAGAACACAAAGCTCCGTACATTTATGGCTTATGACTAACAAGTAACAATCGTGTATGTAAAGTTAGTCCTTGAACAACGTAAACGTTGCTCTATATCATTTTGTCGACTATTCATGTATTTTGTAAGGAAATATTCAATCTCGTCATACTTCAGAAAAAAATGGTCTACTCCACTATATTAATCTAATTGTCTAGAATCAATAATTTGGGAATTATTTTATGTGGCACTAATTTTTTATAAAATTAAAAAGTTGTTACACAATTGAAAATTGCACGGAAATACTTAAGTATAATCTACCTGACTTTTCTTTATTTATTGTACGTTCAAGAATTATTATTTTCTTTCGTATAAATTATACTTACTTACTTGCGGCATTATTATTGGTCCTATGCCAGTACAGGTCCAGCTAAGGCTAATAGCAATTCTTATTTTCTTTTTGAAGTAAGCATTTAAAGCTATAGTATTTGATGACATCGTTATACCAAGTCCAGCACCTGAAATCAGCAACTCAAACGTTAAACATCTGTATTTTAATACTTTTTTTTTTAAATAAACTTATAAATAGAGTATCATTGAAATTTGCACGATGAATATTTTATCATGTCGTTCTTTATATTTCGCTGTTAACATTACCCAAATTTATCTATCTTGTATTATCACCTTCGACTTACCGTATAAAATAGAAAAGAAAATTAAAGCTCCGGTAAAAGTTCTTGTCATTGACAACGCTGTGATCGATACAGCGCAAATTAGAGTGCCTACGAAAGCTACTTGCCTATAGTTGTATTTTCTAAACAGGGGACCATTAGCTAAACCTACAATGTAAAACATCTTTATTAAAGAATTTTAGATAAATTCGTTAATTTATCGCTGTTTATAATCATGGGGATGTGGTACAAAAATTACAGATAGTAGTATTAATGATATTAACACTAATTTTACCAAATGACCTTTGTCAAATGACCGGTTTCAAAATTTAATTTAAAATTGTACATTTGTCGTTTTTTCTTTTGTTCATCTAACTTTATGTAAATTCTTGTATTACCTGATTAATCAATCTCCTAATTTTTGTTAACATAAGAATTTCCATAAAGTTGTATTATTAAACTTGTATTATCTGATTAATCAAATTCCTAACTTTTGTTAATATAAGAATTTCCATAAAGTTAGATGAACAAAAGAAATAACAACGAATGTACAATTTTAAATTAAATGTTGAAACCGGTCGTTTGACCAGGCGTGTTAGTGTTAAGAAATATTCTAATAAAATATAAATGTCATATAACGTAAACAGCGTGCTAAGGTAAATAAATTACGCTCAACGTAACTTCTAGATTAAAATTTCTTTTCGCTACTTGGAAAACATGTTTAAATTATCGCAACTACATAAGCTTTTCCATTTTAAATTCTTCTCAGGATCTATGACTACAACTGTTTGTCAGCAAAGACAATCGTTGCATTTAATTAAGTTTGATGAATTTGTGGGATATTCGTTCGTAATATTACACAACTACCATTGGCAGCATGAAATGATAGGTAGTGATACACCTAGCGATACGTTATAAGATAGTGGAAAAGCACAAAATCCCCATTTGATGTTAAGATAAAAACATGCTTATTTTTATCAATACCACTGTTACGCACAGTAACGCACTGTTTCATAAACTGATAGAGTTTTATATCGTCATGTTTAGCGAAAAGATAATTAATGATGAAACAGTGTTAAAAGGATTATGTCAAAAGATTATTATGTAAGCGAAAAATCAGTACGAATAATTGGAAAACAACTTACCAGTGCAAGAATTTACTGCAAAATTGATATTTATTATAGTCGTTGTTTGTGACGAATTGATTCCTAGTTCTGCAAATCTGTCTCTAAATATTAATCCGAAAGATTGCAACATTGTTAATATACAAAGCTGTAAAAATTCCATTCACAGTTGATTATATTTTTAGTAAGCATAGATTTCCAATCTAAAATATTTATTTATGCGAGAATGAAAATTTAACGATGATTTCGCATTATTAATAAGATAAGCTCTAAATTGCAGAATATATAATAAAAATGACAAATTTCCTAATTAAATCAAACATTACATATTTCTGATTTACATTTAAAATAAATCATTATAATATAAACAATAAGCTTTATGTAGAAAAAAATTGTTTAAATTATGTACATCTTTGTTACATTAGATCATAAATCATATAAAATGTTTAACATTGATTGAACGTTTTGTCATAAAAATGTTATTATATTATAGATACTAAAAATTGAGAATAACCATAACTTACATTAGAAAATCCAGCTGCTGCTACTACAACCCAACCCCAACCACCATCAGGTGGTTCAAAATTTTCTTCGGAATTATATACATTTTCCGTTTTTTTCTTTGGCATATTTTCATTTTCATTAAATAACACTTCCTCTTTTTCAGTAGACATGATTACATGACTGAATTCCACAAGATCTGTACGGAAATTTCTGCATCTATTAGTTTTATCTATATTAATCTCTTAAAAATAATGAACTAATACCTGAAAATATTAAGAAGCATTATACGTTCTGTTCCATTAAAGTTGCGATACAGTCATTATTAAACGTATAAGATATTTTAAATTAACGCTAACAGTAACTACCAAACCCTGTATTATTAAATATTTATTGATTAAAATAAGTATGTTTCGTACACATTTATAGATCAAAAGTTCTTTCGCTTTATTCTAATAGACGCAGCAATTTTTTTTTACTTATGCGATATATATATGCAATGCTATGCTCTAATTTAATGATTCGAATTATACAGTTGGGACACGTTTATATCATACGTTTATAATATCTTGAAATTTCATTACAATGAATGAATTGAAGAAATTGAATAATCTTTGGATTATTAAATACATTATACATTATTAAAAATATTATTATAAAGTTCCTAAATAATATCGAACGAGCACAGCAATACAAAAACATTTTCTTTCCACTATTAAACTTCCACTTAATAAATTTTTACTTTTAGAATTCAACACTATACTAGCACATTCAACGACTCAGCTCAAATCAACTTATCTAGATTATAGTATATTTGGCTATGTTAAAACGAAGTTCTTAATGCATGTAAAAAATTCATAAAAACTTGAAAAACAATGAAAACAATTCTCGATGGACGGTATGCGCATTCGAAGCATGAAAAATTAAACTAACGTATTCACAATTGCGATTCAAGGTGTGTATTACATCTCGAAAACACATTGACTCATGCTTGATGATGACTGAGATTAACATTTGGCAACATTTCTTAACTTCGGATTGTGCATCTTGGACCTTATGTTATTCAATGACTGCGTCAGAGCTAAATATTATCTGCTTTACATATATGATTAGCTATGATTAGCTCACCGAGCATAAATTTATTGTTTGCAAAAGAATCTCATGTTGTACTAGAGATTCGTTTGAACAAAAAGAGCGATAATAATATTACATTGTAATGCAACGATGCTTATCAATTTATATTTCAGCTTTATTTACTGATTCTATGCTGGAAGCTATTATTTTTCATATTTCATTTAAAATATGTATATTATTTTAAAAATTTAAATGCATTACAATTGTATGTGGAGTGCTTTAAAAAACTTTACTGAAGATTCTGTAATGTTTAATAGTACATATTCGCTATACTGAATATACATGAAACTGTATAAGTACAAAACGTTCAGTTTGTGCTGTAAAATTACTGTGTCGTGTAAAATGATTATCAACTATATGCCGATAGTGCAACAATGTTTAAATAGATAGTACTTGAGCATTCGCACCTATAATATACATGTATATATATACGAGGTCTCCCACGTAACAAATTGTCAAAAAGTCAAGCTATAACTCCGTAACTGTAAAAGATAGAAAAATATTTTATTAAGCGAAGTTAAACAGTTTCAAATAACGCACGATCGGGATCTTAAGTCACACACTTTTCCATGTCTATTTTTAAGTCTCTTTTTTTAAGTAAATTTGTAAATCTTTTTTATAGATCAATCTGTACCTGTAGCTGAAACTACATAGCTCAAAAGATTTCATCAAACTGAGTGTATGAAAGGCAAAGAAAACAGAAATATGGAAATGTTGCGTTGTCATTTTCCATATAATAAATTTTACAATATTAAGATTAAAACATATTTGAAATTAATCAGTTGTCGATATAAGTGCTTTAATAGCTTTTTATAAACAATTTAAAGATCGATCGATGTATACAAAAATTTATAATTCCATTTAAAGATATACAGGTGATTTTGAAATATTCAAAATACCGTTACTTTCAGAGTGGACAGCTACGGCTAGATTAATCAAAATTTTACCTATGATGAAATTCTTTTCTATCTTCTACCGTTGCAAGATTATAGTAGAACAACAGCGATGATATATCCTATACCTATAAGACCTATTCAATAAACAAAAAACTCAGCTATTCTAGCTTTAGCTCTGCCCTTATTATTGTTGTCATATCAACATACAAACTATCTCGAGTAACACCTAAAATGCGTCATGTCATAATTAGATCTATATGTCAATAACAACATCAATCAAATAAATAGTCACTTTCAAAATTTAACGTATATCTGTGTTGATGGTGAAGATTAGCGGAGTTATAGAGGTCGCGCTAAATAAATTTATTTTTGTTTCATCAGAAAATATAACAGTTTAACAAAATTCTTTATCATGATTTAATAGATTTTAGCGAACTCTAAACATTTTTCTCTTTGACTTTTGAGATGCAAGATTTCTTTCTGGCAATTCTTAGCCATCCTACTATGATATCCTTCTTTACGTAAGGTTCTTCAAACTTTGTGTCCGTTCCCTCAAATATACTTTTGCTAATTCTTATTTATCTAATCCCTATTTGTCTAGTTCATATTTATCTAATTTTTATTTGTTTAATTTTTTTATAAATTTAATTCTTTCCGTGTTAATTCCTGGATTTATTTCTATATGTCTGTAAGTAAATCTACTATTGATATTCGATAATAATTTTTTTTTTAAATTTTACGCTCAATTTTGTAAATAACTTAAGCACACATACATACACATATGTTTATATTTGTTATGTATGGTTGATATATGTTTATATATATTTTATAAAATCCGTGATTTACTGTTGGACATAAGTTTTATATCTTTGCACGTAATTGTATCCATCTGAACTAAACATGTTAATTTACTTTTATTTGAATATATAGTTATATCTTAAATATCTTTATCGATATTTAGTTCTCTTTTACATCTTATTTTTATTATCTTTTGCGAAATTTAATCTCTTTCTCTGATTTGTTTTATTAATAGTCTAGTTTTTCCTTGCAACACAGTATATGATACAATACAGTAGGACTGCCTATAACGCGAGATACACGTTCCGTGTTATACAGATTTCGCGTTATATGAATCCAAAAGCGCAAAAAAAAAAAAACTATAACTAAATAAATATGTGATCTTTTTTTAGTATGATAAAATAATATGCGTTCCACGATAATAACTTTTACATAAAGCACACTGTAAACAATCCCTCCTTGTCGCACAAGAGTTAATGCAAAACTGAGTTTCGAGTCAATTCAAACGTACGCATATTTTCATATCAGAAATGAGTCATTTCCAGCAATTTCTTCATCACGTCATACGCATGGCGCAATTTTTAGTCGTCGTTATGGGAGTACCGCGTTACAGAGTGTCCGACTGTACAGTACAGTATATCTACAAATTTAGGAATTAGTGTAACTGGTATTCTTTATTTCGTGAATGTACATCAACGTCACCAATACATAAGCTGTGAATATATTATGTATTGATATATAATATAATATTCTATATATTATAACTATATACATATATAAAATACAGGAATATGTAAAATAATAATACTAGTAAATATTAATATATCTGAAAATTTATTACTTACATGAATAAGTGCAACATAAAATTATAAACAAATTATTTGATAATAGATAACTTACAATATATTTATACAAAAATAATTGATATTTATACAATACAATATACAAAAATACATGATATTTATCATTGATTAATAAATGGTTTATGTTTAAGATCATTTATCAAGCCTAATAATTGTGCACGTTTTGCATGCACTAATTTTTTTACCTGGTTATAATTACATCCATCCATTCTTTCATTTTTCAAAATATGATTTATAATAACATCTGTTAAACATAACACATAAACTCCACAATCATAACTATTGTTTTGCTGTGGACTATCTACCTCAACAAACTTCTTGTTAGGTTCATTCTTATCAAATACGCAATCCATTACATTCTTTGCAAATTTTGACGCAATAGTAGCATTAGATCCTTTTGCCGAATCAAAATGATAACATGTTTTATCTCCTTTACAAAATATTAATAAACTCCAATGTGTTCCTCCAGCTGTATCTTTTCTATCACAGTTATTCAAAGGGAAAATCATACATTTGCATTCAGATATACTAAGAGGGTCCAAAAATATAATATATTGATCTGGATCTGTCATTTTTAACAGTTGCGTTAATTCAGGACTGATAAAGTAAAAGTCCTTTCTCTCATTCTTGTTAAGTGTTTCATCCAAATATTCAAAATAAAATCCTATTATAACATCATTCAACCAATATGATCCTTGAAGCAATGTAACATCACTTATTCTCAGTAAATAGTCGTAGTAGCTCAAAACAACTTTATTTGATGGGTCTGTTGCCATGTTGTCAAGCAATCAAAAACAATACAGATGAAAATCTGTGGAAAGTTAAATTTGAGTTATACTTAAAACTATACGATACAGCATATTCATATGAAATAAATAGAAGCAAACCATTTAAGTTAATGTATCGTAAAACAATAAATTTAATATTTAACAAATTAACGAAATTTAATGTATATTAACATTTTTAAATCGGAATGTCATTTATTCGATTGTTTTTAAGTAAATATTATAATATGTGAATGACTTTTCTGTTTTATGTTAGTATCATCTTCTGCATATTATATATATTACCATAAAAATTTAAAGATCTTTTTCAACAACTTTCTTCATCACTTTCGACATAACGAAAATCAAACCACTTTTGTTTCTTCTCTATGTACTAAATGTAAATTCGAATCCTCTCGTATTTTATAACGTATGTTATGTATAAATTAAAACATAAAATAGAGAAGAAACTTATATAAAATAATAAACAATATTTTCTTATGACAACAGTCTCACAGATGGCGCACATTCATTCAACATACTCTAGTTTAGAGTTAGAGGATTTGTTTTTATTTATCTCACGATATACAATTTTTCATGTTTCGATTACATTGGCAACAATAACAAATATTCAACCTGATAATATCAAGTACCTCACTCTATAAAATATTTTCTTTTTGACTTTCCCGCATTTTATGACGAGCCTTGCAGTTCTGCCACGGCGCAGCGCATTAAGCGCCGCCATTTGTGAATCAATGCTTGTGTTTCACGTTTCACATCAATACGCCATTCTCGAATATAAATTATTAGAGTCTGACAATTTGAATATAAAACTGTAATATGTCAGTTAATAAAATCATATAGACTGAAATACTGAAATAATAAATATCACAAAAATTCATTGATAAATTTTTTATTACGACATATTTCAACAGTAGTAAAAAAAATAAATTGAAAGTACGAAATTATTTTCAAAATTATTTTTCAGAAGTTAGTATTTTACAGTAATTTCTTATTCATTTTCCTTAATTGCAGCAAATACGTCATGAATCTTTTACATTAACTTCTGACGCGTATTAATTCGTGTAAGATAAACTTTTTCTTCTACAGTTCTCCACAAGTAAAAGTCCATGGACGTGATGTCTGGTAATCTCGGAGGCTAAGGAATTGGAATTGTTTATAGAATATACTAGTAAAGTTTTGCAGAAAAAGATTGGAACATCCTATATATACCTTGTAGATCTTTAAATATTAAGTTAAATTTTGTTGAATATTACAAATATTTCTTTAACGTACTAATATACGATAACTAAATCGATATCATAGAATAGTTAATTCTATTTACAAATTATAAATTATGAAATAGAAATAAATTTGATTTCAATTAAACCTTCTTTGGCTGAGTCATATATCAGTATCTGTAAATAATATTTCTTGGCGAATGCCACCACTTCTAAATTTATGTAAAAATCCATTTGCTCTACCATCGAATTCAGGGCAATTTAACATCTCTGTGACTGCAGATTTTCCACAAACTATAATCAGTGGTTTGCTGAAAACTAGTCTGATACCAACAACAGATCCATACTTCTCAGCTAATCGACACTAGGTATCATCATAATATTTCGTCTGATTTACTAATCTTGCGATATTTAATATATTTCCAATGCGGGGTAAATCTCGAGGACCTTAAATTTAAAAAAATTAAGAATGTGCATCATTAAATATGTAATTGTTTACATACAAATACATAATTTAAAACGTTCAGTAGATGAAAGTTTAGTAGACAAAAAAGTAAAAAAAGTAGACAAAAGTTTAATAGATGAAATTTTAGTGGTCGTTATAGTTGAACGATATTTTTATAATTAATACAATCACGAGGCATAGAACTCCAATCCACATTGTCGGCTCAATAAATGTTCACGATACATCAACTCTTGCTAAATAAAAGATAATAAATAAATGATTAAACTATTATTACGTGCCCGTAACTAAACGTTATGGTACGAAGCTAACCAAAGTCCTTTACTAACCATTGCTATCTCTTTATCTCCTCTTAATAACTGAATAATCCCGGGCTCCCGAACCTCGAGTCGATTTCGTCCGACTTTTGCCGAACTGATACAAAGTTAAAGCACTCGCTCATGCTGATGCATAATTACTTGTGGTTTAAATTAAATTATTTATAATTATTTCGTATGAAAGACATTTTATTAAATTCACTCTTGTTATTATTAAATTATTATAAATATTATCCCTGTCTATAAGAAATCGTTATATCCATTTCTTTCTCCCCATACAAATTCGTTTCAATAACTCAGGCAACTTATTAAAATAGAAAAGTATCACTGCAATAATTAAGTCGTAGTAATTAAAAGCGTTTCGAAAAATGTATTGATCCAGAAGCAATTGAATATTTTAAGAAACAGAATAAATACGATTACAAGTTGTTACTAAAAGTGTCTACATTTTAACGAATGCTGTTTTTCATTAATTGGAAAAGAAAATATATATGAGTTATAACGATTTAAAAATGTGAACTTCAGTCGACTCTATATTCTGTCTCAACCTAATGTACATTTGTATGTACGATATTTATGCAAAGTATAGTTTCGTATATTAATACGATGACATATTTGAATTTGAGAAAAATGTAATACACTACTTTCTATATTTCACGAAATTTTTAAATCTACATATGTATGCCATTTAAAGCTTAATGAGTTACATTCTGTAACGAAATCGAAAACGCAACTAATGAGAAGAAATATAAGTTTACTACCGCTATTTTCTTAAAGACGTAACGCAAAAACCAACACCGATCGTCCCGAAGCGCGTTATATAGAGAAAATGCATAGTCCTTTCACTAAAGTATCAGTTAAGAGTACTAAGGTTCAGATATAAAGTTTCAAACATGCTTCGATCGTAAAGAATTAGTATGCAGACTCGAAATTGTGTAATGTATGTAACAGCGGAGTATTTACACTTGCTAAATAAGACATTAAGTACCGCAATTGATTTAAACAATATAAACGTATTAACAAGACGGAGTTGAACGATGTTAGTCATATAAGATAATATATTAAATTTAACCGTTTAAGTTAATTTTTTCTTGATATTTTATTTGATACGATAATGATAATTCCAATGAGGCAATATTATCTTTTAAAAATACCCATAGCTCGTCTCTTCATGGACACATAGATTTAGTTCCATTTGGCTATGATTTTATTTTTCATTCATAATGAAAACGCTTTCAACGGGAACAAAAATGTCAATAGGACCTTGTTAATCATTATAGACAGTACACTCCGCTACAATTCGTTCGCACAATCTAAGAATTATACGTTTTTCTCGAGTATCCTCCTCCTTTCCTGTATACTTGCTGAGCGTACCCGTTCATCAAGCTCTGATTTTCACGCACGCCTTCCCCTTCACAAATTCTCGCACGGAATTTTCGGTAGCCGCATACCGAAATTGCTTCAACTATCTAAAATTACAGTTAATAAAATAAAATAGGGTAGTAAGTACTAATATTAAGTACTATTAAAATTAGAAGCTGAAAATATCCACTGACCTTTAAGAATGAGGTCCCGTGGTCATCTCAAGGTAGATCATCGACCGTGAGAAGTTCTCTTCTCCAGCCTCCCCACTCTATCCCTTACCATCACCCCCATTTTCCCCCACTTCCACTCTCAACAGCCAGTATCATATACCGCTGTGACACACTTCTGACTGGAATTTTTTTCAAACATGTTCCACACTTCAGGGTTCAACGATCCATCCAAGAGTATGATCTGTTACTCGGTAAGCACTGCTAGTAGGACACTGATCTCGATAGCTCTTGAAACGTGTACAAGGGCTGGTACGAAAGTAATGTCTTACCGGCTTACCAATTTTTAGATTATCGTATATCATTAGATTGCAAATATTCATGCAAATTCATATTTATACAATTCTCTAGGCAAAGCTTTGGGATATTTTATATATTTTTCCGCATTCTATAATATGTGCATTCTTGCATCTTTAGATCCTCTATAGATTACGAGGAAATGACAAAAATGCAGCCCTGTTTGCTACATGTAATTGCTCGATGCTTACTGTATTTTATCTCATTCACATTGAATACAAAACATAAGGATTAAATAGTAATTACTTATTATTATAGGTGATATACTAAGGAATACTAAAGAAAATGAGCGAAAGATTCTAAAAATATCAGCGATAATTAATGACAAATTTGTACAACTTTCACTGGTTTTGTGTTCCGGTATAAGTGTTAATCTGTGTAAATAGTCATTCGATTTCTTGCATTTCACTTTTCACATACTGGATTTATGTAAAGTACAATGCTTCAGTAATAGAAATAAATATCATGTAAATTATGGAAAACTTAATTCTATACATACAGAGGTAAAATTACCTAAAACATTTAAATATCAAAGTTATCAAGACTATCAGCAATGTAAACTTCGTTTTGATTAAATATAGAATGTTTACATTATTTTTCGACATATTAGTTATTTATTCCGTGATGAATACAATTGTGACAGTTGTAACATTACTTTTTTCGTTGTTCAACGACCTTGGATTTTCCAAACGAGTTCTAAAATTTATAAATATACAATTTTGTTTTAATTAAAAATTAAAAGAATATTTGTTAAGAAATGGATGATTGGCATTTAGTTTAATAACGAAAGAATATTAATGAAAGTTTAGTTAATTAAAATATTATTCATTACATTGTATTATTATCATTTTTCAGTATATTTAATAATGTAAAACATTTTTGAAACTGAAAATATTATATATCTTGTAAGATATCACAAGTTAAACAAAAAGATATATTAAAAAAGTATTTACATGGCTCAAAATTTTATTAACAATTTTATAGATATTTTATAATATTATAAATAAATAATATAAAAATAGGAAACGGCAAAACTGAAAGTGTTCACATAGAATGATATTCGTTCAGGAATTTCGTTCAGGAAACAAGCTTAAACATCTTCATTTACTTTTTGCTTTCAATTGTTAGAAACGCTTTCATTTATTCGATAATTTCAAATGAAATATCGATTATTTCGCTCCACTTACTTTCTCTCTCGTATTCGTACGACACCATTATTTAAGGTGAACTTGTACGTACAACCATCTCTCGTAAGTCGTGTTCTGTTTTCATATTTTGTAAAGTAGGTTTCTCATTTTCCGCTAGAGTTCCCCTCGCATATGCGGTCACGTGAATGCAAAAAATTCGGAATTCAAGCATCTAAGACGTGAAACCGGATTTTGACGAAAGAAGTGCTTCCATTTAGAGAAACGAACTAACGACACTTCAAAAAAGTTGCGCATACGCGAAAAGGGTACTGAACGGTATAGATCCTTTTTTTTTTTTTTTTCTAAAGTTATGAGAACTTAAACGAATACGAAGAAATGGAAGAAAAAGAGGAAAGTAATGGTACCGCAGAGAAAAAAAAATGTACACGAAAAGGATTTACCAAAGAATTTTCCATTTTATGCGACGATTATCGTACAAAGCTAGTCGAAACGAACGTACTTGCAAGTACGCGTGCTAACGCGATGCAGGAAGTAGAAGAAAGCGCGTGTAACGTGTACGCTATTGGAAATGTAGGTGATTCAAAAAGCGTATTGTCAAGCGTGATCTGTCTAGTTTTCATTACGCATATCCGCCCATTGCTATAATACACAGGAAGAATAGAACAAAGCGTATCTTTTTTTTTTAAATATCCTGCAATCAGATTCGTGAAATTTTTTGGAGAACACAGAGGTAGAGGCAGGTAGAAGTGGGAGAAGAGGATGAGGAATTGATGAGGTGCCAGAGAGAGGCGGAGAAGAGAGGAGAGGAGAGGAGAGAAAAGAAGAGAAGGGGCCAGAATGACACCGTTTGTGTGTTACTCATTGTTTTGCCGAAAGTGGTAGTAGTAGGGCGCAATGGTGTTAACTACGTATTTACTAAACGACGAAGGTGTAGTGGTAGCCGTTCTAGAACGTCAGATGCTAGCGACGAAGGAAGTGGCTTTCATTAGTAGTGGTGGAGGTGGTGGTAGTGAGCGCGCGGCACACTTCGCGCTTCTCTTTGTAAGTTCTCACAGTACCACGCACCTTGGCTTACTCTCGCAGGTGAAATAAACTGTTCCTTCAGCGCGATTCCATTCCGTTTATCGTTTCCGCGGAATTATTCTCTCTTTTTTTATGATTATTCACGTAACCGTGTTTGTAAAAAATCGAAAATCTTAATGTGTTCAACCGCGAGAAACGGCCTCGGCCCTGCTACTGTTACTAGTGTACTATGTCATTGAGAGGATCTGTTTGAACGAACGAAGAATCAGATATCTCTCGGCGACCTTTCTGTCGCCACGTGCTTCGTGTTCTCTGCATCTTTTTCGCAAATTCGCCGATCTTCCACGCGTACGATTCACCGAATTGGCCAGTTCCATCACCAACGTCCCTGCGCTTCACGTAATTAACGAGCCAGGTAATTTCTTTTCTCTCCGAAAATACATCAATTATCTACTTTTTTTTCTACACATTTAGAGATTTATGTAGAGAATCGCATGAACGATAGATACTTATACGACGGATTATAGTACTCGACTCTCATCCTTGCCTTTTACAATATTGTCAAGTGGTTCCAATATTTGTTCCAATATTTTATTAACATTATTTCGCTTTAAGATGACGCACCTATGGAATGTATTTATTCAGGAAATGAATATGAAAAATCATTCCCAAGGAGCGTTGGACAGCAAACGAGTCTTAAAAATATAGGAGAAAGTACACGGTCAAGTTGAAACGCGAGGACAGCTCTGTAGAGACACTACTTTAATTCTTCGCTATATTTATTACGCTTGTATACTAAAATTCTGTATAAAATAAAATGAGAAATGTGAATATTTGTATGCAATATAAATACATTGTATTTATATTATATAACAATAGTAAAAAAATCATGATCTATCTATAGATTATATTATATGCAACATAATTGAAGTTATACTTCATAATATGTAAAATTATTTAATCAAATTTATGAAAAATCGATAATTATAGAAATACAGCGACAAAGAAAACTTAAGAAATACGAGTATCCTATTATCAGCGATGAAATCATGAGAAATTGTAATGTTACATAAATAAAAGAATAACAATGATATTTCGTTACTTTTGTATAGATTACACTGTGATTAGGATATTGCATGGATTGCAACTTTAATATATTATATTACATAATCCTTATGTATCTTTAATTTATTGCATATAATAATAATATATCGCATATTTAAACGAAATAAGGAATTTTGCATTGAATAAAATCCAATAGAATTCTATTGCAATCTAATTCAAGTAGAATATGATTAGTAAAATACTCAAATTTATTCCAGTTCGGTATAATTTAAATCTTTAGATTTTCTCGAACGAATATAATTAACCGTTGCAGAGATTTTATAGAAGTACGTATTTTCTGATTGATCGACGACTAATTTTGTCCGAAGCCAATAATTGTAACCCAATTTTTTTTAGCGAAGCCTTATATTTTTAGATTCTCGCTGACTCCGCTTAATAAATGATTATTATGTTCCTTTCGACATAAATCGATTTTAATGCGAAAATAACGAGGAAAATAGGAAATAGTATAGAAAATAGATGTGAAGAAGCTAACATATAAAAGTTGAATCTGTGTGGATTGAAAACTTTTAGTATATATATATATATATAATATATGTATCGCAATTTTCTTTAGTTCCTACTAGTTCGTTATAATTCACATAGAGGGATATCAAGCCTTGATCTGATTTTATGCATCGTGTGAGCCTGAAATGATACCGTTTTACAGTCATTTTATCTATTATGTACTACTAAAGTTATAAAGCATAATTTTGCAAAAGTTAAACACATAATTTGCAATTGCGAATATTACACAAATTGACTTACATTAGTCACGAGTAAATCGTAATTGACTTATGTTAGTCACGAATAAGTTACGAATAATGTATAATAAATATATGTAGCAATGTTAATATTACATATAAAAATGTAATAACGAATAAACCTATGACAGTATACTATATACCTTATCTAGTGTACTAGATATAATAACAATATAATATAATAACAATAATAAGATATTCCCCCATACGTATAAGTATGCGTAACAAACTTATTCAGTGTGCCCATAATGCGTTATAATATCGTCGCTTACATTGAAAGACAACTAGTTCCTGTTGATTAGAAACAGTATACTATCGAAACCAATAAATTCTTGGCATCGAAACATTGATCCTATGAAATAAGTTGTTGTTTAATTCGCAGAATGTATGGACCGATTTTCTTCGTTACCATTCTCGGAGCATTTCATGAAATTGCCGCCGCCTCGCAACACATTAACAAAGATCTCACGAATCACTACAATGCTCGTTTTCACGTTTACGAAGAACCGTACAGTATCGACTTCACGTATCATAATTACGAGCAAATGAGTCGTTTTCTTCGGACAACATCTCTTCGATTTCAAAACCTCACTGCCTTATATTCTATAGGAAAATCCGTGAAAGGTATGCTTCTCGAGAAACTTTCCCTTCTTCTACTTACAATTAGTACCGTTTTAGTATTAAAATATTTATCCGGATATATTCATGTTCTATGACTGTATTGCGATATTATGTCAATTATTTAAATACAAATATGTCTTTGATTTCTGTGACGTTACATATCTATAATGAAACAAAGGTATACATATTTTACAGGTCGCGATTTGTGGGTAATGGTTGTTTCTTCCTCGCCTTACGAGCATATGATCGGTAAGCCCGATGTAAAATATGTGGCCAATATACATGGGAATGAGGCTGTAGGTCGTGAATTAATGTTACATCTAATTCGCGTAAGTAGCTGTACGATACATGTCACAACTTCATTAACGAATTTCTACACGTTCTGAAGAAGAGCAGCGTTATACGTGAAAAAGAAAACGCCTGTATTTCATACATAGAATTTATCTGCGTATATTTGAGGATTTTATACCAATAGTTAATATTTCCGATAGTTATAAAATGCATTAATATCTCTTGCTCCTGCCTAAAATTCCTTATTGCTCTGTTGATATCGTGTGTTATAATTATCAATGTGTACCATTTTACTAAGTACGTTTTTAAATGAAACGCTTAGATTTAACGCGTAAATTTTAAGCAAAATTTTTTATGCAAATAGTAAGATATTTCGAAACTTACTCGCTTCGTTAAAAAATTTGTTACATACCTTTAACACGTTTGTTGACGAAATGTAGAAAAGAAGGGAGTAAAATTCAAGAAGAAAATAGAGGAAAAGAAGTTACTTTTGAAAACTTGATGAAAAAGTTCGATATATTTGAGTTAATCACTTATACATATACATATGTAGATCTCGTTACGATAAAGCGATATTAATATACAGAAATTCTACTTTTTACTTCTAGTTCCTTGTCACCAGTTATGGATCAGATCCATATATTACGTGGCTTTTAGACAATACCAGAATTCATATTCTTCCATCAATGAATCCTGATGGTTTTGAAGTTTCGAAGGAAGGATATTGCGAAGGTGGTCAAGGCAGGTAAGGCTTTACAATGTTTCTATAATGTAAAAATGAAAAAGTACGGAATGGAAGAAATATAATTTTATCAAAAGCAAGTACACAGTAAAAAGATCTTGGGCACGTGTATGAAATATATTTACATCTTTTTCTTCGTATCTACTTTTGTCGTAGTAATTTTTCAGCTATTTTTAACGTACTTTTTCTATACCATCTAACATGTTATTACGTCTAAACGAATAACTATGTTCCTTTAGGTATAACGCACGCGGTTTCGATCTCAATCGAAATTTCCCCGATTACTTCAAACAGAACAACAAAAAAAGTCAACCGGAAACAGAAGCTGTAAAGGAATGGGTCTCTAAAATTCAATTCGTTTTGTCTGGAAGCTTACACGGAGGTGCCTTGGTTGCAAGTTATCCATTCGATAACACACCTAACTCGCGTAAGTTTGTTTTTATACGTGATCATACGTGTTCATATGCGTTCGCGTTAATTGCACCACATTCGTCTACTTTGAAATGTACTTCATATCTAAATTAAAAGATCGGCAATATTATATTTTAAAAATGCACAGTTAAGAATATAAATTATGATAATAACGACCTACACATCCGTATCTAAACATGCTACAACATGGCACACTAACGCTGTGATGTGAATTGTATTACGTAATTAATGTAATTGAAAGTAATCTGATGGTATTGTATAACTTTTCATGCTGTCAGGAATATGCCGGTCAGCGCCATTATGTGCAGGTATAGTATATTTACTAACTTGCTAAAAAAATTCAGAGTGGAAAAAAGTAAAAGGACTCTAAATAGATTTGGCGTTATCAAACTTTTTATTGCGAGATAAATAATTTTTTATTAAAAGCAAATAATTTGCTCCGGATAATTCAACTATTTGTTTTAAAATAATTGGTTCGTATGTTAAACATTGGAGATATCATCTCAGTCAACTTAACTTCTACGGAAACAGTGAGGCGTCTATCTCAATTAAAAATATATCTGTCCCGAATATCAAATATCCTGCGGAAGAGACAACACATCTTCCAATCTTCATGTTATGTATTGAAAGTCATTTGTTTTGACAATCACTATTACCTACCTTACTTGCTTCTACGAAAAGATAAAAAAGAAAGTATTATTGCTGTGGAAGATATAACTGTCATTGGTATTTGCTTGTAATTAAACAACGACATAGGATTTTTGTAAGTGGAGATTTTACTAAATTTTAATAACAATGAAACATCTCACGTCAGTATGGCAAAATACAGAGGCCCGATATATCGACGTGTCCAAGAGTTTCTCGGAATAAATTGTCAATGAGTTAAATAAATCATAACTTGTAATATATTTAATGGATTTTACAACGTAATTCTATCAGTTCTAACTTCTTATTTCAAAATGAAAATTTTGTAAAAACGTTGCAAATCTTCGAAAGGATATATCAGATCCAAGATGTATACGAACAATTTAGTGTTTCAGAGTTATACTTCGGCGCCGAGTATTTGTCCAGACGATGACGTGTTTCAACACTTATCGTTGGTGTATTCCCGAAACCATGGATCTATGTACCAAGGATTACCCTGCTCGCCATCTCAACCCGGCTTTAAAAATGGTATAACCAATGGTGCACAATGGTATCCACTTACCGGTGGAATGCAAGATTTCAACTACGTATGGAACGGTTGTATGGAAATTACATTGGAACTTTCGTGTTGTAAATATCCTCCTGCTTCTGATTTGCAATTTTACTGGGAAGAAAATCGCGTGGTAAGTTATCAAAGTGACAAGAATATATTTCAAAAGAGCAGCACGTTATCGAACATTTCTTTGCAAAGGTACCTTCTCTTGGTTCCTGCAATTAACTCGTCAATGTTTTAAATAGATGCTTAATATGGAAAACTAATTCGTGAAAGTCGTAATAAAATAACGCAGACACAGTTTACCGTAATTGAATTGATACTATATGTGTACTTTACTTACACAATGTATTTTAATTTTCTTTTCAGGCACTTATTAAATTTTTAGCGGAAGCTCATAGGGGTGTCCGTGGATTTGTTATCGACGAAAATGGAAATCCCATTGAGAGAGCATCTATTAAAGTGAAATCACGAGACGTTAGTTTTCTTACTACGAAATATGGTGAATTTTGGAGAATTTTACTGCCAGGAATGTATAAACTAGAGGTAACTTGTTGAAAGTCAAGTTAACAATTTTCACACTTGCATCATCACACTTGATATCTTATAAATTCAAAAATAATTTTAAACCACATTCGATACAGTAATTTAGTCATTTATGCGATATTTATCGTTTTATTTTGTAGGTATATGCAAATGGATATCTTCCACGTGATGTAGAATTTAGAGTAGTAGAACAACATCCGACCTCTTTCAACGTAACATTATACAGAGCTAGCGTAAGTAGAACTTAAAGAATACATATGTGTATGTAAACAAATACTTATACATCCATTTTCTCGGCTTTTTTTGTTTACAAAAATGGCTAAACCTAACCGAGTCACCATATTATTTGATTTGAAGACAAAGATTCAAGATGTTATCTCCCCCTTTTCTCTCCCTCTCTCTCTCTCTCTTTAGCTTTCTTTCTTTCTACCCATCTATCTATCTATTTCTATCGAAATTTTTTTATTAATTGAAAGTTATTTTACATGCCTTGATAATAGAGACATCCAGGTGAGGATGAAGCTGGATCCAATTTTTATAATGGAAACAGGGACCATATTAATCGGGACCACGTGATACATTTTCGACCACATTCTGGAACCAATACTGCATCCGAGACAAATAGCGGAATTTTTTCATCCATTAGTAACGGATTCAACTCCTTCGTTAATAATTGGTTTGGGTGATTAATTATGAGTTAGCGGACAACAAATTTTTTAACAACACTGTTGTTTCATATTAATTTCATAATGACCAACAGAGGCGAAACGATGTTGAAAATGTTTATCATTATTTGTTACTCTATCTGTTGTTATAAATGATGATATAATAATTTATAAAACGAATATTACTGATGAAATTGAATCGGTTTCAAATAACAAAGAAACTTACTTTGTTATCTGAAGAAGTTCAGAGCAGACATGCAGAGCTCAAATTTAAGTATATAGATAAAATTGAACGTGTAGATATCATAATTTATATAGTGAGCAAATATTTATATTTTCTTAATTTTACATGTCTCTATAACTTCTATAATTTATTTTTTATATACGTATGTTCAGATTTCGTATTTATATTATTTAAAAATTAACAATTTGTATTAATCATTTTTATTTTTACTTTTATACATGGTTTAAAGTATTTATTAGTACTGGGAGAGATACTTAATCTTCCAAGAAAATTTCACTTTATAATAAAAAATGTTTATGTTAAACATTTAAAAATTAATTTTCATAATTCTATTATTTAAGCAAACAGAATTATTTCTGGGGATTTCTTCTCGTTAAGTTTTAATAGATACATTTTATTTCTAATCCCCTAATGAATAAAATTCTAGTCTCTTAATCAAGAGAACATCAAGTTTTAATCAAGTTAAATTAATTAAAAGATGATTTGAACGAAAATTAAACGTTTCATACGTCAACATTTGTATCTAATGTTCATAATATAAGATATAAATATCGATTAATTGTTCTTATAATGATCCGAATTATCTACTCCAAAAATATCATGAAACAATATTTGATACAAGGAATAACATTTTTTCATAGGTATTCGTAATAGTTTAAATTCATACCACATATCGTATAATAAGGAAGACTGTTTAATGAAGCAAAAAAATTACTCGTTATCATCTTCTAATGAAAGTAACAAACACAATTATTTTATATATTATATATATATATATATATTATTTTACTCGCACACAATAAGATAATGTTCAAAAAAATAGTTTTTAATTGCACTGTTTGCAACATATGTATGAGGTTTATCATATTTGATTTTTACATAAGAGGCATGCCGAAATATTGTGCCTTCGCTATCGAAATTGTCATTCTCAAACTTCTTAAGAATAGCATCAAAAATGGCCTTAAAAATTGCGTGATAATTTTTCATCTTTCAATGAGAAATTATCGTTTATTATCTACTCAAATTATATGTTTTGTTGTCCTCGTATAACGTCTCCAATTAGTCATACGAATAAAATAAAACAAAAGTAGGTAAAAGTCGAGAATTCGCGTAACGAAGGGACCTGCTGTAATATATTTTTCTTTGCATATTAAACGCAAATTATATTTTTTAAAATACACGTATATATATATCTATATTAAATGAAAGAATTTTACGCAATATCGGCGTTATGTGCTATATAATATTTTACTATAGAAGCCGTATTAACAGAGAAAATATTTAATTTAAAGATAAAATGCAATTATAGTGAAAAAGAAAGTTATTGCGATATAGATAGTACGAAAATCTATATATACCATAAAAAAATTATATTCAATGTTTTCAAGTACGAAAGTAATATTTTTGTAGAGCATTTAGTATCCAAAGAATAAAAAATTAAAGTATAAATAGGTGAATAAAAAAGAACCTTATATTACAACTGAATTATACAAAAGTGTATTAAAATTTTCTAATTAAAGTTAGTTTAAACTAGCTATTTAATATATTCAAGTAAAGCAGTATGTGTGTTCAGTGCAATTATTCAAAATACTAATTGCGATAAGTGGATTTCAATATTTTTAACTTTAATAGTTAATAGTTTGCGGAAAACGTAGTTTCCAATAAAATGATTCCATAATATATCTTGAACAAACAGTTTTGCACAATAACATATTGAGAAAGATTAACTTAATATTCACAAATAAATTATATTTATAATTGATCTAATTTTTAAGCTGCAGAGAGTAACAATAATTTTTATTTTCCTCTATAACTTTGTACTCTTCTATATATTCGTTTTCTTTAAGTTGGTAACTCAGATACTAATTGTAAGTATAGCACACAGCATTTAAAACTGTTACGATTGAGTACCAATTTCAATATATTATTTTAATATGATCAATATTTTTGAAATTTTTAATTATGTTATAACATTGATAGCAAATTGAAAATAAAAATTTAACTGGAAGTTAAATTATTATCGAAATCAAATAAATGTAAGTACTTAAGTCAAACATTTAAAGCAAATCATTATTTCATATTACATCGTAATTTAGAATTGTTTAGTAAATTTACTACCGCAATATAATGAAATAAAATAGCTCAGAATAGCCGTAAATATTAATTCAAATTACTGAAAAGGATTTTAAAACATAAAACTATTTATCTCCAGCTAACATTTCCTTTGTTATCTTATTATTATTATTATATATTTGTACTTTAGACTCAGTGCCTATTACAAAGAGGTTATTGCATTCTTATTACTAGTTTCTTATACTATATGTATTAGATTCATATATTGAATTCTATCTCTTGAAATAGAGAAGCATTGTTATCAACTCTTATTTAAAATGATTTAAGTTAAACATTTTCATAACTTTCCAAATGAATTTTATGATTTTGTAATCATACTAAAAAAGTAACTACCGCGTAACTTTTTTAGTATTATTTATAAAAATAAAGATAACCTTGATTATTTATTGAAAAAAGATATTTAACAAATTTTTGATATTGCAATTTATTGTTTGATTGAGTGTTGACTAATTTTTGTTTGTAACATTCTTTTTTGTTCGATTATAATAAAACTGATACTAATATTTGAATTTAAAAAACAGTCAAATTAAAAATTAATAGTTTCTAATAAATAACTTCCACAACTTCTACTATTATTTTGATTAGTTTAAACAAAAAAATTCTCTTTCAAATTATTTTCAGAATGTACAATGACTGAAATCATGTTCGAAGTATGTAGTAGCTCAGCTTGATACACATTAATAGTGCGAGCATTTAGATCTCTCGGCGATGCGGAAAATTTATGTACTTGTATGTATGTATGTGTGGCTTTTAACATAGGAATTTTATATTTCCATACAAGAAATTGAGAAATGTAAGATTTTAATCTATAATTTAGGAAACATAAATACAAAAATCTCCGGAAATTCACTACCGTGAAAGATTATTTAAAGAACATATTAATTTCCATTCGAAAATATTCAAAGATAATCTTGCAATAGATCATTGAATTTATTTTACAAATTACTTAAAATATAATGAAACGGATATTCGCAATGAAAATGGTTTTATTCTTGATTCACAAGTTATTTCTGAAGTAGATGGTAAAATGTAATCTATGTAAATATATATACGTACATAGAAAACGTAACAGTGTTACAAAAGTTACAAATGTGGTGATTCACATGCTATAAATAATTCACACATTTATTCTATTTTTACTTTTATACAGCTTGTTGTTATGTATAGCTTACTAACAGAAATCACAGCTTTTATTTGTATTGTTGTAGTATCAACACTAATATAGCAAAGTAGTGAAATCGTTAAAACGGAAAGTTTACATTATATGTATACACAAATATAGAATGAAGATATATATTCGTTATATACTATAAATAATATAGTAGAAAATAATTTAGAATACTAACAATTAAGTTGTTTGTAGTAAATAACAATGATGACTGTATTGCATAAACAGTAAACACTGCCTTGAATGAATCAGAAAGGCGACATTAATGACAATGTAATATAATTAAATATTAAAATTTATTGTTTATGTCTATTGTATCCTTTATTTCACGTATAAATGTTTATGACATGTTAGTATTTCGTAAGATTTTATTAACTTAGATAATGTAATATACAAATATTAAAAACTACATAGTAACAAAAAATATTTCATCTGAGCGCAAATAATAGTCCATTTTATCTTTTCCTAAGTGCAATTTATGCAATCTTTTATTAATTATTAGGAAACAACATACATTATTTTTTAAGACATATATATTACAATATATCTATGATAATAGACAGTATACATATATTTCATGTAGTTCCAGCACAAAAATTATGAGAGATGAATAAGTATACTTTATATATATTATTGCAGAAACACTTTTTCTTTTAATTATTTTAATGAAAATATTATGTAATACGTTAACACTTAATCAAAAATAAATGATAGCTAATAATTTACTTATCAAATACTAAAATTATACATAAACATCAATTATATATAAATATTTTAATTCGTTGTAATTTTGTTCATAAAAAAATAGTTACAAAACTTCATAGCTCTATTAATTTTCTATTAAATATTTGAAAAGTATATTATTAATTATGTTAACACATATCCAATTTATTATTAGTGGGTGGTGCATTCAATCCACCAATGTCACCAGATTCAAGTTGTTTAAGTAGGCGAAAAAGAGCTGCAGCTTCCCTAATGCGGCTAAATTCAATGCAAAATGCTTGCACTTCAATAAAGAGTTCTTTCACATTTATGATTTTGTTCCTAATTAAGGATTGCAGAAAAACACAAACCAAACGTACTAAACGATTCTGCATATAACGATCTTTTATAGTTTCACAAGTAGAAATGCAATTACTAATGTATAAATGAACAAATTCTGTAGGTAGGTCCACAGTAGTAGTTAACCTATTGACTACTTCCATTGAATGAAGAGACATCTCCATATTTACCAAAACACTAAAATATTCTGTTATTTGACTCGATTGCATAAGTTTCAACAAAACTTCAATTGCAATCAAAGGGTTATTCTCTACCAAATCTGGTAGCTTTCCTGGAGTAAGACCAATATGATACACCAGTTTTGGATCTCTATCCAATTCATTAACAAGATGCTGTTGTTGTTGTAACGTCAGTACACTTTTGAACGCTTTGCCCATTAATCTGCGAGCTTCTGCACCAGCACAATTTGAGACACACATATTAGTATCATATTCAATTGTAAATTGAGATGGATCTGTAACATTGAACCATGGTAATTCATCGACTGAGCGATAAAGAGGAGGTACTAATCTTAAAAACTCAGGTTGATAACTTTGACTACATAAAGGTGGATCATTAGCAGTTAAAACTTCTGTCATGTTTTTTGTTGCATTTTTATCGATCTCTGTTACTTTAGAATGATCCATATCAGGTAAGATCACAGGATTTCCACATTTGGCGATGGAAGGTAATTCTGAACGACGCTCTGCTAGTTGTACTTGTAAATTACTTAAATCAACAGGTGGTACAGATACAAAATACAATTCATCCACAATTTGTCTTGGAGTTTTCTTTAAAATGTCCTTTTGGTTATATCCCAGTAAACTTATTAAAAGATTTTTTTCACATTGTGATAAAACTGGTATGTGTCCTGAAAAATTTGTCTTTGGTACTCCATTATTTGTATCTTCTTGGGATCTTAAAACCTGTACAAAAACAGGCGCAAATGGTGTCGATGCTAGTGTTTCTCCTCTATAAAGGTCAAATAATAATGCAACTGCTATTATACGTTGAACATTTTTTGGCAATAAATCTATATGCTGTAAAAGGAGAACCAATGTCATTCCCACTTTAAATCGATCTTCTTTCGGAAATATTTGATGTAACTGATTACAAAGATTTTCCAAACTCGTATCCAGGTTTTCTTCTTCCAGGATATCCAATAATTTTGATAAATCTTTCGGACTAAGCGTCATAATGCCTCAATAACAGATTGAATTAGGTTATAGCACCTCGATTATATTTTTTTTCCACGATTATATTCATGAATATCGAGGTTCAAATATAGTAATTCATTTCTTAAATTATTAATTACATATAACATATCAACTTACAGTATTTTAGTATTATATACATTTAGCTTTGTCACATTTTTTAGTTGTTACTTTACAGGTTATGACTAGAATACATGTAGGACTACACGTAGGAATACATGTAAGAATACATGTAAGAATACATGTAGGATTCAATTATACGACCATGCTATCAACTCAATTGAAAATAATAAACCATTTCTATCGTAGTATGGAACTGAGTGTCATAGAATTTTAGAAAAAACAGTAGAAACAGTAGAAATATATGTACTATATCGTAGTAACAGCAAACTACTTTAACGCTATCTATTTCATTATTTGTATCGCGCCAATTTCAAAACTCATGCAACATATGTATATGCATCAATATAATTTCATACATTTGTTGATAAATTTATTTACAGATTACTTGTGTCTCAAATAATTTACAAACTTATACGATTCTTTCTAAAAGTCCATATTTTGAAATGCTCTATTTCTTTTTATTGTTCTTATTAATAAATATTATTTAATTAGTCTAAAACTAAAAACAAATATATAAACAGTTCGTATATGAATATCTCTGGTTACACTGTACAGTTCTGTTGTTAATAATACTATATAATATTAAACAGATACATATTATGTATATGTGTTTTCAAATTGTTTATTACAAATAAATAATACTCATATATAATATGCTACATTCTTAATTGCATATATGGATGTAATTACTTTTTTCATTAACTAATTTCCTACTATATATATATATCCATATTTCATCCATATACAAATCTTCAATACATATCTTCATCCTGAGAAAATACTTAATATCTAAGATCATTATATGTAAAATTTCAGTTTAGAATAACGAAAGAAATTGAAATGAACTATATTTTTTTTAGATTACGATCTATATCTTTTTGCTTGAGAATTTCCGGTGCATAGAAACTATATAAATTAGAAAGAACTATATATATATCTATGTATAGAAATGGCGCATTATGACACGCTCAAAGTATAGTTAGGTTTGCTAAGATCAAAGATAGTTGTAAGTTTGATCATTCATAGTTTAGGGAATTTATAATTATTATCTAATAATATTAGTAAATGTAACTTTTTATAGTAATGGTACTTTTAAAACAACTGTTTTGCTTTTTAAGTCACACATTATCACACATTTTACACATTATCACACATCAGCAAAAGTTTAGTTAACAGTAATCCTTATGTAAAATTTAAGTAATAAATAACAGTCATAAACTAATAATGTTCTATTTTCTAAAATTCTTATTGAGTAATTTAACATCATATATGAAAGATTTGAAATTTTCATTTCCTAATTACCTCTATACACATTGTATGTATTCATCTAAATTACACGTTAATCATTGATTTATTATCATTTTCTTAAATACTTTTACCAAATAATATATACTATTGGCTGATGTATCATCATTCAAGGGTTGCGAATTATTCTTGAAAAGTGATTTGTAACAATAGCGGCGCGTGCGTTTCCGCTTTATAAAAATTAATCCATATAAGAATTATTTCTTTACACTCCTACGGCTTACATTCATGCAATACTTCTAGGCTAGGTATGAGGTATGAGAAATACGGTCAGCTCTGAAACGGTGAAGGAATGCCAGGGTCCCCCACTGATCTCGCATACTCGTTCCCTCCCTGCCCCCGGCCCTCTGTAAATTGTGCAGAGATGGAATCCCCACCTCATAGGCAGAAGCACCTGTTGCGCAGCTACCTGTTTTACTCGATCCATGGGGCCGTTCTCTCTTTTCTCTTTCTCTTACTACTTCTTCTCTTTCTCTTTAGTATCGTGCACGGTGTCACGGCAGTAGGACGGTCTCCGATCGCGGTGCTGATTCTTCGGTAAAGGGCAACGACTCACGAAGTGAAAATAATGTCTTCTTGTGCACATCGAACGGAATCGCGGTGAACAGTGTGAAGCCTAGTCTGTTCAAAGGTTTAGGACGGATATTTCTTGAAGAAGAAACGTGAGTACGCTGCAGCAGCCAGGTTGGAAATGTATCGAAGGAGAGTTTAAGAAGGAGCAATGGAGGACGAGCCACGGGATACCTGTTTTGGGGCAGGAAATGTGGCAGGGGCTGTAATCGGTACTTTCCTTACAACAATTCTCCTGCTGCTGGTTGCTGCGCTCCTTTACAGACAGTGGCGTAGGCACAAGGGTGAGTCCTCGTATAGATATAGAAATCCTATCAACTGCCGGTAATAATGTGTCATAGGATCCGTAATGACAGATCGTGGTTTACATTCATGATCCTGTGTTCGCTCGAGCGCGCTCTAGCTGTTAAATTCAAGCTATTGCAACGACGTTCTTGCGACAACTAATTTGCTCATTCAAAGAACCAATGGTATTTTATCATTGAGGATAACAATTTGTTGCACTTACCGACTTGTAGTCATACTTTTACGATACCAAGCATATGCAAAGTCGATGAGGTTTATTGCACAATAAATCGGAATTTATTCCTACGCGTTATTTCTCCGCAACTTCTATAGAAATACATCAAATGCACGATACAAAAGAACTCCGCCCTGGCACGCGGAACAATTATATGCATATTTTCTAATCGATCGACTGAAAGTTGGGCAATTTAGACACAACTGACGAACTGATAGATGAAAGAAATACAATTATGTAACTAATCGATGTTTCTCAACAGTACAACTTTGTGATGTAAAACATTCTGTAAACCAAAACATCATGTGTCATTGAAGATGTAGAAAATATCTATCTATTGAAATGACCTACTAAGTAGATTGGTTAATCTCCGAAGAGTTGTCATAAAAATTTTACATGAATAATTAGGGATAATAGAACGATATATATCATAGTAAAAGAAATTCAAAGAAATATTCCTTGCCATTTCGTACATTCTATCAACGTGTGTTGCATATTACAAACCTTTTCGCTATTGCGTCGCAATTGATGCGTATATCCACGCAAAAGGTAGACCTTGAAGTGCCACTCGAGAGACACAATAAGACACGAAAGTCTCTCTAGCTCGATACATTGGAATCTCTATCTGGTGGAATGATGTTTACAGATTAGAATGTAAAATATCTCCTACGGAATGTGCATTCTTTACTTTGGGATCGACTTTTAGGATTATAGAATATACTACACGTGGAACGTTAAATTGATACAAAGCCGATATAGATAGTTAAGCAGTATTTTTCAATTCAAAATAATATATAAATATAAGAAGAACTCAATTCAATTTTTGAACTTTTCTCCTTTTCTTTCTTTTCTTTTATTTACCTCGGAATTACCAAATAATTAGAAAATATTCCTATATAATTATAGTTACGTATATCACAGCATTAATGATAATTGCATTTATAAATATTTATTAATTCTGTATGAAATTTAAATCACACGCAAAATTAATTTGTAGAAATGAAAGTTTAATCAATTGCGAAATGAATTAGATTGTATAAATATATAATGAAAATAAAAGTTAAAATAATAATAGCAAGTACAGTAGCGAAAGATATTAAAAGTGACAAATGAATGTTGTTACTTAACAAGCATCGAATTACCTAATAATAAATAAATGGAATCTGAGATTATCTGAAATAAGCGATTCAAATTATAAGAACTCTGTTATAATTGAAAATATTTGATACATTGGACATAAATAGCAATTAATTTAACGATGAAGATTTATTTATATTTAATATTGATTAACTTTTATATGAATGTGTAGAGAAACAGACACACATATAAAATTAATCATTATCTGGTCAAATGATGAGCATAGTAATAGAGTGATAATGTTTCAAAGTAAATTTAAAGTATTTATAGTAAACAAATATTCTTGAAATACACAAACTGAAGTTATTGTTCGTACAAAGGGCAGTCGAAATTTACTTGTACTATCTCGATAATATATTGTACTACATATTCATACATATTCATACAAGTATAGTACTTCCTGGTACATATGTGATACATAGTACACAAGTACATACATATATTCTTATTATAAATTACTTTTTCTTTATTATAAATTTTATTATAAATTAGTAGAAAGAACTGAATAATAACGAAACTTACTAATTGTGTAAATTAAATCTACCGAGGAGAATCGAACTCATTTCGTGATTTAAGTTTCTTCGTAAATGAAAAATGCACTTTGAAACAACCAGAATAGCATGTAATTTTTAATATATGCGTAAACGTAGTAGGCAGACAAGAGTATGCTAAACGTGGTAAATAAGCGCAAATCTGTAGAATGATGTCACCGTATGTAGTAATATAATTTACGTAATATCTCTCAAATATCTCTAACATGACCAATATCCATTATATTATTTCCTTATATACATAATTTTTTTATATTAATTCGATGCGTCGTTTAATACATCGTACGTATGTACATATAATCTATTCGTCTAGACCGTTAAGTCAATATTTAATATTAATTAGTAATAGCGTAATAAAAGAGTTTTCTGTTGTCCATATAGCACGCGTTTGTATCTCAGTTTTTCTTTCAGGATCGTAAAACTTAACTTTCTTGGCGCTTATTAAGATCCGTCTGTATATTATAACAAACGAACATAAATGAGCACGAACAGGCGGAATCAGATAATTCAAGCAGAGTAGCTGGCATCAACGAACTACAACGATATCGAATAAACGCGTATTATACATATACTATGAAAATCGTATTCGCTCTGTTAATTAATGTATCTTTTAAAAAAAATTCTTATTTTTATATAACATATCGGAATATCTTACAATTTGTAAACAGAGAAGGAGTAGTTAAATTACTATAAGCGTAGTTTATGCGATAACAATGCCATGTAAAAAAATATATCAAATTCCGATAGATAGGCAATATGGTTAAACGAAAAATAATATTTATCGAACATTTGTCCGGATAGAAAGTAATTTAAAATTCAAATACTTATATAATTATTTTCGAGGCAAGTATTCCGCCATGAGAATTTATTTTATTTATTAGAAAAGTATATTTTAAAAGTAGGATATAAAAACACAAGTCCTGTGAAAACATTCATTTTTAATCATTCGAAATAATTAATCTCGATCAATAATAATATCAAACAAATATCTTTAGGAAAACACTTAGTACTGGTGACTGATCCAGAAATCGTCGAAGAAGCCTATGCCTTTGACAATCCCTGTTTCAAGGATGTCACGATATCGTCAAGTAACCGAATTCGAGATGTACCGGTGTCTCTGACACCTGGAGACACTTCAAGCAAAGATTCTACACGATGGTCTACCTCCTGGACATCCTTAGGACTGGGCTCGACTAACCGCACCGATAAACGAAAAACTCTGGACGATTCGTGCCTTGGAGTAAGTTCTATCTCTTTTTCACCCGTTTCACGATGTAATAGAGAGGTTATATTACGAACGAAGACACAACGCTGTAAGAAAAATACGAAAAGAATATGCATATGCATGTAGAAGTCTTTTATGAAGCAGGCTACAGTGATTATAAAATAAACATTTCCTTTCAATATTCCAAACATAGAAGGTATTGTGCATAGCCAAATTTGATTGGATGTACAGTTAATCTAGCCATCTTCGATACGTGCCTTTATGTTTCTTGGCGAGGAGGAAGTCCATGGCGTATGAGTCGAATTATAAAGCTAATTTTTACAAAATGAACGTTTGAAATGTATGTAAGAAGTGAATATAAGAAGAAGCACACGTAATATAATAAAACGGAAGTTTTCTATGTAGATCAAGGAACACTGATGATTTCAAAGGAATAGGAAAAGAATATGTTAAATTATTATTTTAATATGTGTAATATGATTTATTGAAAGGAATAATACTTGTAACATTGCAATTATCGATAATGTGTTATTTTCAATTCGACTAATCAGAGATTTCTTTTTATACAGCCGAAAGCAACAAGGATCAATATAGTTAGCTTAAAAAGCCGAGATTTCACAGGGCTGGGATTTAATATTTGCGGCAATATGAGAGAAGGAATCTTTGTTAAAGATCTTCTACATCGTGGACCTGCATCGGAATCCGGTCGAATACATCCAGGTTAGTCGTTATTTTTATATCCGAGAAACTAAATATTTTAAAGCAATCGTTATACCTTTATAACCAGTCGATAATTAGCCAAATTTAAATTTCCTTGACATATTTTCAAATTCGATTCTCTTGAAAACGAAGATTCGGTTAAAAGAATTTTATTCCAGATCTTCGATTTATTCTTGTACGTAGAATCACCCTTATTAAATACTAAATATATGTAAATAGCAATAAATTTGAAGAAACTTAATTTTGCATTACTATTTTCGCAGGTGATCGTATAGCTAGTGTAAAAATCAGTTTTCGGAATATGGTCTACGAGGATGCCTTAACGATTTTAAGTTATGCTTCGCCATACGACGTAAAGCTTGAAGTAGAAAGCGGTGGAATTGGATCGAAGCCAACCACACTTTTGAAAAAAAGTGTTGGTCCTAGCGCGGCAAGAATTTGTCATCCTTTATACAGGAGTCAATCAATTCCAGAACTCTCACAATCGAAGAGTATTGCGAAGAGACTCTTCATAGTTGATCCGAACGACTCTATCAATTCTAACTATTCGACGATGAATTCGACTTTGAAATCCACAAAATCCACACCAAATAGTCAAATATTTGAAAAATGTCACGACGAGTCCAAGGGCAATCACTATAAATTTGGTATTAAAGTTTTACCCTCCCTTGATGGAACTGTTCATCGCATTGAAAATCAAAATGAACATAACACAAATCTTGAAAGAAAACATTCAAAGAAACTCGATACAGAGAAACATTTGTCAAATATGAACGAAGCTACCAGAGTTGGTGACAAAAAGGAAGAAGCTCAATGTCAGCAAACGTCACAAGTATTGCAAGTTTCTAAGGGGAAAAATGATACCTTCGAACTGCATAACGATACATTAAATAAAAGCAGCAAACTTAGTGATACGTCGATTCATGTACCATCCGAAGTACCAACAGAAGTTCATAACGCAGCTATGGCCGCTCGTAGAAACCGAAAAAATAGTTCTGAGCTATTAAATATATCAAAAAATATAGATTCCATCGAGGTAGAGGATTCCAAAAATCAGCAAAAGAATAAAAGGAAAGCTCCACCGCCACCAAAAAGCAATAATTACGATATCGAATGTACTTCTACTATGAAGAAAGATTCGTTGACTACGAAAGAATACGATTTGAGAAAAGAAGATGAAATCAATAGTATTACTGATTATACGGATTCTTTATCTGAATATATAAAGAAAGTACGCGAAACTACAGAAAGAATAGATCCACGTGTAGAAGAAAAAGTAGAAACTTTGATAATTGATGGAAGACACTCTGAATCTGACACTGACAGCGAAATTCAAAACAGTTTTACGACTATCGAATTGAACTCGGCTGATATTACCATTCATCGGACACCTGTACCGGAGACAAATAACGACGAAGATGAAGAAGACGATGTTTACAGAAAAGCTGCGAGCTTAGGTGATCTATCAAAGTACGAATGCAGAACGTCGGCAACACTTGAAAGAGCACAAAGTCTGGACATGACTGATACCGGCACGAAGAAACGTAAAGCACCTCTACCACCGGAGGATATTAATGAATCTACGGAAGATTTAACTAAGCTTGATCAAATGGATACTTTTGATAGAAGATTATTGAAAAAATCGAATGAATGGGGTAATTTAGAAGATGTTGTATGGCGTAAAAAACAGGATTCGGAAGATAAGTCGAAAAAATCAAAAATTAGAAAAAAGAGTAATGGTTCGCTCGAACGATCTAAGTCTTCTATAGAAATTAAGTTAAAAGATGAAACTTCTGACTCGAAAGAACTAAATCCTACAGACGACGAAACTAGTATCGAACTTTATAATCTTCCCTTGAGCAAAAGACTTACAGAAGAATTTATTCATGCAGAACGAATGTTCAATCCAGATGAAGATAATTCTCTGATCAGAATTGTTAATGATGGAAATGTTATTAAAAGTCCTACGGTTGAAGAAGTAGAATTACAATTTAAAAAGGAAATCTCATTACCCGATGATTTTAACAATGATAGTATGATAATAAATGAACAATTTTCGGACCATGATGAAAAAATAGTGAATAAAGATTTCGAGAAAGCTTTGAAACATTTTGAAACATATGTACAAAAGCCGACATTATTAGATTCCTCTAAACATGACTTATTTCGTTTCAAAAACTGGAAGGAAGACAGTTCATTAACGTCGAATGAAATGATTTCATATGCCGGTAAAAAATCTGTCAATGAAGAACCAGTGACAAAAATTAATATTAAGAGAGGATGTCACGCATGCGATGAGAACTGTAATCGTCATGAAACCTGCAAGAAAAAATCATTTACAAAAAGATCATCAACCCCAATACCTTTACAAGACTATTCTCCCAATTCAATGGAAGGTAGTAGTTCCAATTCGATAACAATTAACGACGAAAAGGAACAAATCTCGATATCCCATATCCATGGATCGACGTTTAAAGATAAAGAAAGTAGAAGCGAAAAGTCATCACTAAATTCGAACACGTCGTCAAAACGAGTAATTGGAGTCCCCATAAATCAAAGAATCGATCGAGAAAATGATGAAGACGAAGACGAAGACGAATACGAATTCGGTTCTGGTGTAACTATAAATAACAAAAACTTATTTGATCGTGAGGATCGTCGTAACATTAACAATATCAGTGTTTCGAGTGGTGAAAACAGTGAAGATAGCGGGCTAGTTGGTGAATCAATGGATTATAATCCACAAGACTTTGATAATCGACCACCACTCCCAGATACGCCAATGCCACAAAAAACGACTTATATTACGGAAATCAAACTTTCTACTAATAGAGAGGAATTTCAAGAAGATGACAACGAGAGCAGTGAAACACTTTCCACAGTGGAAAGTAAGGGTAAGAAACCGATGCAAAACGAAATCAAAACAACTTCAAATGGAAAACCTACAACTAATAAAAAGCCTCCCGTTCCTCCCAGAAGAACAGACATTACGAAATCTAATAAAAAAGGAAATACAGAAAAACAAGTTATTTATGTAACCGAATATAAATCTAATGAATCAAAAGATTCAGATGGTTCAGACGCGTCTCATGAAATCAAACAACCAGATAATTGGTCCGCAGAGACATGATCGATAAATTATTTTAGGGAATAAAAAATAAAATCGGACATAAGAATAAAGTATTAGCGAATTACACAATAATCAATAATGTTTTCGTGGGTTTAGATTGAAAGTAATAAATACATATTATAAACTGAAGGAGCAATTCTAAACATTGCAAATTATTAGCAATATTTTTTCTACTAACCATTTTTTTTTTTTTTTTTTTTTTTTTTTTTTTTTTTTTTTTTTTTTTTTTTTTTTTTTTTTTTTTTTTTTTTTTTTTTTTTTTTTTTTTTTTTTTTTTTTTTTTTTTTTTTTTTTTTTTTTTTTTTTTTTTTTTTTTTTTTTTTTTTTTTTTTTTTTTTTTTTTTTTTTTTTTTTTTTTTTTTTTTTTTTTTTTTTTTTTTTTTTTTTTTTTTTTTTTTTTTTTTTTTTTTTTTTTTTTTTTTTTTTTTTTTTTTTTTTTTTTTTTTTTTTTTTTTTTTTTTTTTTTTTTTTTTTTTTTTTTTTTTTTTTTTTTTTTTTTTTTTTTTTTTTTTTTTTTTTTTTTTTTTTTTTTTTTTTTTTTTTTTTTTTTTTTTTTTTTTTTTTTTTTTTTTTTTTTTTTTTTACCATTTTTTTTTTTTTTTTTTTTTTTTTTTTTTTTAGTACAGGAATAAGACAGATATTATAATCAAAAAATATGAAAATTTTAATACTATATATAGCTAAAATTAGAATATACTGTACTTAAACTTCTTCATATGGAGAAATCACATCGATCGTAATATGTATGTACTACTTATAGTGCTCATCCAGAATAGATCTGCTCTTGAACTAGTCGAAGAAAATTTTATCTAGTATCTTCCTCAATCTTCTGAAAAGACTGGCTCTTGTTTAAAAAAACATGTTTTTTGATCATTTGATAAAAATATTTGTTGTTATAATTATATTTATTTTATAACACATTTCTTGTTTTAAAAATTATTACAATTAGAATTTGTATTATATATGATTCGCCTCTGTGTAAAATAGTACAGTATTAAAGAGTATCATACATGCCAAAAATTGTATGTATTTTACACGCGCTTTTTTAAACATCATACTTTATTACAATAATAAGAAATTACAAGACTATGGTTTAAAATATTCCAAAAATTGATTAATAAAATTATTAATACATTTACATAATACATGGTTATAAATGAGCAATAATTATACAAATCCATATTATTGAAATTTCAAATATAATAATATTAATTAACTTAAACATGTAATTCATAGAAACAATATAATTAGCAAAATCATTCAAAATTCACATTTTATGAAAATTTAAAATATTTAAAGTATTGTAAATTTTTAAATATATTAATTATTGCTATATGTATATATATTTGAATATTTTTTATCTATTGAATGCTCGTATACTATCAGACTGTGATAGATGATCTATCGCAATAAATGATTTATGCGTGTATTAAATCTCGATTTATTAGAAATTTACATATACATGTGTATAATTATTAAACAAATGTTAAGACAATAAATACCTACTAACTAATGACCATATGATATATGAGAATGTTAACACTAAAATTATCGATTCGATTATTGATATTAGATGATATGTCACAATTTGATCAACACAAATTCAGTACGAGGCAAAAATATTTATTATAAGTTTTTCTAAATTTTTTTATATGTGTAAAAATATAAATATTTATGGATATGACTGTAGTAAAAATTCATTTTTTTATATTGTACTTTATATTAACGCAATATTAACAATAATAGGGTAACATGGGGCAAAGCAAAACTGTAACAATATAAAATAATGTTGTTATTATAATGTACGAATATTATATAATATCCATACTATTTTATTACCATACATTATCACTTCATATAAAAAATAAATTAATAATTATAATAGTATCATTTTTTAAATATAAAATGAATATTTTTTAAACACTGCTGATAATTATTAACATCTTTTTACAAAAATAACTCATATGAGAGCTTATAAACAATGTTTATATTATAAAATGTACATAAAATATATAATATAACGATAAACGACGACAAAACCAGTTATAAAGCTTTGGTTATACAAACATATAGCAATATGTTTGTATACGTTATCAAATTCTATTATATTATTATTTTACCGAATAAAAGTTTCTCTATTAAACTTCTAACCTTCTAAACTTTCTACACTAGAAAATAATATGTTCTATCTGTTGTAGGAATCATGATTTTGGTATTTTCATAATTCTTCTATATAATCATATTTTCTTCATTTCAAATGAATATTAATACAGACAAATTTACGGCGAAGTAATCATCATTGAAGAAAAATACAAAAAAATAACAAAAATGTAACAATCATCTTTACCTCATGTTACTCATCATTTCACTGCAGTTTGCTGCAAAACACTATGAATATATGTACACAGAATTTTGCCACATTTGTTTATTGATATATGTTATATATAGTAAACATTTAAAGGTTCTATTTCATGTTATTAAATCCGTCCACTATATATTGTTAATTGAGAATATTTGAAAAACAAGGGAACATAATAAAACATTATATTATACGTATATATGTATATAGGAAAATTTCAAGAAGCTAATTATACATTGATTTAACAGATTAGTGAAATAAGCAATCAATAATTTGTCATAATTATGTTTACATAATATTATCTCTCACTTTATTCATCTTCACTTATAAATCATATCAACATTTTGTATGTGCATGTAATTTTAGGATAGGAAGTGTTTCAAATTATTATCTCATCAATATATATTTGAGATGCAAAAATAATCACACAGTTTTATATTTAAAATTGTTATTGACGCAAATCCATTTCATCATGGCTTCAATTTCAAATATAGAAAATTATTTCTTATAGAAAAAAATAGTATTTATATACATATATATCATTTACATAAATTCTAAATAAATCTATTCTTTCATACTGATCTTATAAATTAAATGAGATGTCACAAATATAAATATAAAAGCATACTTTCAAAATTATTATATCAATCTTTCTCATATTTGGAACTTGACAATAATTTAATACATGTATAGGATTTTGGTTGAAGTATAGGTGCTTTTTCTAGTCTGTTTATTCGGTAACCTGTTTTAGAACCATCCTGTGTGCATTTCGATTATTTATAAGGCTGTGTGCATACGTGAATATCATAATTCGAAAAATAATTTCTTGTATAAGAAATTGAATAAATATATAAATTATGCAAATTATGCAAACAAAAATACCTTAATTTTTAAGTAAAATAATGATATATGTTTCAATATGCCTTAGATTGGTATTGCTAGTGATAACTAAATTTCTTCTTGAAATAATTTTACATGTAAATATAAGATCATGTTTGCTAAAGTAAGTCATCTATTTCGCAATTCCTTCAAAATTAAAGTGCAATTTTATTTGTTAAATAATATATATGTACATTTTTATTAAGAAAAAGAGTGTACAGTTAGAAATGTTTTTTGTTGTAAATAGAGGCCAGTTACAGATGTTTCGTTATGCATGATTCAATTCGAGAGGCAAATGATCAAAAATGAATACTTTATTATAATTAAATTTTCTTTAGAGTTCTTAACATTACTAAGACTTAAATAACAGTTTGTAATTTTTAGGAAAGTAATTAATTAAGTAAAATTTTTTTATATGTACGCCAAAATAATGTACTATACATGTGAAATCCATCTGAGTCACATGTTGAATGATTTTACATTTTTCTTAGTATTAATTTAACAAATTAAACAAAACAGATTAGTTCATTTCGATGTTAAAAAAAGAAATTGAAGTTTTAAAATAAAAAAGGGAATATTTTTAGTAGTTTTTATCTGCTGTTGAAATACTAATATTTTCCAAGAACATTTTGTACTAATCTGTAAACAATGCTATTTAAACATTCCCATTTCTTGTATATTGCTATTTTTATGCGTTCCTTAATTGTTATCTACTGTGAACGATTCTTATTATATAAGAATCTAACAAAATGAAGGACTTTATTGGACCATATAATCATAAACTGCAAAATATTGTAATAAAATTATACACATTAATGTTAAAGATAAAGAATCAGACAAGTATTTACTAACAAAACGAATGTAACAGTTTAGAAAATATCTATATAGTACGAATACATATATTAGACAAAACTCCATTTTCTGTATTTAAATAGACTTCTTGCAACGATACGAAATTTTTCGAATCGTCTGATGTATGTAAAATGTTGTAAATATATGTTATTGATACTTATAATCTGATGTATTTTAATCATTTCATTATATAACTATGAGACCAGTTTTCTTCGATGCTTAACAAGATTTAAGCAATTATGATAATTTTTGGTTTAGCTGTATAAAATAACAAACATACAAACTTGTATGTATTTTAAAAATATTTTTCATATCTTTACATTTAGTTTACAATTTCGTTGGCATCGATCGTATTTTTATAAATTAAAAAATTATCGATAAAAATTTATCATCGAATTGAGAACTGTACTTGGAAGATGTTTCAAATGAAAAACTAAAGACCACAATTTGATATAAATTTTAATTTCGACGTATACGTTTCATTTCAAATGGATTTTATCTGATAAAAGTAAATTCATTACAAAATACCGGATGACATACACAAAAATTTAAACAATTGTATCTAAACATATATTTATGAAGCCGTTGAATGTAATGTTGAAGGTAACTATCTAAAAATCCAAAATCTGTAATATATATCATAAACTTTATACGTTAAACATTGTTTAATTTATTATGCTAAAATTTACATATTCATTTTGAGTAATATTAAACATATAATAATGCATATTTAAGTAGCAAAAGCTGTTATGGTATACAAAATACATAAACTTATGTTTGTGAAAATAGTACAATTTTGTCTTGTATAAAATATGACAACAATATTTTTAGATATAAAATAATATATATTTCAAATATATTTTAAATATAAAATAAAAAAAAGCAATTTAGGTGTAGATTTACCACTTAAAAATAATAACATGAATTCGTATGGATATATGTATGTATATCTATTTTAACCTTATTTTAAATTATAAATGTTTTTATATCTTAGTAAATTGCATTTCAAAATAGGTATATTCCAGGTATAAACATTAATAATTTCCATTCTTTCAACTTTTGTTTTCATATTATCAGATGTTTTAAAAATAGTCACCAAGGTTATTCATGTTTATGAATAGATAAGCAAAATTAGATATAATGCTATATTATACATTTAATTAACATATTTTGTACATCCTACCGTATTTTATTAAAATAATATAAGGAATACTCATATATATATATATATAATTATTATTTATATCAAGACAAAATATCTGTCCAAGTCAAATTAATTTCTTTATACCAATCTACATCTATCATAATGTAAATTTACAAACAAATCCATTAAGTTTAATATTTAAGTAGCAGACTGTTTATAGTTCTTTGTACTCATTAGCTTTTTACCACACATTGCACATATAGCCTTTTTATATGCACATGATTGACAATAATGTGATCCAACTTGATGTACTTTCTGTCTACATATTCTGCAAGTTTCAAAGGTAACAGTATAGGGATTAAATCTTGCCTTCCCTGCAGAAAGTGCTTTATTTTCTCCAACTTTACGTCCCCCACTTTCTACTGTATTCCGTGCACCACTTTTCCAAGGATCTGGAGTTATGACTTTTCCTAATTTTTTTTCACATTTTTCACAGACCATTTTGAATTAGACTTGAAACTTCAATTCTGAAATATAGTAAAACTTCGTTATATGTGATCTTTATATTATATTGCATCATAAAATTAAATAATAAAGGTTAGATTTAGGACTAACATGTATGTAAAAAATAATGAAAAATGATAAAAAAAGTTAACGTGAAATTAAAATAATTGGCCAATAACAGATATGAGTATAAATTTTTAATATTTTATATTTTTAAATTAACAAATTAAAATATTTTCAATTTACCTTCAGAACTCTTATTAATGATTAAATATTACTCTTTTAATTAGTACACATTTTATATGACTACATCCCACACTAGTTTTTAATCATGAACGATAAGTATAAATATTCGAGATATTAACTGCAAATAAATAAATTACGAGAAATATCTAACCCAAATATCATAGTCTTATCCACGGTTATATAGACAAGTCTCAACATCTGGACTAAACACTTATATATCGAAAGCATAGTAGATACCGCTCGAAAATTGAGTCATAAAAAAGCAACATGGAAGACAAGAAGATCCATGTTTTGCGCATGTGTAACGTGCTATGAATGTTTCACACAGAGGCAGAGACGCTCTACTCATCTCTGTCTGGCTCGTAAAACGTGAACTTTGTTGTCTTCCATGTTGATTTTGCATGACTCAAATTTCGGACGGTTTCCCTATTGAATGTCAAGACCTGTTTACATGGCCGTAGTTTCAATCTCATCCATATCTCATCACAATCAACAGTTATCAGATATATATACCACCTAGTTGTAATTGCGGATCAGTAATAGATGGCGCTTTTCTTATTTAATTATTATTAATATCACTAAAAACTAAATAAATAAGATTCATATTTGCGCACATTGTATATGTGTATATACGTATGGTATATACACATGTATGTACATACATAGATAAGCAAAGCATATACTGAAATTCCAATAGCACTACACTTCTTAATGTAGAAAAATAATAAGGATAAATTAATATTTGTAACATCCTAAATATCTTTATTTATCATACTTTATATTTTAAATATTGAGCATGTACACACACACAGTTCAAGTTTATGAAAAATTAAACATACTCTATTGTTGGAGCAAGTAAATTCACTTTATGCATTATATTAGTGTATTTTATTACAGTTTATGTTCTAAAAATTTAAATATCATATAAAACTACAAAGTGATAGCATATAATCATTAAAACAAAAATTAACCTCTTGAGCGGGGATAGCGGATATATCCGTTCCTGTTAATTGTTCGCTTGGTTTACCAAGCGAATACATGTAGGTATCTTATCCGATAGTAAGATAAACATTTCAATATTCTAAACTAATGCCCCATTATGCGAAGGACTTGCAAAAAATTTTTCATCCCTTAAGCGTGAATAATTGAACATGTGTAGAACAAAAATAGCTTAAAAAGTTACAATAAATATCAGTTTTTTTCTTAACATAACTATGATTAACCTGAAATATACGTTACTTGTTTTAAGATAATAGTGTCATTATTTTTATACAATTAAAATGGGTAAAATGTACAAAGTTGGTAAATTAATCAAAAGTCATTATTTTCTTATTATTTCATTTGAAAAATAGATCCTTTTTTTTATTGATGAGTGTAAATTGTAAAGTACCTATACGTACTATATAGTTCTTCTTGAACACGAAATAAGTAAAACATAGACTCCTAAACGCGATGCAATCAGAATGCAATAAACTATGCAAGTAAAATATAATTATGTATACATAATACCGGATGATACATATGGACAATGCATACATATATATGTATTTCTATTGTATTATTGCCACTAGCTGACATTCTAAAAGAAACAAAGCATGCGGAAAAAATATATTATTATACATATATGTTTATTGTACTTAGTAATATTCTCAAGCACTTAGATACTTTTAACATGAACAATGTACTTATCTCTGTTGTGTTACAGTGTTTACATCGTATATCAATTAATAAATAATGTTTACTTCATATCATCTATCTGATTTTTGCGTAAGAATGATATACATATGTTTAGATAATGTTTAAGTAATAAAAGTATTTAAAATATTTGTTTTGGAAAAATTAACAAAAACCGCAATTGGTCTGGTTGATTCTCTTTGATTATCTATTTCATGTTCAATTCTTGTTCAATTCATTTATCAGTTGTTTAAAACCAAAGATGAGACTTAAAATAAGGAAACCATTGCCCTAGATATAGCAACTAGATAACGACATTAAGTTCTGTTAAATTCCTAAATAAACTTTTAATTCTATAACCATAATTTTAAAAATATGTTTATAAACGTAAAAATAATGACATAAAAATGATAGTAATTTATTAAGATATATACGCATTCATTGTGTAATTTTTCTACAAAAATCAATTATATAAAGCAATATTTTACCTATACATATGTATAGAATATATCATTTTAAGGCACATTGTCCTTAAATATCTTACAATAGTTACTTACAATAGTTTAATATGACAATAATTAATCTTATATTTATGTATTTAAAAAACTTTTTTTTATTACATATATGTACATGTATACAGTAAATCTTTTAGAGGCAAGCAATACTTTTTTTCTATATACGATGATATTCTTAATTATACTTTTGGCTTATTGAATTTTCAATGGACAAATTAACTAAAAGCATCAACAACTCTCTGTTATAGATAATTTTACGTAGTTAGAACTGGCGCTGACTTTCGTTAGTTTGATTAGAATCACACGATCAACCCTCTAGTCGAAAGCAGCAAGCAATGTTAGTGGAGTAAGAGGGTTGAAGGAAAATTCGACGCTAGGGGTGGCGTACAAGTGTTGGGCGCCATCTATTCGTTCAGTGTCTGACTATCCTCTGAAGACCTGTGTACTCGCGATCGTATTACCAGATTATTGCGACATTTCGTGTGACAATTTAATTCAGTGCATCGTGTCATAACAAAGTGACGAGTGAACGCATTAAAACGGATACAACAAGGTAAATAGAAACGATAATAAAATTTATCCTAAAAGACTTACTTTGTTCGGGTGGCTGCCATCCTCGATGCCAGACACGCGTTAACATGTTGGATCGATTCCTCTTTCTCGCAAGTCGTATTGCGATGGGAGACTCCAATAGAAGACCTGATTACGAATTTTTAGTCTCTTTTTTATAATGAAAACGTGCATTTTACTTTATTTCGTGCATCAAACGTCCATCTATTTTTGTTAAGTTCGCTCAAAAATGCATAATTTGATGTTCGAAGAGGTCAAGTCACCCTCGAAATCTCTGGATAGAAAGACGCCTACAGCCAAAGCCCTTCCTCTATTTTTTCGTAAAATTTCTATTAAACTCATACGAGTTCATTGAAATTTCGTTGATTTAAACTCATTTCAGATGTAGGTTCCATTCAAGTTTTCCTTTCTTTTACGAATGCAAATACAAATAAGATCGTACGATCGATTTCTCCTTGAGATTTTTTTAGATATATTATAAGTAATAAATTCGATCTTGATTCTTAAAATATAATCCAGATAGACAATAGATAATTCGTACGTATCGGACGACAGGATTTGCAATATACATGATGCTCTCATTTTTAAACAGGTGTATCCAGTACCCATAAGTCTGCGTTTCATTTTTGTCAGAAATATTCATAAGAACAATCGCTATATAGTCAGATAAATTCTATTTAGAAATCTAAGCACAACCTTTTTTCATAATATTTGTTTTAAACTATATAATCGACTATTGGCCTATAATCTTTAAAAATGAATATTTAAAAATGATTTCAAAAGAAATATTGTTATTTCTTTCAATAAAAATTTTGCTAAAATAAAGAACATAACATAAAGAACATAGATATATACATATTGCAATTTCCAGTTAATCAAAAAGCTAGTATTTTTAATAGTAAATTATCGATAATTATTAAAAATTATTATAATTAAAATTATTTAATGTGATTTTTATGGGGAAAAATACTGGAATATGAAAAGATTTCAATGTGTGAAACACAATAAAACACAGTTGAGTACAATTTTGGATAATTATAGCAAACAATGATGAATAAAAATAACGATGCCAATTTACATAATAATTCAGCGTACGCAAAATATGAAATACTTTTAATTGTATAATGTATATCACTTCCTCGATTGTTTCCTAATAATTTTTAATTTATGTGAAGATAATAATAACGAACTTCGTTATTTTCTATATAAATAAATGCGTAAAATACTTTGTCTTAAATAGCGCATATTTAACTAAATATGTAACCACCGACACCGTTTTTAACATTTTCTTTCAAATGCAAAATCGAAAAATTTTAATTATCAAATTACTGAATTTGAAAGTTCATATACTTGTATATATGTACTACATGGATGTATATCCTTTTTTATTTCCGAGTGATTATATAAATATTAGAGGAAAGATATCACAACATTTTAATACTCATCACATGTAAATGTATACAAGCATTTTATTATTTACATTAACTTTCTAATTTCCGTTTTTTATTTCTCATTACATGTCTTTTGTTGCAAAAACAAATCTCTAAATTAAAAACATTCACATATGTATATACGACTTACATAATTTAATAACATATCCAAAATTATATTACGTATGTGTAATAACTACAGAAGTTTTTGAAAATCTTCTAAAAAAAGTATTAAGTATATAACATTTATGAAATTAAATATCAATCAAATATCAGCTTAAAAATTCATTATACTAATCAAATTATATTCTGTTATATCAATAATGTGTGACATGAAATATATATCACAAAAACATAATATAATGTTATTAGCTTTTCATTTTGATTTTTATAGTAATTTTTTTATATTACTAGCTAGAACCAATGTAGAGCTAGTATCTATACATATATTTACATCGGTACTCGAGTAACTGAATGTTTTTCATAAACTTTTTTTGTAATTGGAGTTAAAGTTATTTCGTATATTTCTTTTAACTACTAAGAACAAAATATAAACAAAATTTTTTGCAAGCATTCCTCAACTGAATTATATTTTTTAATACCTTAATTTTTAAGTCAAAATTGCAAGATTTATTTTCATGCGAACAATCCGCATATCTCACAGACTGTCAAACTGACAAATGAAAAAAAATGAAACTAACCTATGCAGTAACGAAAGACGTCATCTACCGCTGACAGCACACGTGACGATTAACATGCTAATTTCAAATAAAAAAGTTCGTAAGATAGTTTTGTATAATATAATATTTTACAATGCAAATTATCAGTTATTTTCCTTTCATCATACTTACGTGTTAAAAACGTTATTTGCTAGCATTTCTTTATATGCACATGTACCAAAAACTGAACATTATGCGTGTGTGAGAAATAAACGCATATCCATAGCAATCTGCTATTGTAAGCTTAAAGTTACCAGCAGTGACAAAATTTAACATATACATAGATATTTACTACTACATCACGTAGATAATACTGTATAAAATTCACAAAACTTATGGTATTAAGATCCATTACATATGGAAGAATTTTAAACAAAATAAAACACATTTTTGAAAATGATAACTTTCTTAGATTAATTTTCATTATTTCATTGTTTCATTACATTATTATATGTATTATAGTAGTAATATTCATTACGTTATTAGTATATATTGTATATACACTATAGTTATCTTTTTCCATTTTTTCCAAGTACTTCATTCCATTTCTCATACTTCAATTATTAATTGTTATATTTTTGATAAATTTTACATTCGTAACTTATCGTTTTAATGTAATTTATAATTTTTTTTAATTTTACAGCGTTGGTGTCGTATCAGACATCATTGCGGAAGAATAAAATTAATTATATTCGTATTACACTCATAACATTAAAACCTGAAGGCTAAAAGTAATACTTATATTTTTCAAACTAAAATTGACTTTTTCATGTACATGAAAAATATAAATAAACAATTTTTACTAGCATTGACAAAAATCATTAAAAAATTGATAGCTTATAAGTTTATAAAATAATATTTTCATAGATAACAATACAATCTAATACATTTTAGAAATTTACATTTTAAGAATCAATAAAACAAATCAAAGTTTATTTTAATACAAAAGTTACACCGAAATACAATGTCTTTTAATTATATGATGCATCCAAATACAATATTTAATTTAAGTAACAATACGATATTACAAAATGTAATAATTTATCTTTTATATATAAAAGTATAAAATAAAATTGATTCTTTAATTGCTTTGACAAAAAATATCTTATCTCATAAGTGCACGATTTCACTCTGTTTGAATCTTGTTTGCTATTGAAGAAAATAATAACTATCGCTTCTGGATTAAGGTGTCATTTGTATGATTCATCCCAATGCTTGTTCTCAAGAAGAATAAGAAAAGTAAAAAATGGAACATGGGGGTAGAAGAGATAGGAATAGAATGTTGAAATATACAGCGCAAATTATTATAATTACGGATATGCACATGTCTCGAATTAATCATAAAGAGAAACAGGGTCAATACAATAGCAAGCTGTGCAACACCGAGGTAGACTTAAAATGTGCCGATTGTATCTACTGGTGCCAGTGACCTCCTATTGATTCCACGCTCAACGAAGCACGGGCCAAACCCTCGTCTTCTCTCTAGCCCTTTCTAGTATACACTTTCTCGTCTTTCATCTTGCTTTCTTTATGTTTCTTCTGCTAGTGTTTTCATGTTTTCCTCAAATCCGCAAACTTCTCATCCTTTTGCCTTTGTCTCATTCTGTTCGTTTATTTTGACTAGAACTCGTCTTTCTTATTGTATACTTCCTTTTACCTCCTGACTTTCCGCTCTCCTTTTACCACCTTTTCTTTCTTTTCACCGATTTCCATGTCTCATTATTCTATCCAGTTTCTTACACCATTGTCATTTATTTATTTCATTTTGTCTTCTTTTTTATATTTCTCTATTTTCTTGTCTACTGTTTTCCTTTATTTGTTTCGCATAATTGTTATGAAACTACATTATGTGTCTAATGATAATTATGCAAATACATTTATATTTCGTAACATAAAAACGATGTAAATAAAATCTTAAAAAAGCATGATGGCAAAAGAGAATACAAAACGAAATTAGAATTCGGTAACAACGCTATATATATAGTAATGATATATGTATATATCATTACTTATGTGATTTGTTAAAAGAAATGTAGGTCTGATGGATGTTGTGTCATTGAGTTCTTTTGATCTAAATTTTACAATTTCTGTAATAAAGGATATAACTTTTTACGTTATTAAAGTGTGAAGTTGAGTGGTCGGTGTTATGTATTGAAAATACCACGTGCTATGCATATATGTATTTACCTATCAATAATTTAATCAATAAGTGAGGTACCGGTTTATGTTTAGAGTTCAGGACTGTCCAACTTTATAAGTATTTACTGTATCGTAACAAGAATATCATAGTAAACATATTCTCACAATTTTGCACTGTATTTTTTTTAGCTTATTATTATAAACATTCTTTCTTACGATCGTATTACATAAAATACTTTTATATTAATTAACAAAATAAAATAAAATGAAATTTGATAAAGTAATAATACATTTTTACTTTTCCATGTTCCATTTTTTAAAATAAAAGTAAAATTATGAATAAGAATTATGTATATTTCTTATGAATAATCATTATGATATTCTGAGTTTTTTTTAATTTTACTGCTTGTTTATCAATTTTAAATGAGATCTTTAACAGGTTATTACTTTCCTAATTAAAGACTTAATATTTATTGCATTATATATTAATGATTCTTTACATATCAGTAAATATATATTGAGAAAAAGATTAAGATTATTAATTAGACATTAATTAGATATTAATATGTTGATATTAATATTCAGAACTTTCATCTGATATAAAAACACCTAACAACGTAAAAATTTAACCATATATGTAGTAGCATTCTACATGATACGGATATATAATGTTCCAGAATGGACAGGGTATTAAGAGAAATGAATGTGGCGTGGCGATGACAAGCCTGATCTTGGAAAACGCAGACTTGAACCGACTTTTCCCGAAATGTCGGCCTAGGGGTGGCCCACCCCCGAGTCCGGGGGCCTCCACACAGATCAGTCAGCCGCATGAGAGCCTCTGCCAGAAGGAGGCCGTCTCTGTTACCACCAGCCTCACGACTAGCCTCACAGATACACTCGCGACTACGTTCGCAAACACTCACTCCAAGAACACACATTCAACGCACTCACAAGCGATACCGGAAGACATGATCGACCTCGAGCGTGATATCTCCGATAGGTAAATTTATATTGACTTACCGATCAATGATTTTCTTTTAATCGGTAATTAAAATTAATCGATATGATAGAATTTTAAATGTTACAAGTTGCATTGCAACCATTAACGAACATTATTTAGACCTCCAAAAATATTTAATTTATATAAATATAAATAAAAATATATTGCGACGAATGTCCAGTTTAAAAATGCACTGTGTACTTGCTAATACTTTATACAACTATTTAATTAATGAACTAAATTATTTACTAATGCTTTGTTATAATAACTAGTAATTTAAAAAAACATGCTTAAAAAATAAACAAAAATAAATAAAAAATGTAATGTGTAATTTTTTATTAAAGTTATATTTAAAAAGTACTATTCCTTGTTAATAATAGTTTATATTTGAAGGAAGAAATATTGTACATTTATAATCTATATTTTAAATACATCAGTAACAGTATTTGTGTAATTTTAGGTACTACACTGAATACCATTTATATAAATCTTTAAAATATTTGTGGAAAATATAGCTTTTAAAAATCCTTATACCTTTTACATCACAAAAACAATAAAGATTGGGATAATTCACAGCTATTTCATAGAAAAATAACTTCATCTTATAACATTAAAAATATCAATGAGGAGAAAGTGATATTGAAAAATAGAAATAAAATAAATATAATAAAAATAAAATAATTAACAATCATTATATTACATATAATATTTCTGGTACTACTGTAAAAATGTGAATATATAAAAAATCCAGATAACTGTTTCTAATCATAAGTAGAACTTAAATAACTTGTGTAGTTCTGTATATATATAAAAAAAAGAATCTCTTTGTTATAGAATATTAATTTAAATAATAAATTAACTAATTTTCTGGATGATGAATTAAAGCATGAATTTAAATCTTGGTAATTTCACAATATTGTATTAAAAGATGTAATTTATTTTGTACTGGTTAAAATGATTTTAAACAAGTTTGTAAGCTAGAAATATGTTTTATTTATTCATCAAGATACAATGAGACTGTAGACTAAGAAACATATATAAAAACGCATTTAGTGTATGAAAGATGGAATAAATAGTAAATAAATAATATTAAAAAATGTATAAAATGAATAAAAAATTTCATATTTACTGAATTTAATAAGCTGTTATTTATTGGATTTTTACTGGAGTATATAATCATAATGATAAATACATATAATAAATAAAATTGATTTTAATACTTTCTAAGATCTTTAAATTAAACATAGATTATAATCATAATTACTCTTTTCTTTCCTAGGACAACGAACATGGTGTCCGGTTTTACAGGTGACAGTCAACTATCTGTTGGTGTTAGCAGTGGTACAAGCAATGTTGGTGGTCCTCTTGGAACATTTAATTCGCTTGGTGCACTTAATACTAAACCGCTTTCTTCAAGCTCCTCGTCTGCCTCTGGACATAGTGAAGATGCACAACAATATGGTAGCCTTCCAGGTAGTGATCAGCAGAGTCACTCACAACAGGATGATAGTGGGCCTGAGGAAAGCCCTGTATACATTTTAACTTCTGCTAAGGGTGATCGCAGTTACAAATTAAGGGATTCCAGGTAAGTTACTTTAATTATATTGAAATATCTCTTCTGTATTTGGGAAATATATATATTTAATGAGCCAAATTAATAAATATCAGAATTATAGTACATTTTCCATAAATAGATTGTAATCTCTAATCTCTAATAAACTATAATCATTAATTATGTATATAAAAAAAGATAATACAATTCATAATATGCGTTTAAAAATATATGTTTAAAGTAAAAAATTTATAAACATACTGAATAATTTTTTAAATGTAATAATAAATACTAATGATAATACTTTCAACAAAGGAAAACTCAATATATTACGCTTTCTAAACTTTTTCAGGTAATTAAAATTTTAATTTCAAAATGTTATATTAATTATATTAATCTCAAAAAATTCAGATTGTGATATTAAATTTCCAAACAGTGTTTTACATTTAATATTGATATTTTTTAACATTGTGTATTTCATCATAAACAAATTACATTTTCACAAAACAAGAGGAATGAATAATCCACTACTACTTTTTTATTTATAATAGATAGATTTATTAATAATAGATTTATTTTAGTCTCATAGCCTATTACAGGAAGATTGTTATTGGGTTCTTATTTCTAATTTCTTACACTATATTATATTCTTATATTGATCTCTTAGTTATTATGTTTTTTAAATTCTGTTATCTTTAAATTCAATATTTGTAAAATACCTAAACGATTAAAGAATCAAATATTTATAAAAATTTTACCCACATTTTGAAACAATCGATAAACTTGTCAATGACACAATCGAAGTTTAGTCGATAAACATTACACAGCAATTGATGTTAGGTTAGATTGTACCACTTTTTGTTCTTAATCTTAATTTGTGGTGATTAATGAAAAATGTATATCATATAAACTGTTTATTATTATATTAACAACAAACTTGTATATAAACTAATTTTTTTTATTAACAAAGTGTAAGTACTAACTATATAATAAATGATATAGCATAATAAAGTTTCCTACACTCTTTGTTTACATTATTTTACAGATACTATCAGTACTCATTTCGTAATGATTTTAATTAAGATAATCAGTTCAAAGTGTCTTTAACAATACAATTTATTACGATGGAAAGTTATTTAATATAAATTTATTAAATAATATCGACGAAAACAATGTATTTTCATCTAGTAATTGTAATGCCTCATTCTTATTGAAATTTGTTAAGTTCTAAAGCATTAAATATATTTCAGATGATCGTATTATTACAAAAATTTTTAAAAGAATACTATTAATATTTTGTATTATGTTTCACTTTTTTCCAAAAAAATTTATGAATAAATTTAACATAATTAATGATGTAGATTAATAAGTTATTTATGATTGCAATAAGAAAATATTGATCTCCTTTCATAACTTTATTTTTAATATAATTATACATATGTACAAAGACAATACAGTTATAATATAAATATAAATAAATATGAAAATTATATTAGATTTTTCTTATACTATAAACATATTTCTACAGATTTTCATAAATATTTAATATCTAAATAATTTATAATAAAATAAATATTGAATACATATTTTATGTTCCCATTTATCTTTTATTATTTTCTACTGTTGATTTTACATCAACATTAGTATAATATTTCATAGAATATAGTAGCATTTAATATTTGTATTTATGAAATAAATAATATGTCAGCATATGTTTCAAAAATTTTATGTTTATTCTATTTAATTATTTAATTCCTTATGTATTCCTTTTACATTTTACTTCAATGGTGTTTAAACTTGATTTAACATGTAATAAATAACCATATAAACAAGTGGATTAGATGTAATAAATAAATTTAAGGTATCATTTCTACAAATTTATTGATTTATATTTTTGTATATAAATTTCTAACTTACTATATAACAATTTAATTTATAAAAAATAGTTTTACAAATAGTATTTTAAACGTTAATTTAAATAATTATTATTTTTTTAGAATTATAGAAATTGCTGGTGGACGAGAAGTTTTTTCTCAGAGTCGAGGTAAAGTAGCAGCTAGAAAATCACGCTTTCTTGCGGCATCAAATTCATTAAATAATGAAGATATTCAAACAGATAACAAGCTATCAGTTAAAAGAAATAATAAATCACCAAACACTCAAACTATATGGGAATTAAGAAGCCGGTAATTTGAAAAGTATTATCTACTTCTAATACACAAAATATATGATAGAATTGAACAAGAAAAATTTCATTTATTCATACGACTATCATATTTAATAAATTAGTTGCGTATTATTTTCCCGATGAAGGATTGTATATAATAATACAAATTATATATGACTGAATTTTTAGATGCGGTGATACAAGAAAGCAGCGTTCTAATAGAGAAGTCACAGAAACTGTATTTTCTTCAGAAATACATTCGGTGCGACATAATCCAACAAAATCTATTGACTATGATTCCCCTAAGAGCAATCACAGCAATCGTATTATTAACTATGACTCAATTTTGAATAGCAATAATGTAGAATATGGTATATCAAAAAATACTGCGGATCTTGATTATGGATTGTCAAAAAGCTGCATAGATTATCAATCAAATCACACTACGCCAGCAAGAAGCATGGCTATCGTTAGTGATGGTGAAGTAGTTGTCTTTGATGACATTGATGATAATTGGCAAAATTTGCGACTAGACTTAACTTCTAACAATACCAATCAAGTTACACCAACTAATTTAAGTCTTGAAACTGAGGAATCTCAAAGAGGTCGCATTCCTCCAGAACCATTAAGTTCTAGCATTGGAAGTACACCGAGCCCAACAACGGCATATCATCGTAATACTTCAGAATTTTTTAAGGTGCATATTTTTATTTGCTTGTTTTATCTATTAATTATATTTGTATTTACACAATTAAATAAATGATCAGATTTCATTACATCTTCCTTTGTAGGATGAATATAATAAAATTATTTAAAACATTTAACATAGTAAAACAATTGAGAAGTAAAATGTTTTTTATGCATTATTATCCAAAATAAAGTTTTAAATACTATATAGAACATATATTTTTAGGTTATTACTCCAGCTAGTGATTGTGAAGTAGACTCACCATCTTCAGAACGTAATCACAAAGTAACAAGAGTAATTGGTGAATTACCAATAGCACAATATTCTGAAAGTCCACGACGTTATGGAGTACGTGATACTCAACTTCCATGCCTTTTGTCATCACCATCTGTATACATGACACCAAGGCCTGGTTTTCCACAGAGAGTATTACCGACAACGCCAAGTCATAATGAGGTATGTTTCAAATGAATAGCTATATTTTCCTGTGTTATTATACAAAATGTATAGTGTAACTTAAACACCTTAACAATTTTTAAAGTCTTTTATAAGTTTATACATATGTATAATTATCTTTAAATTTAATAAAATTCAAATTTGAGAAGGAAGAGGGAAGGTTACATTATTGTATCAAGAAAATAGAAATTACAGAATATTTTCATGTTTCTTTTTAGAAGGAGGATACTTCTGCAGAAATCATCGTAGAAAAGGCTGTGGTAGAAACAAATATAAATTATTCTGATGATCAAGCTGTAAATGCCTCTCCTCCATCTCCTAAAATTGAAGATGAAGAAGAAGACTCTTTAAAACCATCAACTATACCCACAGATAATATAAGCAATCTGGTATCGTCTGGTGGTAGTACATTTGATTATTTATATGAATTCTCAGAAACTCGAAAAGTACTTGAGGAATTCTTTAAATGTCCACCACCAACAAAAGAAAAGGAAAACAGTACTGAGTCTTTCCCATTTCAGGTATCAACATTTTGTTTATTTTATATGTATTATAATCGACGGAAGTAAAATTTACATAAATACACATTTAATATTATAAACATTTTAGGTTTATTCATGCTTTAGTTAAAGCTTTTAATTCTTTTAATGTAACTTTATCTTATAACGTTAGCACATGATTTATATTAAAAAGCATTTTCTGGCTTTTGTTGCTTGTACTAAAATTGATTTTTCTATGATGGTAACTATGTTTTAAACTACCGCTTATAATCATACTCTTTTCTCAAGGATTTGGATTATGAACTGCGGAGACAAGGAGGAAGTGCTTATGTTGGTCAACGATTAGCTAGTGGTCCACCAACAACAGAGGAAGTTCTAGTTCATGAATCTCCCAAGAAACAAAGAGCAGATTTTCCACAAAATGTAAGAATATTCATACAAACAAATTTCTAAATGTGTATATATAGTAATTTTTATTTGTATATAAGCCATTAATCAAATTTGAAGTTAATCATCAAAAATCGATCTACAATAAAAAAAAAGATAAAGTCCAAAATATATTACATAGCATCGTTTTACTTAAAATGAAGTTATATTTACTTGAATTTTAGTGTTTCGTCTCTTTTCAGGCCGGTGAACATGAAAATAATTTCTTAGACCTCTCGGTAGGTACTGGAAGTAGTGAGGATCTCGGAGAAACAGAGGTTGGACTGCAAGTTGGGCACTCTCGCAATTTTACATTGAGTCCTGAAACAACTGATTGCGACAGTAATTGTGGAGATCTCGATAGTGAAGTTTCATTAATGATGATGGATAATGAATTAATACCAGCTAGTGGTCTTCTTGGATCAGTTGGTGATTTAGGAAATAATTCAGATTCATTGAGAATATATGCTAGCATGCCAGTTCTTGAAGATGGCTTATCTAGTGGACACGCCAGTGATACTGATAATAATAATCCAACTGTGATGTTGATGAAGCGACAAATTAATGAAATTGAAAAAGAAATTATTCAACGTAGTCGTATTAATGATACTACTCATCCAGCTACCACGGAGAATGATTCAGTTGGGAAAGATCTCTCTGGCTTAAATGTCGGCAAAGATATTTTGCATTCCTTAAAAACTTCATCGCCTGATCTATTTGTTCCTAAGAAAGAAAATTCATATGATACAAATGAGCTTCAGCTTGATGGTTTGGATCCTCTTGGCACACCACCACCACCAGCACCTCAGGCTAGACAAAGTGTTAATCTAGAAATAGGTGGTGAAGTTGAAGCTGCTATTAAAGACATTAGAATGGCTTTGCAAAGGACTAAGACTTTACCTGTAAAATCTTCTACAGAAGAATCAGCTGAACCTAATGTCAGTCCTATTTGGATACCAAGGTATTTCACTTTCCTTTTTTTAAAGTTTGTATTCTTTTATTGGTTTTGCAAATATTTGTATATTTTTAATACGAATTAAGGCAACAGCAATTATATTCGAATTTTAATTTATAAGTTCTATATTAGTATTTTTGCTATTTCTCTTGTTCTTTCAAAATTTTAAATAAAATCTTTCAGTATCATATTCCATTCTTTTAAAGTTTGCATTAAAATGCCCCATATGAGCAATAAAAATTACAAACATGAATTATGTGTACTGTTAAACATCTTTATATTTACATAAATAATTTATAACGTAAGATTCTATCTATTCTACAATAGTATTTATTGTTACTATCATACACATCAATCCACAGAGTATTCTTTATTGACAGTAATACATATATTTATTTTAGTTATTATAAACATCATTATTATAAATTTTTAATCTGAATATTTTCTTATATAAATATTTGTACTGTTTAAACGGCATAGTCTCAATAATCTATTGTAAAATAAAAATATTAAGAATACAAAATATTATAAAAAAGAAACTATTTTGCATAATAAATTAATCATTCATATTTGTATTTGAGATGTAATTACTGTTCTTTAAGAACATCTAATTAAAATGTAGTCTATCGGATGGCAGGCGGAGAATTTGCGTGGAAAATAATAGCGAAGAGTCGGAAGTTCGTCGTACGGGTGAAGAAGCAGATGTTGAAATCGAGGAGGGTCCAGATGAAGAAGAGGCAGATACTGACCTCGAAACTGATCGTTTACTTGGACAGCAAAGAACAGACGACCAGGGTTTTTACGACGACAAGGTAAGATATATAATAATAAAATATTATTCAATAAGGTCTTTTTAAATCACAATCTTATGAATTGACGAAATAATCTTCGCGCAAATTAGTAAAATTAAAACACACGTCTTAAAGATAACAGTATACGTATATGTACTGCACATATAAACTGAAATCGTCATGTATTTTGTTGCAGGCGAAATGTATAATATTAAAAAATAATATCTAATCAAAGATACCGAATACATATAGTACAGTTTTCTTTCTAGTACAAACTTTAACTTTTCTCCACTTTTTTATTATTACAGTTATCTTCTTATGTTATCATGTTAACTTCCCAAATCTTGTATTTAAAAAATTACTGTTGATTTTTATTATTCTAAATATTTATTAAAAAAAACATTTACAGCAATTTAGAACATAGTCCTTACAAATGTTGAACCAGGTTCTGTCAAAGATTTTTAATAATTTTAACCTTTAATAATGAAAATTAAAAACTTACCGATATTTATTATTTATTCAGTAAAGTATTTTTTATTATTGCCATTTATAATTTGGATTATACAATTAACAAAATACTTTGTATTAAAAATATTACTTTTCATATATAACCACGCAAATATATGTATGTACAAATTATTATTATCGATACTCTATGTTAGAAGGTATCTGTTGATTCAGTATTTTATTAGTAAGTAATTATATACAGGGTGTTTGAAACTTATTTGTCACGAGCGTCACAGCGTTATTCAACACCTCTGAATCGCCAAAGATCTGCAAAAAAAGTAGCCGCAAAATTGACCATGACCTTGTTGATATTAAAGGTCAAAATTTTGTTTGTTGCATCGTATTTTACTCATCGTGAGGACAAAAAGTATCCAAGGAATCGTAAATCGTAACTCAATAGTTCCCTTGGGGAAAAAAATGTTAAAGTTACATTAATTTTCAAATTCAGTTTATTTGTAATTTGCTTATATTGTGCAGTCAGATGCAGGAAAAGTAGCATCTATTGTCATACGTAGGTACTCTAGATCCACTATTATAAATTCCATATCTCCCTTTTTTTCTCTCTCGCAGCCGCGGGCTCACATTTCTACATTCCAAATCAATTTTTCTACTAGATGACGCCCTGACTTTAGATTATAAGAAAATTGATGAACCGGTCGACTAGTGTGAGATGGAGTAGCATCATCGATCGATTCAACAATTTTTTTATCGTCAAGGTCAGTGCGTGATCTTGGGGAGAAATTTGGTCGGAATGTAGAAATGCGACTTCAGGAATAATAACGAGAAAGAAAAAAAAGGAGATATCGAATTTATAATAATGGATCTGGGATATCCATATGTGACAATAGATGCTACTTTTCCTGCATTTGACTGCTAATTGTGCATAAGCATATTGCAAAGCGAGTTTTAAAATTAATGGAACTTCAACATATCTCTTTTTTTTTCAAAAGAACTATCGTGCTGCGAACCACGATTCCTTGGAGACCTTTCGTCTTCACGATGAGTAGAATATGATGCAACAAAGAGATTTGATCTTTAACGTCAAGGCCAAGATCACATCGAGGATTCAGGGTGTAGAAAAATGCTGTGATCATGACAAATCAGTTTCGAATATCTTATATATATCAAGAACAAAACTCTTTTATTCGTTAAAGATTAATAATTTTCATATTATACAACTTGCTTGATGATATGATAACATATAATTGTTCAATGGTCTTAATCCTTTATTTAGTAATACAAAAAATATTTTAAAAATATTCTGCAATATCTAAGAGAAGTTCAGTAAAGTTCATTAATTATAAAATAATGTTATTTAACGATAAATAAATTTAATATCAATAAAATATCATTTAACTGAATAAGATACTAAGATAAATATTATAGTTTACAAATGTTATTACTAAATATTAGTTTTTAATAAGGAAAAGGAAATATGGGTTTTACAAAGGAATTATAAAAACTCTTACAAGTAAAATTGAAATAGTTTCGTGTTTATATCTTATTTATATTTTATAACTATTTACGATTAGAAAAAATTCTTGAGATAAAATTAACCGTTATTTTTATACAGAAAATATTTTAATTTATTTCACATCTTTTCTATCTTTATCGCCCCCTTCTTGTGTATTCTGCGAAGAAAGATATTATAATGCATAAAGATTAGTTTATTCAGAATACGTTAAACTAAGTAAAGGATTAAAGAAAATAAAAAATATGCCTTAGGTAGTGCATGATCTGTGTAGGGGTATTATCTTAAGGGTAAACAGACTAACATAATAAATATAATTGGTGTTACATAGGGGTGGAGGAAGCCTAAGACTAGGACAATGTTACCACCGATGAGTGGAAAAGTGCCAACTCCTAAGCAAACTCCCCCGAAAAGCCTGAGTGTCGTTCCGGTAGAAAGCCCGCTAGCACCTTCGGAACCCTTAGCTTCGACCTCAGCCTGTGTATCCACTTCCGCTTCTGCCTCTATTTCACCTCCTCCAGTAGTTTCCGTTATTCAAGCTCCGCCTTCCGATTGCGATGTTACTACTCCCTCACAACCTACGACAAGTCCACAGAAGACTCCAGCCAAAAATTCTCCCTCGTCCCCTCAGAGTCTCAAGGAATCCAGCAACAAGGTGAAAAAGGTGCCCCTTCAATTAAATTTCATCAACCTATCTTCTTTTATTATGGCTGCTACTAATCATACTGCTACTACTCTCTTTTCTATTCATTTATTATTACCATTAGTGCAATTAACACATTCAGTTAAATAACAACAAACAACAAATACCAATTGATATACTTACTACAATCTTTTTGTTATTCGTTATTTGTTTAAAAAAAATAATCTCTCATTATTTAAAAATTAAATGATTATCAAATAATTATTAATTAAATTATTAATTAATTAAATAAATAAAAATTAAAGATACTTTTCTATGTTACAATTGTATATCACATTTTGATATTCATAAAATAATTAATAATTTCTCATGAATGTTTTTCAAAAGGATTTGTTATTTGTATTTTATTAATTTCGAAAATAAGTGTTCGATAAAATTATAATCCTTTTGGGGTTTTTATATCTATATTTATACCTTATATTTGAATCCTCAAAAATTTCGAGTTTTAGAGTAACTGATTGCATTTATTTGTAATCTTAGTACAATCCTCCTAATCAATAACATCGTTTGCTATTTCTTCCACTATATACATAGAGACCATTATATGAGGGGTTCAGAAATCAATCAGTGCAAGTCCAACTTCCCCGAAAATGAGTTACATGGTCCAAAAACTATTTTATTATTAAAATATTCCAATTGATAAAGTAGCTACGTTTATATGTAGATGTCGGAGACGAAAGAACACCGGAGCCTCTGGAATTTTGGATAATCCCGCAACATTGTAATCTAGAGTCTACGATAGCTGTAATTAAACAATTGTAGTTATTCAATCCTATTGTAATTGTTCGAGATTAGTGATAGTGAGCTTTGGCTCGAGGCGACAGTCTGTCGCTGAACGTAGCCGCGGTTACGGGATGAACGCTGTGTCTAACAAAGGCATGAAGTAATTCTATAGCTCTCCTTAAAAAGGAAATAATTGTAACACTCGACAGTAAACATTCCAACGATCTCTGTCCCGTAGCTCGCCACGCGCAGACCCTATTCTTCGAGTAAGATGATTGCCAGATGTCGATGCGTCTCCGCAGTACATGTTCAGCTAGCCCGAGGGTTATAAATCTTAAGATTTAGCTAACTAAAGTCCTTCAAACGGACGAACAGTCTTTGTCCCAACTACAGGAAAATAGGGGAGACCTATTTTTCAACGAGCGGTGTCTCCCACTAGCAACTTTCCCTCGAAGGCGGCTAGCATCTTTTTCTAACCACCGATATGGAGATTGACCAATTAGCAGCAACGCCAATTTCCCTTACTTTCTGAACGAAGGCTTTTCTCGACGAATCCGATGATCTCGTGTCCTTAGACACACCCCATATAGTTTTCCTCTGTGGCATCATCGGGACGGGAAAGTCATACTCTCTCGCGATCTCATCGACGAATAGAGTAACACTTTACGATCAGTGAATATTACGCGTCCGACTTAGATTTTGTGAGCACGTTCATCGATCATCCCGTCGACCGCGGATTCGTTATTGAACCTAAGATCATTGTCATTAGTTTCTCGAGTATCTAATTACCACGGTTAGTTGTCCGGTTCTATGATAATCGTATTTGCACTAGTCGATGTCTTCTCTATTGCATAACGACACGTGTAATCCAAACGAAGATTCGTTTCACGCCCCTAATCCTAATTCTAATGTAAACCAGACATAGATATACAATAGATTTCGGTACTTATATCGACCACTGAGTTACTGGTCAAAATTATTCAACGGACGATCAATGTAAGTCACTTTAAAGTCGCGTTAAGTTTACGCTTTGTTGTTTGTTATTTAGAGAATAATTTCAACGTGAGAGAATAAAATGAAAATTCCCCTTTTTTGTTATCAGAAAATTATCTTTCCTCTGATAGTGGGTCTGAAGATAATTATTTAGGAATGCTGTCCTAGATTTCGATGATTTTTTAAAATATTGTAGAAATTTTAAACAACTTTTCCCTTTGCATGTTACCGCTGGACTCTTTTAGTATTTGCAGAAAGCTGTCGATATCACTACAGAGAGTTCTACCTATGCGCGTATACCTGTGACATAGTTTACATCCATCCACCATTAATCTCTTTATCTTTGTACCATACTTCACGAATCGAAATAATCATTCACAACTGCATACGCGAAGCTGCAAGAAATGTGTCCGAAAATTCGTTCCGGCGGGATAATATCAATAAAATATAAAGCTTAGTATGAATTATAATTATGTTATTATTACCCAAATTATATTAGTCATAACGCGGCGACCAAATTTTAAAGACTAATTCGAACCTAACGCTGACCATTAAAGGTAATCATTTTTAATATGCTGTTGTGCACGAAGCTGTAATACGAAAGATCCGTGGAATACTGAACCTCGTCCAACCTTCGTTTATATATACTACATATAAAGAAAAGATAAGATTTAGGACCTTCGTTAGCTTTTTAAATCCGATGCCCAATTATATTCACTGTAACGATACCGACAGTTTCTGCGAATATCTCGGAAACTAAGATCGAGTGGCGGTTACGTGTATAGAAAAAAAATTGCTTAGAATCATGCCCTTAACGACATATTAAAAAGTTATGGAAATTCAATGTGGCGGCAGCTTTCTAAATAATTAGCAAAATTTGTTGTAAAGAAAGTTGTAAAGAAGGAATTGTATTCGATGTCCAGAGTATCGACTCACGAAAGAAATTAAAAAGAAACAGATGTTTGATCTGATACGTTATACTCCGCTGCATTATTATAGGTTTTATCGAATCTTGCCTACAGTAAATGGGAAAAACACTAGCATTCATATCAAAGGTAAATCAAATGAACTTTGATGCCTGAGTGGCTTTGAAAGTGATAATCCGAACAAATATTTGACATATCACAATTCTTTGATTTAATCTGATTTCTATTAAAAAAACATAGCGTTTTCTTTTCTTTCTCTTACGGTTAAGCTTATTCGTATGTCATCTTATAATAAAAATCGCTTTTTGTATCTTTATTAGTATTATCACTTTTTTAATATTTATATTTACAACCATATAAATTGTAAAAACTTTCTTTATTTCGGTTTCAATGCTAATGGACTTGTTCTGATTTGCTTCTGAACCCCTCGTATATAATTTCCATCTTTTCTTCCTTTTCGGTGATTAAATATGAATTGTATAATATACTAATCTAAGGAGATACATATCAATGCAATTTGCAAATACTATGCAAACACGAAGTAGTGATAGATAGTTACATAGTACGTCACAAGTGCATGCATATTAACAAATTCAAAACAGTTTTCGTTATTTTTGTAATGCAAATAAAGTAGAGCCAAATGGTAACGGTAATCTTTAAGTACGGTTTTATTAAAAAAGTAATCGCCTTATCTTTTATTTTTCAGTCTTTTATTCTTCTTTTTCAGATCGCATTTTGAAAAATATTACAATATTAAAACAATATCGCGATATTAAGGTAGCTAGATAAATACAAAAACAATGAAATAAAAAGCATATACATCCATACAGTTTAATTTAATTATTAATTTTATAAAAAGAGACTCATGGTTCGGGTTAAGGTCTTTTGAAACTTGTTTAACTATACATTAGCTGCAATAAATATTTCTTTAAAACTTATTTATCGAGACAGTTAGATTTGAAAAACTATTGCATGAATGAAGCTTTGATAAGTGGTACAAAATATAATTTGCAAAAGCACGTATCCATAATATTGTATGATGAATTTTCGCTTGTTTTAGTAGTGAAGTAATTGCAAATATTTTTATGTTTAATAGGAAAAAGAAGAGAAGAAGAAAAGCAGAAATAAAGAAGGTAATGAAAACTATTTCTATACTTTTTGCGAATACATACAAAGTACATGTTACTTCATTATTTAGTATTGCTTTTCGTAATAATTTTGTAATATTTGTAATAAGTGATATAACAATAATTTTTATTACTCACTGAGGAATGTTATTTAACATCATGTGATATATTTTTCTGGTTGTAAATAGTATAGAAATATAGTGATAAATCAGAAAAAGATCGCTTATCACAAGTATTTTAGAAAATTAAAATATGACGTTGCTATGTTAGAAAACTTCATGATAAGCTAAAGGTATATGAAATTAATTGTTTTTATCTTATTTGATACTGTATGATATCGATTAAGAAGGCAAAAACGCTTAATTAATGTTTATTTAATCTTCTGCAATAAGATTAAAGTTTATGTGGCGCTATAGATAATGTTACTTCTATGATCTTACTCTATAGTCGATTCAAAACAAACTCTAAAAAATATTCCTAACTCTATCATTTTGATTATTTTAACTATTCATTTTCAAATTATGTACATACTAATAAATGTATAAAATGTGTCTTTCATTTGCTGCATTCCTGTTGGATATACTCGGTAGGTAGTTTAAAGTAAAATTTATCATTTTTTCAAATTTGGAACTTGTAATATAATCAGTTAACTGTTGAAAGTTATTCGATTTTACATTGACGATTGAAGACTGTAAGAATTATGTTTACAATTTTGCTACTTCTATAAATTTGGAAGGAATAAGAATAAGATTACTAATAATACTAAATAAGATTACTAATGGATAACTTAAGTAACAACATTGCTTTCAATTTTACGTGACAGTTTTGCTGTAGCAAGCAAATTATCTAGCTAATTTATAAATATTAACATCACTGCATGTTTGGAAGGCATGAATTTGTATCTCTTTAAGCCCTTTGATAAGATGACGACAGATAGCTTGATAATATCCGATCGGCTGATAACTGTTTGATCTAATTCCTTTTCTGAGGATATTTATGGAAGTTGATCAGTACAGTACGAAATGTACTTCTGTGATGTACTTATAATCTATTTAGATGTTAGATTTGTTAGAAAAAACTAAAAATTAAGAATGTCCATTTCAGTGGAATCATTTTATCTATGTATTATATAACCGAATTGTATACGTATATTAGTTATACAAAATTAGAAACTTTGGATCAAGCTTAGATCTATCGAAACTAGTGAAGAACTATTACAAGAAATCAACTATGGAGTATAAGAAATATGAAGAATAAGAAGTGCAAAGGAAGGAAATTATATTGTTTTAATTAAATATAATTGAAAATTATAATTTAAAGATTTATGTGATACCAATAAATATTCATATATGAAACATATATATTCAAGCAGGTTCCAATTTTCCATGCCTGACATTAGTTGTTGAATTTGAAGAGATAATAAATTAAATAAATCAACCAGAGAACGTATTCATTATTAGAATATGTTAAAGAACCATGAAGAACATTAAAATTGTACTATACTTGCTTGCTATACCAAAACTTTCAACGCATACAGAACCGTTTTGATACTTAATTGCGAAACAAGAAAGAATTGGTAATTTTGTAAGGAGTCTAAAAAAGATCAGAAAATGACATCAAGCGAACAATTGGTTAATAAGAGATATGGATATAACGTTAACAGACAATTTAAAAAATAATGAAACCTCGATGGGAAGCGTTCCTGTTCCAATACGCGCGTCTTCAATTAGACTTGTTCAGTCATCGTTCGATTATTCTTTGTTGTTCGGCAATTTGAAGAAGGAGAGATCGCGTGAGAAGTCTAAATGGTACGTTTCTTTGAACGTTTCAGCTCTTCTCAACGATTCTTCAGTTTTGATCGAAGGAGTATTGTTCCGAGCCAGATATCTCGGATCTACTCAGCTCGTCTGCGAAGGAGAACCTACCAAGTCGACTCGTATGTGTCAGGCAGAGGAAGCTGTGTCTAGGATAAAGGTACGCTTATCATTTTCTTATTATATGTTTGCATTTTACGCATATGCTCTTTACCTTACGACTTACTTCTTTCGTTTCCCTCCTTCAAAATTATATTTTTACTTCTTTGATATCATAGGATCTGGCAATTATTCCACGTTAAATTAATATGATTTGCGGAAACAGTAATTTACCAAGCTATTTTTTTACGATTTATTTAATACGAAAACCACATTGTTCATTCAATTACAGCGTCGTTATTAACATTCCTTTCAAAAATAAGAAATTAAGAGATAATTCAAATATATGGCAGAAGATACGGTAGGATATAGAATGTGTAACTTGCATAAGAAAGAGCAAAGAACATGACATGTATTTTTGTATTTAGCATGTCAGAAAAATTCTACGCGCAATTTACTTCAAAATTACAAACGATGAAAGAGTAAAATTAGAAAACGCAATTAATTTGATGTGGAATTTTCTTATATATTTTATTTCGATGAAACCTATCGCTGAGCCCTATTCTATACGGTTATCTGATCATAACCATATGTATTTATAATTAGCAACATATTTAAATATGTTAGGATATCTAATGTCAAGTTAAACGTTACATACACTCATTTACGCTCTATGTACGCGGTAGAGATCACGTATAATTCTCATAACTCTCGCATTTATCGCGCGTTACTTATAATATTATTATAAACGATTGCAACACTGCGAAGTAAGGGTAGATTGTCCACTATTAGACATATTTGTATCGTTTGCACAATTCATTCGGTAAATGCATGGCAGATCTTTAGTTCCTTCGAAACTTCATAATTCATAGGTAAAGACCTGTTGCTATCGTAAGCATTCCTTTTTTTTTGTTCATTTCTTGTTTTGTCAATACAGATATGTTTGTATATACGAACAGTGGTTTATGTTGTGGAAAGATTACAAGAAGGGAAGAATAACTCCTATTTATAGAAGATTTGTGTTTGATAAACGTGAAATTTCTCGATCGTGAAAACAAAATGATTCGTACTTTAATAGAATGTTAATGTGCATAATTAATTATCGAGTTTCGATCATTCATTGTATAAGACACGCATTCGATTTTTACTCTTTTAATATCAACATAGCTCTCGATAAATAATATAAAAAGTAAGTTCTTAAGATATTAATTGTATCTAACTTTCACTTCGAGGTTTAATGCGTGCATATATGTATAAAATAATTATAAGATCAATGGCAGGAACATTCAAACATAATAGCACATAGAGTGAATTTACTTAAATATCTGATTCCCTGCTTAATTAATATTAATTTCACGATTGTACGAGGGATCATTTTGATATTTGATATTTGTATTATTTAATCTTGAAACTTTCCATTTATCAAACACTCTATAAAGAATATATTGCATTGAATTCAATAGGGTCTTTAGATCTTATCTTTAGATAGCCTTATCTTTAGATAGGATTAAAATTTGATAATTTGAATAATCAAATGTCTCTTATTTGTTCTTCACGGTATTTTTTATTTATACCTGTAGATAGTTATTACATATACATACATAATATATGTTCGTTTATACCTATTGCGTTATCTGTGCAATATATGCAAGCTGTTAAATATTACGGTGATTTATATGAGATGTATGAAGAAAACTATTGTTTAAAATGATTTATGTTGAATACTTATAGAAGTGTAATATCTTTTCGGTAGCTCTATAAGATGTATGTATATGCGATTTATGTGTATAACAGTAATATAATGCACTGACGCGTCCTTGCATGTACAATAAAATGCAATATAGAATGTCATAAAAAATATGTATTATACAAATTTATATGTATTTTATTAAATTTTAGCTGATAAATAGCCTAGTATAAAAAAGTATGTTCAAAGAAAATAAATTAAAGTTTTTGCTAAGATACTTCAGTTAAACCTGAGAGTTTTTCCCACAAGTTAGGAATATCGCGAAAACGAAGGATTATATTCGAAGTTAACCTTTCCTCAGAATTTCAACGCAATTCTTCTTTTATTGATTTCTAATCCTATATTATGTAAATGTAATTTCTGGTAATATAACATTAAGAAATCATTGACTGATGTACACCAAACGAATAATTTCTGAATCAGCAACACGTTGATTGCCAACATTTTACTTAATTGAATTATCGGATACGACTGTTTAAAATGAACAACGATCGAATTAAATCTAATAAAATAGAAATAATAATTTCGAACAACCTTATATATTAAACGAAACTTTGAATTTAAAATATTAAAAAGATTACCTTGTTTAAATTCTAATTAAAAAAAAAAACACGTGATTCGATATGCTGGAAATTTAAAAATATTTAACATGAAATGAAACATCGCTAATAAGAATCAACATTTTAATATAGAATAATAATATAGAATAATTTAGAAGTAGCAGCAAGATGAATTATCAATTGGTTAAAGGAATTGATCGTGTTGTGGATTCTAAATACTCTATTTAAATACGATCTATTTTTTGTATTTTATTATAATACCAGGCAGATACGTTGTTTTTAAGAAAGCAAAGGTACGGTAATTTTGAATTTTCTCTATGTATTTTTCATAAACTCATGTTTCACTCGGTATAAGAAAATACTTACATTATTAGCATTTGACTGTGCTTTTTCTACACACATGCTTTGATCACGTCTCTTCTGATGAATTAGTGTTTTGTTCCATCTTTACACCGAATTATTTTATACAGTATCATATACCTTTGTAATTCAATCGATTAGTATTCGAATAATTTTCTAATTACAATATTCTAGAAAAGTTACATAAAATGATAAAACTTTAAAAAAGGTAAAAGACTTAGTTTCTCGATAAATTTCTATACAAAGTATTACTAATTGAGTATAAGAGAAACAATTTTACGCATCGTATGTTATTTAGATGTTATATTAGCTAATATATAAATTTTACATAAAATATTTAATGAGCAGTTTCGAATAAAACAGATTGATGCTATCTCAAAAAATGCGAATATCGATGTAAATATATAAATTAAAGTAAAATTAATTAATAATATCTTATAATAATAATTAATATCTTGAATTAAACTTTTGGTCGAGATTCTTTTAAAAGAGGAAAGTAATTTAAATTTACACGATAATTATAATAGCATGGTTTACACCGCGTTGTAAGATGATATTTCTATCTATGTATAAAAATATAATATCTTTTAATTACATAATTTATTGTTAAAATTATACAGGATAATCTGCTGCAGTATAAAAGTATAACTATTGCTTCTTATTTATATAATTTTGAAAATTCTTCCCATTTTTATATACATAATTACACAATATTGTTTAATCATTCTATGTAATGAATTTTTTTAGGAAATATTCGAATACTAAGACATAGTTTGATTGTACACAAGACTAATTTGGGGATTGATCTGCATTAAAATTGATCACTACGTAAAAAAGTCCGAATGTTCTCTAATAGTCACCCCTTCCTCATGTTACTACCACCACCACCACCTACCTATCGTTCACTTTTTTTATGTGATTTTGATGTTTCTCTGTGTTTATCTGTCTCGGATAGGAGCTGGATAAAATACCAAATACAAGCATATATCTATAAATACAAACAAATAAAAACGTTGCTTTTGTTAACTATGCCATGTATATACCAGTGATAAATTAATAATACAATAAGATTTAAAAGTAAGATTATGGCCTTTGCAAACCAAAGCACAATGAAAAGCAATCGCTGTGTGATCACATTGGTAAAAATTAACTTACTATGCATGTATTTACATGCTTGGAAAATTCGGACAATGTATTTTAAATATATTGGTATTATTCATGAAAAAGAGGCATATTTATTCGGCTCCTTTACGATTACTTTCTTGTGTATACATAGTTGTCTGCCCTACTTTGCTTCGTAGATTGTACGCAACACTATGTCTCTTTCTGCACGATCGTGTATTATAAAAATTTCGTGTAACATAAATCACAGTATAGAAGGAAAAAAAAAATGTATAAAGTACATTTATATTGATGGACTTGTGTGCTTCACATTAGCATATGAACTGATACGTTAATTCCGAAATAAGAATGTCACACTTTAATTTCAATTTGCCTTTGAATATAATAAAAATATAATAGAAAGTAAAAATCAACCTTGATAGAACGAAGCTAATATTTTATTATATTTCACTGTAACACGTACATATGTAAGGTAACTTTAGATACTTTTTGAGGAAAGAAAGAATATTGCACGTATCACACTCTAACTTCGAAAGTCACACAACTCGAAGACGCAAGAAACTAAGTACGCGCTCTGAACATAATAACACGTTATTCTGATAATCAACTTATCAACAAGAAGAAGCGTACTCGTAAGATGGATTTTCCAAGTAACGTCACTTCTATTAAGAACGCGATATATGTATTTCATTATATCTGCGTTATTTTCGAATCTGAAACGGACGATATAAATATTAGAAACACACGGCGTCTTAAGATAAATGTGTCGTTAAAAGATGAACTTGCTTCAGGACTTAGTTTTAAAACATTATTAATAGTTATGAACTGTTAATATTTCTATAATTCTTGCAAACAATTTACTTGAAATTGATATTTATAAAGTGCCATATAATCAAAGAATTTGTAAATAATTCGATTTCAAGATATATCATCATAATATATCAGGAAATGATTCGTAACTCATATACGATTTTACGCCTAGAAACTCGATGAAAATGAATATTATTAAATTTGTTAAATGTTCAAATGTTTCTTAAGAATCCTAAAAATGTACAGATCTGTACAGATCTGCACGATGTGCTAGATTTGAACAACGATAGGACATTGTCTGTGTGAGATGACGAGTGCCAACATCTCGAAGCATGATACAGTACCAGCTTCTATCGTATACAATTCAGTGGTTCTGTACAGTTTGTTGGCTTATACTTCAAACGCTTCACACGAATTTCGATCTGATCTGTGTGTGATTTCCATCATACCGATACTTGAAAGTTAATATTTAACAAACGTCAAGTTATTCCGTAACACACTTGCTCCAACCAAAACACGAAATAGAACAAATATAATACCGATCGTGTATTAATGTGTTTATGTACGTATTCGGTAAAAGGAAAATAACAAGCCGATTAAGATCAAACGTAATGAATTTTCTTTGCCCCGAATCGAGTTTAGCTCTGTATTTGCCGTGGTGAAGAATGTACACGATAGAGGAGAGAGTAGAACGACAGTAAATTCGAGAAATGTAAATGCATTGTAGAGGAAAAGCAAAAAAAAAAAAAAAAAAAGAAATAAAAGTGGGAAATGAAAAGACGAAAAAATTGTCCGCGTTTGCTCGTGGTGTCGGTGGTGCGTGGTAATGTGACTAGCAAGAGCATTTGTTTTGTTTATCGTTACGGAAGGAGGGGCCAATGGCTACGGGTATGCAGGCTACGCTGTTAAACTATGGGGGGCAGCAAGGGTTTGGTCGGTGCAGCGTTGCATCGCAAGGAAGCTTCGAGGAAGATGAATGCGACTCGAGTGAAGAACTCATAGGGAACGCATCTGGTGGGGGCCAGTCCGAGTCGCAGACTGTGGGGCTCCAACCAAAACTGGCCCCGATCAGTGGCTCTATGGAGCCCACCACCGTTTTCAGGCTTCACTTTCTCGGATCGGTTGAAGTTGAAGAGGAAGGGAGACGTAAGCGCCTTAACAACCACATAGTGCGGGAGGCTGTGACTAAGATCAAGGTCCGCCCTCCAACCCTTAGATGTATCATTATATTCTATTCTATAATCGTTGTTATGTTCGACTCTCCTACCTGCAACAGATTGCTTTTTTTATTTCTCGTTTCTCTTTACATTACACCTTCGCTTTCTTTCACTGACAACGAGTACTTTACGTACATGTTACTTACCTTGGTTCTTGAATCCTTCAAATTGAATTATTCGCCCGATACTCTAATAAATATATCTTCGTTTTAAAGAAAGAATCTTAGCGCTTTAAATAGCAAATTAGGTATCGAAGAGTGAAAACTCTTAGATAGCTCGTAGTAATACACAGCAAATGCTTTGTAGTGGATGCTACAGTTAACAAGATAAAGTAATAAATAGAAGATGCAAAAAATAATTTACTTAATAAAGGATATTATTCCACAGAAAGATATACCATGTAAATCTGTCAGGTGCACGCAAGCTTTTCACATTTCTGACATCGTCTTTTTTCTCCTCAATTGTAACAAAAACGTGTGACGATACCTTTTAGGATATGTACAAGAATGACAACATCTCGCAACATCGATAATGTTAGACATCTTTTGTCAAACATTGATTATTTTCGAAAGTAATGAAACTATTGCTTGATCAATTTACAGTGTTTTCTAAGAGACGCTTCCTTCCGTAAAAAGAAATGAAAAACAATGTTTATCGCGAGGAACCAACCGCACGAAAGAACGTGAAAGGAAGAATAATTAAGTCTTGCGCGTATAACTCGCCTGTATAGGACCAGTAATTGGTGCAGGAATCCGTATATTGTCCTGGTTAATAAGCCAAATCCGATGGTGATGCAGGTTTCAACGTATGGAGCGTGGCATACTAGCGAGTGTTCAGATTAAGCAGAATGTTTTATTTTATTAAAATGTAGCTTCCAATTTCTGGGCCCGGTGTATCTCTCACACGGGTTCCCGGGCCCCTTTCGATCGCAGCCGGGACGGTCATCGTGGAGGTTTTAGTCGGTTGGAGTCCGGCACTACCACGCCGCTTTTCTCCAGAAGCGACCTCGTGTCCGTGCGGATTTCCTCCACGTTAATAAAAAAAAAAAAAAAAAAGCTTCCAATTTCTAATAATTTTACGTTTTTATTACTTATTTACCTATTATATTCCGTATTCTCTTAAAGAGCCACTTTTCACTTATCAAATTTACGTTACAATTGAAGTAAAATTCAGTGATTATTACCGTCTCGCAACACTGACTGAAACATGTTATCAAGTAACAGTTTCTTATAAGTTGAAAATCAACTGAAGATCAGAGCTTAAAGCAGAAACGAAGAAGAAAGTAAACTTTTATGCGTATTAATAAGATAGAAGGATAAGATAATTATAATATTTCAAAGATAATGTAAGAGAATTTTTCTTCGATAGATTAATAATTGCTTAATTGTTTTAAATGAAAATTATCTAGATTTACTCGTTGTCAATGAAAATGGGTGTAACTAGACATGATTATTTAAACGAACTGTACTTTGAATGTATAATGTTTTTCACAATTATACGTGACACACACATTTGATTAGGTTTTCTTATTAAACTCTCAGGTTTACGGAAGTTTCGAATTTCAAGTTTATTAGTATAGAAAAAATACATATGGACGTGAATTCTATTTCACCAAACTTACTAACAATCGCATTTTCAATATTGTGCATCATTCCTTGCCTTAAATTTAAACATGATATATAGTAAACTTACAGCATCTTTTCTTACTGTTCTTTACTGTATAATATTGTTAATCTCAATTAATTAATTAATTGCTTCCTTTATTTTATTCTACATGCTGCTTCTTCGTGATAGGCATTGGTACGTATTTTTTACAATACCATTTTAATTGAATATCTTTTTCATGTGTAACAAAGATATAAGATGAAACAAAATATATAGGTAGTTGAAAGTAGGAACTTCCATTTAGTACCTTTACTCTACACGATTTTTAATAAATTCGACGACAATATTATTGATGACAATACTTTTATGATAAGCTTTCAATTATTTGGTTTGCTAATAAAATTGATATTGAGATAAAAACGACAAGATAACTAGTGTTTAATCTCACAATTTTTCCTTTTTAAGTAAATATTTTTGAAAATATTCATAAAAAATTCATTGACAATATTTGCGATGCAAAATACATATTGAAAAATATACATAATACTCGAAAGCACGTTAATAAATTTATTTTACTAATAATACTTGCAATTTTATAGAATAGAAGACATCTTTAGACCAACAAATCCAGAACTACAGCGAACTTTTTAATTTCATTTATAATTACTTTTGATAACTGCCTTTGTGAAAATCTTTTTCAAACAGTCGGCAAATGTGTTGGTTTAAAAACAGATATTATCAGTAGTTACATACATATATTCCCTTTAAATAAAAATTAAAGATTAATCTCTCTGTTTGTAAAGAAGATTGATAGTGTAGGTAGCTATTGATAGTGTAGGTAGTAGAGTGATATAAAAAGTAAGAATTACAATCGTCGAATTCCCTCATTTTCAGATCCATTTTGCTACATCTACCCTAGTAATCAGTTGAACAATCGTATAATACTTTCATACTATTCTTGTTTGAATTTCTTCGTTTCAATTTCAAAAGGTTACTACATAAATACTTGTCGTTGATTCAGCTTAAAAATTCGTAATTGTTGTCATTGAATCTATTTTATGTCGACGTAAAATAGACTTTCAGTGCTTTAATTTTCTATGCCATTCAAATATAAAGAAATAAAAATTTGTACGTACAGGCACCGGATGGCGAAACTCAACCAAGCACAGAAGTTGATTTGTTCATCTCGACGGAAAAGATCATGGTTTTGAATACGGATCTAAAAGAAATCATGATGGATCACGCGTTAAGAACAATATCTTATATAGCAGATATTGGTGATGTAGTGGTGCTAATGGCACGAAGACGATTCGTACCACACGAAATGGAAGAGGCGCCGAAAATCAACAGAACTCCAAAGATGATTTGTCACGTGTTTGAAAGCGAAGAAGCCCGATTTATTGCACAAAGCATCGGACAAGCATTTCAAGTAGCTTATATGGAATTCCTTAAAGCAAATGGAATAGAAGATCATAGTTTCGTAAAAGAAATGGATTATCAGGAGGTACTCAATTCTCAAGAAATATTCGGTGACGAACTACAGATGTTTGCCAAAAAGGAAATGCAAAAAGAGGTAATTCGTTAATTTCTATACTGTATATAATCTAGTAGTATATTCTGTCTAATAAACTATGAAAAATCACCCTGACGCGAGCATAATTTCTGATCTGTTAATGTCGTCCAATATCATAAAGGAAATACGAAGGAAACGAACTGTATGAACAATACTACGAATAATATTTGCTCCTTTTATATAAAAAAATGTTTTCTCTCACGCGAGATAGTTTCCTGATTGTACCTATTCGGAAAGAAGAGTTAAAATGTAGCCAGTTTTGAGTATCAGAACATTTCAGAGCATCTCTCAAGTAACAAAAAATGTTATTAGCATTTATGGCAAATGTGATAGGGAAGTTGAAAAAAATAAGTGTATAGATGAGAAATGGCAATGGTCAAACTTGTTTATCCGTTACAGTTAATCCTGTTCAGCAGAATTTCTGAAGAATTATTGTATCGATATGGATGAATAATTATTCTGTAACTGTAAGACGTGGGCAACTTGCCACTTTTTTATCTTTGCATTAATTCTTTGTCAACTTTATTGACGAAGTTTACTCACTCAAGAAGTATTTAAAGTCTTCAAATTTAAATCGAACTATTCATTGGCATTTAAAGAAAATGCGAATGATATCGAAACTAAATGTTTCTAAATAGCAAAAGAATAAGTGACACGAACTTATTAATTGACCTAATACATGTAATGACGAACAAAAGTATTAGCAGAGATAAGTTTTCTTATGAAACCCTGCGTGGGTCCTCCGTCCAATTTATGCATGAAAAATAATTTTCAAATTGAAATTAACCTTTAGATAGATTATACTTATCACTTCATAAAAGACTATTCATTAAAGAGGCTAAGTAAAATAGTAATCACTCATGATATTTTGATTGAAATTAACAAATTTGTATCATTGAACATTTACAGGTTGTGGTACCAAAGGCGAAAGGCGAAATTTTGGGTGTAGTAATCGTTGAATCTGGATGGGGTTCTATGCTACCGACAGTTGTAATTGCAAATTTGGCACCAGCCGGAGCGGCTGCTCGTTGCGGACAATTAAATATTGGTGATCAGATAATAGCCATCAATGGTGTTTCATTAGTTGGCTTGCCTCTCTCCACTTGTCAGACTTACATCAAGAATTCAAAAAATCAGACAGTCGTCAAGCTAACTGTCGTCCCGTGCGCGCCAGTAGTCGAGGTCAAAATCAAAAGACCTGACACAAAGTATCAGTTAGGATTTAGTGTACAGAATGGAGTAATATGTAGTCTACTAAGAGGCGGTATCGCTGAAAGAGGAGGTGTTCGAGTGGGTCATAGGATTATCGAAATTAACAATCAAAGCGTCGTCGCCGTGCCCCACGAGAAGATCGTCAATCTTCTTGCCACATCCGTTGGCGAAGTATGTATCACCTTTCTCTTTTTTAATTTACTCCTATCCTCAAAGACATTCACTTTCATAACTTGCGAGTTATTGAAATATATTGAAAGTTGAAATACATTTGTATTTAAAATAATTGTTATTGTAATACGCTTCTTACCGATTGTATTTTATTTCAGATATTAATGAAAACGATGCCCACGTCGATGTTTAGGCTACTAACTGGCCAGGAATCTCCAGTGTACATATAAGCGTTTGATTGCCTGGCTGATATGCGTAGTGAACAGACAATACATCCGCCATCCACTACCATATTATTCAATACTCTACTCTCTGTACAGATTTATTCTACGCAAATTGCTTTGTGTTTCGATTCTTGTGAAATTCTATTCGTATATTCTCACCAGCTCCTGCTTAGCAAAGCAACAAAATTTACGTAAACACGTTGCGACAAATATTAATATATTGAATATTTACATAAAGCAAAAAAAAATATATATATATACATAATATATACATAAACATTTTATTTATGAATGAGATTCTCTATGTCTGTTTTCCAGTCTAATATTCGTACAACTATTAAAACATAATATCCAGATGCTGAAACTACAACCAATTGTTGCAAACCGAAAATACGTTTGATGAATTTTCATCGATTCTTCCTCGCCATTGTCTAATGTGTTTTTATTTTCTATCGCCTTACAAAATAGTGGAATATTTTATGTATTGGGAAAATTATTTATAATATATGTGGAAAAGGTGTTATTGTATATTTATTTTCAAAGACTGCAATGTAAGCAACTTTTGAAGTAAAGAGCGATAATTGTGTTGCTTGCATTTTATATGTGTATACATTTGTGTATATCTTCATTCATTGTGTATATTTGTTTTCAAATCTTTACTAAAGAATAGTTTGTGATGTGTATTTATGAGAAAATAATTTATTACAAAAAGGAAATGATAAGTAGATTGACGTTTATATTTGTAGAAGCTCTTTTTGCGAAACAAATACAGAGAGGAAGACAAAAAATTGAGTAATTAAATTCCATGTATTCAAACACAATGAATACAGAAATAATATATGTTGCGAAATCAGCATCGAGAATCGCATTCCATGCGCGATAAGAAAAGCGAAATATGCAGTGCACACGATTATACATAGCACAAAGCTCTTTACCACCGTTTAGAGCAGGGCTGGAACTCTCTGTACATTACATAGTTAACGACGGAGTATGTTTCTGGAAGGGCCTTCATATATTTTGTTGGCTTCATGTTAAATTACATCGTTTATTTAATCTTTTCTATCCGCGAGTTGCAATTCTTTTAGTTTTTTTAATTTTGACTAATATTAAGATCTACTGTCTACTACATAATGTTTCGAATACGACGTGTCGCGATAAATATCACGGTAGTTATACTGAAGAGTACTCCGTATAACATTTCATTACATCAACAAAATGTTTGTTTACAGTGATCTTTTTCAGAACTATATCTTTTTTGATAAAAGAATATTTTTAGTTGTTGTTAACAATTGCTTTGATCAAATCAAATTACTAATACCAAGTATTATTGATACATAGAAAGAAATTTAATATTCAACGTTGTATGGGCATCAAAATGTACTATCGAAAATTCTGTATTTCTTTCTTTGTTAAAATTATTATACCGAACATTATAACGCTAAATATACTTTAACAAGGTGTCTTTCCATAATGTTGTATTCTAAATTTAAATTTACTTACACTTTGATAATTGTTGTAAGATAAAAAAAACTTTAACAACAAAATTTCACGTTAGGAAATAGAAAAATATTTTTCTGTGTATCGATACCATAATACAGAAAATATGAACAATTATTTTTAGAATTTTACTTCGAAATTTTAAGTTCAACATTTCGTTTAACAATTGAACATAACACTCTATGAATTGCTATTGAAGTAAATATATGATCAACAAAGCAACATCTCTATGTAACATATTGCGTAAAAATGAACGCACTTATTTTTATTACTGATGGATGATGATATTTTAATGTCGTCAGTCGTAACCGACTTACATGGTGCAATATTACTCCATCATTTTTTCACAATTAATGTAATCAAGCGAGAGCAATCTCATTAATTATACAAGCATTTACAGTTATCACGATTGAAACATGATCTTATTAAACTATTTAGGAGATACTCTTTACTTATCGAATATAAATTAACTTAAAAGAAAAAGACGTTCTAATCTCGATTTTATGTAATATTACGACTGAAAGGTTATTAACATTTACAAATGGTAACTAAATAATATTAACATGGAGAGGAGTTCTCTTCTATGTAAATACCGCGCATCAGCACCCATTGAGTTCCATCAATTTTTTGCTGGAAGCTTTCCACTTCAACTAACGACAGATACGCGATATGCAAATCTTAAGATTTCTAATGAAAGTTTGATAAAATTTCAATGCCAAAGTACATTAAATAACTATATTAAATATGATATGTCAGATCGCATGATTTTCTTAACTATTTATCACGATATGTACGTAATAATAATTTTCCTTTTTGCGCATATCAAATTTCAATTCATAATAATTTCTGTCTTCTAAATAAACTTTCATAGAATATCAAGCTTAATATTTGTAAAAGATTACAAGTGAAATTACGAAAAAAAAGCTTAAATTACCTTTGTTCTTTATGTAAACAACAATACCGAATTCATGATAGAGATTCCTCGTTATTTTTTTTTGCTTTTATATTTTTATTATCTCAAGGAAAATATCTTCTTTCTTCTGTTGTACAATAGGATTATGTTTTCTTCATTTTTGTATCTAGTACTAGATACCTATTCCAGGTCCTTTTATTTATATTTCTATTATTAAGATATTGAGAAATTAAAATAATTCATGTATGTATATAGGTACCTCAAGATTGATTAAAACCTAATATTTGCTTCAAAAAGAAACTTTCTAAATAATATGCCATCGTTTAATAAATTCATAATATAAGAAATACATCAACTGCGACATTTTTTGCATACTACTAATAAAATTCTCGATTAAATTTCCTTTTGATTAGTGTAAGTTAAGTGCAAAATTGCGTGCTTCTCGCAAAAAGAATTCTTCCAAATTTTTTACCATATTAATGTTTTCTCTTCTTTTCTTATTTTCTTCTCTTCATAATTATTTAAATCGCAATGATTATACAGCACTATATTTCTAATTTTCAATAATATTCTTTTCCATAACAAAATATTAAAAAAATGATTAAAGCAATCTTATTTTGTTGCATAGCTGTGTATTCCAAAGATGATATACGTAAAAATAAATATATTTTGCAAAATGATGCAACCTTGAAGTATCTATGTTATAGAATACATTTTATTATTTATTGAATCTTTGTTTTATCATAAACAAAAAAAAAAATTCACGATAGAACATCTTTGAAATGTAGAAAGGAAATCAAAAAGGAAAGCGATTACAAAGGAAAGGGTGAATGTGAGAGAAAGTAATTGAAACGGATAATAATTTCGCCGCTTAAAGAATTATATGATTTTACAAATCCTATTTAAACCGGTTTGTTGTAATATCAAATAATATGTACAAAAATGTAGTTTATACTAATTTTATTTTGTCTGCATTTAATCAGTGCCATTTACAATGCCCTGGAATTGAACTTTTTTATGTTTTATTACATATACAGAAGTTATGTTTTAGTAAATAAAAATATGCGCATGCTTGTGTAACGGATCTGAGTGGAAAATTCTACCATCTTAATTCTAATAGAATGATTTGACAGTTTTTCGTTGGAACACTATTTGAAATGAATGACAAACAACGTTTTAATTTAAAAATTCAATTCAATATTGTCGAATGCACACAAAAATACAGCACATTTTTAAAGATAGTTATAGGAACATTGCTGCAACCAAAGAAATTATGTTTCTCAACGCATAAAAATTTAATAAATCAAATAAAAATGCTTATATACATATAATGCAACAGTTTTGTGTAAATTTGTTAAAATTTATTTAAATTTAAGTATATGTCTCTATCAAGAAATACAATTCTATCAAACAGTATACTGGTATAAAAAGTTGATTTCTTCCATTTTGTCTAATACCTTATTATAATTCAGCTCTATAAAAATTCTTCAAAATTACTGTCGTCATTTCCATCGGGAAATATGCTTCATTTATTAAAGCAAAAGTCTATAATGATAAATCCACATACACCAATGTACACTTTGCAGTAAACCGATATAATTTACATTTCTTATATCACACATATATTATATACATATAGATATATATATATATATTGTGTGTGTGCGCGCGCGCACGTACGTGCGTGTGTGAAAATGCGAAATTTCATATCTTTTTTTTACAATTGAAATTGCGCGTTTCGGACAAGATATATACATATATGATTATCCTTTTTCCCCGAAACGCGCAATTTCAATCGTAAAAAATATAATAAATTTTGCACTGCGCTTTTTTTCAATTCCTTATTTTATATCGAACGTAAACACATGAATTCATGATAATTTACGATTAATCGAAAACAAGGATAAATGTAAAAGTTTCTCGAAATTTATTTTTTAGAGAAGAAACGTCTTTAAAAGAAGATTAGTAATAATAATAATTCCTACAAATAATATATATATTTTATTTTTATATAAATTACATTTAATAGAGAATATTTTCGCAGAATCGTTTATTGTCGTCAAGAACTTCAATTTAAATTCAACTGTGCATTCATAGTGGACATATTATATAAATTATAATTTTATATTTGTATGTTTATTTCAAAATTATACAATCCTATGTACGACAACAAATCTGGTTTCAATTATTAATATGTGGTTATTTATATATTTCGTATTTCAATTGAAATGTTTCACACTTTTTGGAATTGCATTCAAAAAGTTAGAAAGAACTTACAAATATACGCAAATACATTTTGTATAATATAAATCCACTCGATACGTTTCCCAAGAAATACTATTTTTGATCGCAGACGATTAATGTTGCTGTTTATAATCTATTTAATGCAAGATAATTTACATTTATTTATTGACTCAATATTATCATTCAGAAATCATTATTGCTTTTGCTTCACAAGGATTTTACTGAATATCTCTGCATAATATAGATATTTTAGATAAATGGAAATCACTTTAGATCTAATACAGTGAACAGGATAGCGATACATATTAGAAATATACGAATTAAAAAGGATGTTAATTCTTGCTTCGTTCAGTAAAAACTCACATTGTTCGCACGTTGAATGTTATTTGATTTATACGAGATAGGTACGTATGAGGTGGTTGAGAAAAGTTCATTACGCATAATGTACCAATTCGAAAATAACAAATAATATTTCCTAACAACATTAATGTACTTTGGAATGTTTATTACTTAATAATAAATAATATTTCATTAATATCATTACTATAATACATATGTAATATTTATAACAGTCACTTCTTTTGTATTTTTCATCTTAAATTATAATTATTCAATTGAAAAGATTATTTATATGATACTTTACACGTGCACGTTTTATTATTTCTGCTGATGTCCTAACGTATTCTCAATACTTTTTACTATATCTTCAGAAAAGGTTACATTTCTTGCAATATTTTTGATGGAAAAACCTTATCTCACTTCGTAAATCACGAACGTCTTTTAATTGTTCCTTTAATTTATTTTGTATAAATATCAAGACAAGAAACGCTTTGTTCTATAATACGAGGAAAATGATAGAGATAATCAACGTGTCAACAATTGCAGTTTCAATATATTGCATTTTTTATAATTATGTTTACTTTCAATCAAACTATCTTTCTATTGTATAGATTTAACATACGCGTACCTTTATACACGTACTAGTTTTCTATGTATGCGGTTTTTTTTCTTTAGATTATTTCATAGCTGATATCTAATTATACATGTCGTGCAGATACGTTGTTTTATTGCTATTTTAAGACAGTCCTTTTTCGCCTCATATTTTACAACTAGATGCAATAACGATATAAATTTTATACCATGAAGGATTTATTTATACATTTAATCCTTATGGGTGCTTTCACAGAATTATCGAAAAAGCAAGCCTTAAATAAATTTCGAAAGTTTATATTCGATTGTAAGAGACGTAAGCAGCGTGTTGCACATCGCATATCACATTAAATGTATACACACATATAATATTGAACACCGCGCGTTTCCCTTCATCAAAAAATCCAGTCAAACTCTTTCGGACGTTTATGTTCATAACATGAACGCAATCGTTTACATATAGTATTATGTACTTCTTTTTCATTCTCTTACTTAGATATCATTCATAAAACATCTACTCTAAGTAAACTCTAAATAAATTTCTTTTAGATCTTTGGTACTTTTCTGTCATTTTATAATTTACATTTTAATTATTTGAGAATATAAAAGATCTTACATCATTTAACTTTGTTACTTTCAACCGAAAGCTTTTTCGTTACTTATGAAATATTTGATGTCATATTTTATCTGCAAATTCATTGTATGAACACGTATATTTCTAAAACGTACGATAAAATAGCGCCTTATACAAAGTGTTGTACGTATATCGACGAAGTTTTCGGGGAAAAAAGGGAACCGATAAAATGTTCTTTTGAGTTATGTGGAGACTGCGCCCGGAAACGTTGACACAAATTTAGAATGCAAATGTCCTATGTATAAAAAAGAAATGAATTTTGGCATGGAAATTTTTATCCATATATTTGGTAAACAAAGGAATGATACGAATAAAATATATGGGATCAAACATGTTTATATTGGGTGGCCGAAATTTATCTAGTCATTACGCTAATTCTAAGAGTAAGATAAAACATGCATATGTACGTGTATACATATGTACGCATATAACTACGTATATATGCGGAAATCGATACAAATATAAATATAAATATAAAGATGAATGCAAATATAAATATGAATACAAATATAAATACATACATATATATGTGTGTGTGTGTATATATAGATAGATAGATAGATAGATAGATAGATATAAAGATAAAAATAAAATAAAATATACAGCCACCGTGAACCACCCTGACTGAATGTGTCTGTTTAGCCATATTTTAATAACATTCGCAAAATAACATTATTGTCGATCTGACCTTGCGTGGTTGTTGATAGAACATTTTTGTTTTTTTTTTTTAAGCAGTGAAGTTAATGAAGTTTTCATTAGTTGAACGTATCCCTGCATTTACTTTTGTTATGCGTTGAAAAGTTGTAAAGCATATTCGTAAAGAAAATTCTAAAAGTGTAATATCAATACAAAATATCACATTTCATTGCATAACGTGTGTTAAACGTATAAGAAACATACGCGGTATTGAAAATGTTATAGCATACTGTTAATCGCAGAATATATTTAACGTAATTACTTAAAAAAAAAAATTTTTAAAAGAATTATATCAACGCAAAGAACTGTTATAAATTAGAAAATTAAACTATACGGAATTTCGTATGACTGCTTGTGCAGTAAAAACTACAGACATATACATATGCATATATAAATATATAGCTATACATATAGTATATATATATATATATGTACATGTATGAAACCGCAAAGATTTGCAACGCGAGTTACTAGGTATACATATTACTCTAATGTACACGTGAAAGTAATCGCTTCTCGACAAATTGTTTAAAGAGCTTCGATACATTGAATCGAATAATTCGTATAAGAAAAAAAATTCAATGAAAATTCAAGAGATTGTCTTTTCATTATGCTTTTTTCATTCATCGTAAATGAAGAGTTTCGTCGATTTAAAATTTAAAATGATTGTTATGCAAATAAACTTACGTATGTAGAACATACTCCAATAAAAATGCTCATACTATAGCAAATAATAAACATTCATGTGTTCGAAAAACAAGCAGTTTATATTCGAAAGAATTGAAAAAAAATATTTTTAATTCACGATAAATAATGTGATGATGTCCGAAAATTACTTGTATTGCCAAAAAAAAAAAAAAAAAAAAAGGAAGAAAGAAACGCGTTGAAGAACGAAAATAAATAACAGATAAATAATTTATAGATTTTATATAAAATTAAAGACTTAAATTTTTGTCGAAAATATCCGTAACTGAAAAGTAAAAAGTAAAAAAGAAAACAACGAGTTTTTATTTACCGGAATATAGTTAGATCTTATCGGCTAATATTACACATGTAAAAGGTGTTATGGTTAGTAATTATATCATGGAAAACGTAAATTCTAAACATGTGAAATAAAAGTTGGTGTTTATTAATTTTTGATTCGTTATTTGAACGTAATTAGATGTTATTGTATTGCTTTTCTTTATATCAGTAAAGAACAGATGAGCCTGATGCATCAATTTCAGCTAAATTAAACGAGCATACATATACATTTAAATATATTAATGTTTCATTAAAACAGTTTAATGTTAATATTGAAACAGAAAAAACGTATAAGATGTCATAAAAATAGCCAATTTAGGTTAGTATAAATATACTTTTGATGTAAGTTAATATTAATTTTAAGGGAAGTTTTGTATAGAAAGGGGAAAGTCAATTTTGAGAGAGGAAATGTTAATTTAATAATGATCACTAATCGGGTAAAGTCAGTGCAAACGATAGACACAACATTACCTTAAACAAATCATATTGGTAAGATAATCTAAACACAACCATTTGTAATGTCGATACGATAAGTGATAAAATATATCTTATACATAAATAGAGCTTGCGCTATAGCTTCATCAGTCATGAAACATGCTACAAAATATTATGACTGTCTTTATCAATGTTTGTGGATGTATTATAAGTTATAAATTATAAGTAAGCTATTAAATGTGTACATCGTAATATTATACTAGTCCATATTAAGATAATAAAATGTAATTTTGAATTCAAATCCTAAATGTATCTTGATCGTTATATTATATGTTTATATCTTGTTTCTTATTAATTTCGTACTTCATACCAATTAAAAAGACACTTTTGCATAATTGGGAATATGCAAAATATCTCAATTTCTTTTTCTGAAAATAACAGAAGCATATTCCTATATTCCTACGAGTGAAAATAAAAAAAATATGTCATGTAAATATATGTAGATTGTAGATTCATACCATGAAATATGAACGTGCATTTATGATTCACCTTGTATATGTATACAAAGTGTTCATCGTAACAGTCACCACGATTTTTCAATTCCTTTCGTTAATCTGATAAAGAACTGTTTTAAATAAAAATAAGTCAAATAAGTTTCGATAACAAATTGCAACAATAGAAATAGCTAAAAAGGTTTTTGTTCAATAAAAAATGAAATCCAACATAACGTGCTTAAATGACACTAGACATACATACATATGATTGTTTGTGTTCATTGTGATAAATTCATCGGTGTCATGCACACATTTGTTTTCTTTCAATAAGATGTTAAGAAAGTCAGCCTATTAAATTCCCTTATTAACACGTAAATTAAACAGAAAATTATCCAGTAATAACTTCTAGCTAAATGTAAATCTACTTGTTATTGACACAATAAATGCATTCTGAACTTAATAATATTAGAACATCTACCTATTATAGCAACAATATCATTTTTCGATTTCCAGAAAGATTGATGTGGTGAGAGTAGAAGAGATACATGCGATGCAGTACATACATATGTACTTACATATGTAGGTAAATAGTTACAAGGAAACTTACATTATATTTTAATAATTTTCTTAAGAGGTTATTGAAGAAAAGTAAATATGCATGACATCATTGAGTTTGTTTCGATACATGCCACCTTTAATACTCGATAAGAAAAATTATATGATACCATTTAGAAATATTAAAGTGACCTTGAATTTCTATTGAATAAACAAAATTTTTTGATATTGTTTACTGCAATTTGCTACCATCTAAGTACTGACTAACTCTTACCCGAAATATTTTTTCATCAGATTAGCAAAAAGGGCTAAAATGTCGTAGCAAACGTTACAATAAATACTCTGTACTGTAAATGTAAGGTAACTAAGATTTCATCGCCAATTTTAGAATAATTTGAATGTAATATCTATTTAAATAAATTAGAGCAGGAGAATACTGTAATAGCCCGAATAATCGGGAATTTTCAGGAATTCTTCCAGACAAACAGCTCAACTAGATCTATTTATTACTCATTATAGTTAATAGGCTATACATATAAGTATGTATGTAGAAGTGAGTGAGCAACAATTTTTAGCGATTTTCATCAACCTATTTCTTGTACACTTTTCCTCCACATGTGCATTACAGAAGAATAAAAAAGGCGATTGAAATTGCTGAATTGCTAAAAATCAAATAGTTTGAAAGTAAAATAATATACTAAACAATTGCTATAAGAGAAGTTATAAATTTCACACCTTGCGTAAAAACTAACTTTCAGAATAAATAAAAATCTCTTCTATGCGAACGCCTGCTTTCGTATGAAGTTTAAAGTCGCTAAAATTACCATTGCATCATTCCATTCGAATATTTTAAGGAAAAAGACTTTTTTTGTTTTTAAATGAGTTTGAAAATTTAAATTTTGATCAATCTGTCATAGCAAATATGTACTTCACTATGCACCGTTCAGACGTTTCTTGGTATGTATCTCATGTATTACACTATCACATTATATTATACTATTATATTACTATTATATTATTTTACTATTATATTATTATGTTATATATGTATATATTTATATTTATATATGCATCAATATTATATAAAATATATTATATACATACAATAGTTCAATATAATAAAATAGATTTATAATAATATAATCCAGTGCTTGTAGGATTTTAATTTAAATTAAGACTTTAACATATTATGTAATTAAAATTTGTACCGTAGGCATTGGATATTGCATTTTAAGAAGTGCTACCACATATAACGAAAACAGTCACAGTGCAAAAAGATTTTAGCTGATCTCCAACCTATCACCAATATGGTAACGTAGAATCGCCTCTCTAGTAGAATCATATTTTCTGGATAAAGAATAGCGCTTGTAAAATGCAATATGTCCACCTCTCAGGGGAAGAGTCTAATTAATAACTTTTTGGATTCCTTATATAGAAGTGTTAACATGAAAGTTCCTTTTTAATTTAGTGATTTGTGAATTATTTGATATGTACAATGAGTTTTTCCGTAAAAAAGACAGGTGGTAGAATGTGGCATGAAGCACGAAAACAGGAAAAGAAAATTCGTGGGATGCTGGTAGATTATCGTCGTAGAGCTGAACGTCGACGAGACTATTATGAAAAAATTGTAAGAAAACAAATTAAATAACGATTTTTATGTAAATTTTATTGAAATTATGAAACTTAACATTATTCCTCTTGTCATGAGACCAAAATTTTTATTCTCCTTTTATTATTAAGTTAACCTTAAACTCATTCCTAAGTCTATTATAGATACATTATGTCTGTTCTATAATTATTAATAGTCGCTTAAAGATATAAATTCAGGAAATTACACATTTCACTTTCACATTAAGTTCACATCATTTCACATCGCGCAATTATATGCATGTATATATTATACATTATAATATATAGATGTCATACATGAAATATGTTCCATTTTATTATGCACACATTTAAATTTTCTTTAGAAATCAGATCCTACTCAATTTTTGCAACTTCATGGAAGACCTTGCAAAATACATTTGGATCCAGCAATTGCTACTGCTGGCGACAGTCCTGCAAATATGTAAGTCTTTGTGTTATTAATTACTTATTACACCTTTTGTCAAAACATCATTTCATCTTATAAATAAATTTTAATGCATATAATTCTCTAATTGTTAATATCATCATTCATATATTTTCATGCATATGTGTTATTATATATATTATTAATTAAAATTTAATATGTAATTAAAATTAAATTTAATATGTAACATTTTCATATCATACATGAATATAGGAATTATACATGAAAAAATATTTTATATACTAAACAGAAGAAGTAATTGAACATTTAATGAATTATGTTAAAAAACAGAATACTTGAAAATTTTATCATATAGCAGGATATAAATAAATAACTCTGTCTGCAAAATGTATGTTATATTGATAGGATGCCCTGGCAAGGAAACGAAGACAATCTTATTGACCGATTTGATGTACGTGCTCATCTTGATTGGATACCAGAAGCACCAGATTCTATTGATGTAGATATTGCTCTCACTAGTGAAGACAGACATATCAATTATGAACGCTATCGTATTATTGTTCAAAACGAATTTTTAGGAGGTGGGAGATTTATTTAAAATCTACATTTTATTTTTATTTAAAATTATTTGATAAATAATAGTCTTCAATGTAGTAACGGAAGAAAAATTTTTACACCAAATACATTTGGAAGAACAATTTGGTTCGTCAACAAAGTTAGATTCTGCTAGGGATAAGAAGAAATCGTGTAATAATGTTGCGATTGGATATAATTATGAAACAGAAGAACCAATAACTGAAACAGTAAAATCATTGGATACTGTTATATCTGATGAAAAAGCAGACGATGAAGACAGTGATATAGATCTAGGTATAACTTATATTCTATAAATAATTATTATAGTACTTTGTCTTATATATTATAAACATTTAATTTTTCTTTCTAGATATTTGTGTAGATGTATCTCAAATAGAGCCATCACAAGCGCATGAAATGAACTTAGTAGCTCAAAAATATGGGCTTTTAGGCGCTGATTATTTTAGTTTTTTAACACAAGATTTTGAAGAAGCTGAAACATTGAGACAAGCACGTAAACAAGAAGAAGAAAAAGCTATGTACTCGGTAAAATATAAAATTAAATTAAATATATTTTTTGATAATATAACATGACTAAAGTTATTAATTACATATTACTAATTATATTATTATATATACATTTAATTAATTCACATCACAGGGTAGAAGATCACGTAGAGAAAGACGTGCATTTAGAGAAAAAAAGATGATTGGTCGAGTTATGAGTCCACCTAGGTAGTCACTTTTATATTATAATATTAGTACACTTATTACTATAGTAATAAGTACTTAATCAGTTAGTCCTTATTATCAAAAATATATTTAAAATATTTTACATTTTGCTTATTAGTTATGCAGCAAGGGAAAGTCCTGAATACAATCCCTATAGAAAATCTTCATCCAAATCTCGCTCGAGATCTGTTTCACCTATAAACACTGGACAAATAACTTATATTACAAGTTTTGGTGGTGAAGAAGAGACTCATGGAAGTTCGTCTCATGTCACTTCTTCCAACTCGAAAAAAGTCAATTACTCTCATCTTAGACGTAGAAGATCAGACAGCCCAGCACTTAATGAACGTACAATTAATAGAAAACTTTCAAAATCAAGATCTAGGAGTTGCTCTCGATCCGTTAATAAATCTAAATCGTACAGAAACCGTGATAGGAAACGAAGTGCGTCGAGGACCAGGTACGTTCATCGATATTTACATACATATAAGGGTATTTATATATATATATAATATATATATATATATACTTATGCTACTAATTGATATATAATTTTTAGATCAAGAAGAACACGTTCGAGACATAGAAAAATCACAAGATCGCGAACAAGAAGTCGTTCAAGGCGATCACGAACTCGAAGTGAATCTAGATCTCGGTATAGAAGTTTTACTAGATCTCGTTCGCGCACCATTTCAAGGTCTAGATCTAGATCCCGCTCTCGTCCAAAAAGATCTAGAAGTTCATCTTCGAGCAGTATATCTAGATCAAAGTCAAGATCGAGATCAAGATCTAAGTCACATAACAGAAGTCACTCAAGAGATAGTTATCGTCGAAGACATTATTCTCCATCGAAATCAGTATCTAAATCTCGATCCAGAACTAAATCTCAATCTAGATCTAGATCAAGATCAAGAAGTCAGTCCAGATGCAAACGATCTCGTAGTGTCGAAAATAAAGTGCCAGCACTGCCAAGGTGAGATATATATTGTAATAAATATGAAACTTTCGGTATGTTTATTACTTTTTAATTATGATATTAGATATTACGGCCGACGTGGGAAATCATCAAGTTTGGAATTAGAATTATCAGATAACGAAGAAAAAGTCTCTCCGGCAGCATCGAAACTAACGGTTACTAATATCACGAACATGTAAATTTAATATTAATTATATTACACTACAAATTTAAAACTAGCTTTAAGGAGTCTTTTAATTAACTTAAATATTTCAGGAACAAGCCAAAAGCAGGGTTAAGTACAAATTCTGGTGGCGGACACAAAGTCAGTAAGAACCATAACGCTTACTTAGTCACTTAAAGCACAGAGAATAAAAGACAGTATATACTCTTTATATAACTACCCTCTCGACGAAGAACTTCAACAAGTGCTACTTGTTTTCATTCTGTTGGATAATACAAGGCGTTTAAATCACGTTCTTTATATTTCACATTTAATCAATTCATTTCGGGTTCTTAATACATGTCCAGTAGGAGAAAGACATGAAGAATTTGATTTAATAGCTCCATTAATGACGTTTCTCAGAAATTATTTCTGTGAAATTTTCATTTTTATTATTGACGTTATCAGAATGAAAACATTAAATTTTTTATAGTTTAATATATTTGTTTCGTAGACGTAGTAATACAAAAGAGTCTTCAGTATAGGATATATTTGATACCAATATCTTAATATGTAATAGCATAATAAATTTTTTAAAATTTTAATATAATCTTCACTATATATGTAATATATCTTAAACTTATACAAAATATGGAACTTCATACTATTTAATAGCATATACAGGGTGTTAAAAAAAAACATTCAATATTTCTATGTTACGTAGGACACATCATACTGATTAAAATAAATTTAGTAAATATAGGTTGGAAGCTCAACCGTTTCCGGGAAATATACTCTTTTATGTTAGCATTATGATAAATGACAGAAGAATTACCAATACCAGAAAAAAATGCCAATTGTCTATAGAAATTCAAGGAAAACATGTGGAACGTCCTCTATAAATATTAAGAAGCCAATATTCACCTTTCGAACTATACTTTTACTAAGATTATTTTACTCAGTATGGTGTATCCTATGTACCACATATATATTGAATGGTTTTTCTGAACATCCTATATATAAATATAAAATTTCTTCGAAATTTTCATTTATTTAAAATCATTAATGAACTACTTGTACCAAAAAGTTTAAATATTTCGAATAAAAGAAAGAAGTGTAACAAATAATATTCTTTAATGTTACAAAATTTATATTAAAATTTTAGAAATATTTTATACTTTGCTATACATATCAGAAAAAAATTGTAGTAATTGTAAACAGACTTTTAAGAGTTACATTTTTCAGTCACTGAAGATCACACCCCAGGAACGGCTTAAGAAGAAGATGCAAGCTTTATTAAATAGACAGTGTAAGTAAAATTTATAAAAACTTCTATAACAAACGTAGTTTTAGTATAATATAATTATATTTATATTTTAGATAAAGCTGATAAAAAAGCCGAGCAACTTAGAATTGAAAAAATGGAACAGCAAAGGCAAGATCGAGAAGATGAAATTCGGGAAATGTCTTTGAAGTTACGTAGAAAGTATGCTATTATCTCTATTCTATATATTCTTTATATTTAATTTAATATTACTTATCTTCTATCATTATTATTTTGGTTTAACAATTTTTAGACAAAGAGAACGAAGACATCGTTATGAAGGTCATAGTTCTGATTCACATTCCTCTGTATCGCGTACGCCAAGCCCTGGTCGTAGTCCACGAATTGTCCGTCGAGAAAGGAAAGATAGGGATGTGAGGGATTTCGAACACGATCGTGAACGGGAAAGAGATAGAGAACGAGACAGGCGGGATGATCGAGAAAAGTTTAGAAGTGAATCTCGTAGGAGATACAGAGATTCTCCACTTCGTTCTTTAAGTCCAAGAAATAGCCGGTAAAATTGCAAATGCTCTTTATAGTACATTGAATTAAAATTAAGGTGGTCTTCCAATACGTTTCATTAACGTTTATTCTTTTAGGGGCCTAGTCGATTATTGACGAGAAAGCATGCGGTTAATCTTCCATTTGATGGGCTTAAAATTTTATTAGATACTTCCTGTATTGCATTCCTTTCATAAAATGCTACAAATGCTCTAAGAAATGCGATAAAGAAAGATACAAAACACATGATATGACTATAATTTACAATTATCCTTCAATTAATTAATATTGTTTAATCTTATATTATAAAAATAAACACAGTTGTTTATTTATATCTTATTATTATTATCATTATTATTCAACAGGAACTTTATATCTCTCTGTTACAACTAAATATTATTATCTAAATCTAAATAAGATTAAGTAATAATTTCAATGTTTCAATTTCATTTTTATAACTTTGATTTTAGAATGTTTGCCACTTTTTAATCATTTATATTATGAAATTAATTTAGCATATAAAATATTTTAATAAAATATTTTTAATTTCTAAAAAAAATGCATAAAACTAATTTTTTAATTTTAATAAATATAACTAGAAGATACATATATATGTATTAGTTTTTATAACAAAAATTCATTTTTCTTAAAAATTTAATAAATCTATAATTGTTTGTATTTAACACTATGATACTAAATAAAAGTGTTTTTTTATTTAATTGCTACAATTTTAGCAGTTAAAAATTTTATAAATATATATACAATAACTTCAATTTCAATAAAATGATATAATTGAAAAGTTTATATATTTTAAATAACATTATTAATCTTCGGAAATATAATAAAGTACTAGAATTATTTATTAATAATATTTGTATCATTTAAATTGCACATTTCCCTCTTTTTGTTCAATGTGGTAAGTATAATATTTGTATTTACATCTAGGTGTAAACTATTGCCATAGTCATATAAACAAATTTGGACATTCTCATACTGAAAGTATTGACGAAATCGTCCGTTTTTTGAGTGGAAAAGATCAAGATGGAGGTCAAAGAAAGGTCTTGTTCTGCGCATGGGTAATACGTATATACATATACATATATAGATACTATGAATATTTCAAACCAGAAATGAGTAGTCATTTCTGTTCGAACAGAGCAGATTCATACTTACACTCTACTTATCTCTCTAGCTCGCAGAACAAGATCTTTTTTTATTGTCCATCTTGATATTTTTCGACTCAAAAGATCGACGATTTTCCCTAGCGAGTACCAGACCCGTTTTTATGACCATGTTGTAGTACTTGTAAGGAACAAATTGAATGAAAGCGTTTATATGAATCCTTATTACGAGATTAATATAAATTTGACAAAACAATGAATTAATTAAAATCAATAATATAATTCTTTATACTAATAATGTATCATTTTAATATTGTTAATTAACGTATTGAAATTCATATGAGTATACCCTTGTTTTACACCGTACCTCAAATCTGTTAGTAACTAATATGGCGGAATAGATAGATGTTGACTTTTCAAGATCCGGATATCTCGGATTCAAATATTTCTACATAATAGAGTTTAAGAAGAGACAAGTTAAATGTAATTCATTTATGTCATTATTGGTACACGTTGTAATTATCATTGAGGTCACGTGTTGTGTACTTAATTGTACTGAATATTATTAACAATAAGTGCGTATATTACCTATTAGAACAGTCTACTTGGCAAACAACTGTAACTTCGGTTCTTAACGTAAATGTATAATAAGCGTCATTTACAAAATCAAGAAACATACGACTTTTTAATTATTTTGATTTTAAATAAAGATAATACGACTTACGTAATGAGAGTGTTAATATCAATTTTATATATTCCATCGAAAGGTTAAGAGATGCGTTTATTATTTAAAGTTCAATTTATTAAAGAATACCTATAATTGTATTAAGTACATTATTCAAAAGAAATTAAATGTACTTAATAATGAAAATTTTGTATTACTTTAATTATTACGTTTTAATATATCTATTACATAAATGTTTTACTAAAACATATCATTACAAGTAGATATATTGTAAACTTTAAAATTAAGACTATAACATAATAATGTCCTTTGGAAACATTTGAATCAACTTAATTTTATCGTAAACCAATTATCTAAATCAAATTTTTAGAATATTTGTTATAAACTTATCATGACATGAAAGATATGAAATGTTAATTTTATAGTGTTTTTAGTTAACTGAACAATTTAGTTGATCTTTCAGAAAAATGTGTGATTTAGCAAAAAAAATGAAAGATTCAAGTGTTAAGAACAATGTGCAAAATGAATCAATGGATCAGTTTTATACAAAACAAAGTGTTGATAAGAAAGAATCTGCATTAAAAAGTACAAATGAAGATGTTCAACGTGCAATTGAAGGTTTAAAGGATATACCAGATGAGGAACTTCAAGAATTTCTTGATGATGAAGATTTTATGGAAGGTTTAGATGTTGTTGATGCTTGGGAAGGTGATGAAGAAAAGGGTCGTGAAGTTGAATTTAAAACTACCCATGTTAAGGATCAAGAACAAAAACGTTCT